GGAAAATGAAAAGGGAAAGTGTAGGAAAAAGAGAAGACAAAAATACATACATCCCTCACACCCCCTTTAACCGCCCCTACAAAATCCCTAAACCCATGAACCTCCTCATCCATCGCACTCACCTCCTTCTCCATCTCCATCACCTTACTCGCCTTCACAACCCTCGCCACCCAATCCAACAACTCCTGATCCATCACCGCCGGCAACCTCACATGGGCCCCCATCCTCACCTTACACGAATCCTCGCTCTCTCTATCCGCATCCCCATCCCCATCCCTCCCCCCTTCCACTTTCCCCGGCACCAAATGATCATGATGCGGCAGCAAAAAACTCGGCACCTCAAACGTAGCATCCACCCCCCCAACCCTAACCACCTGCTTCAACTCCACATCGCTCGGCACCGCCCTATAAACCATAACATCGCCGGTCCCGAACGAACAACGTATATCATATGTGGACAGGAAGGGGACGTGCGCAAAACCGTTGATAGAACTTAGCTCGAGCACGAAATTGGCGGGCAGGAGCCAGGTGTTGATGCGGTGTTGGATTTTGGAAGTTGTGTTTTCGTTTTCGTTTTCGGGGGAGGGGGAGGGGGAGAGGTGGATGTGGATGTGGATGTGGAGGAGACAGGGGAGACAGGGGGGGTATGTATGTTATTTTTGAAAAGTTTGGCAGAAAGTACTTCCTGGATCCATTTTCCAGATCCAGTAGCTGTCAAAGAGGATATCTTAACAGGATGCAAATAAGCAATAGGAAGCAACAGCAAACGAAGCAGCATAGGCAACCGATGCAAAAAAGCGCGAACATGCGACGGCAATAGCTTTTGCAGTGTAGTAACTTTGATAGATCGAGAAGGCGGATGCGTAATAGACGGTTGCCGATGAAGCTGCGAGCAGATGGCTGCTCGCATATCATTGTCGATGTATTTGTTGACGGCTTCGCGAGTATCGGTGCCTGGGGCTTTTTTTCCATGCCCGTTTTGTATGAGTCGTTGCACTTCTTGCCGGCAGATTTGGATGCTGTTGGTGGATTGGATGTGCTGGAGCGTTTGCTGGTATTGTTTGTTGGCGGCGGAGGTGTTGTCCGGTGTGATGGTTTGTATGGTTTCGATGCCTTGTTTTATGTTTGTGTCTTTGGGGGCGTGTCCGTGGGTTATTTCTTCTTGTACTGTCGGACTCTCCTTTCTGTCTTCTTTCAATTTATCATGTCCATTTGGATTGTTCGCATTCCCAAACTTATACTCATACTCATACTCATACTCATTCCCCTTGACCGCCCTCAACATCTTCGAATTGACTTCCCACACCTCATCTACTTTCTTCTCCCCATCCACATTACCCTTCCCACTACCAACCTCCTCTTCTGCATCCTTAAAACTTAATTCCCCCTCCCCACCCTTAATACACGCAAAACAATCCCCCACCTCAATGCCCCTCCCCAACCTAACCAAAACCTCCTCACACACAATCCCCACCTCAATTTCCTTCCTCTCTCCCTCTCCCTCCTTCCCCTCCCCCTCCCCCATAACCAACTTCAACCCCACCTCCACCCCATGAACCCTAACACTCATCTCACTCAACCTAACCGTCACCCCTCGAACCACCATCAATCCATCCACCTCGGTATCAATCTCCAACCCGGGTATATCAAAAACCCCAATCCGATCATCCATAAACTGCAACCCAAAAGTCTTCAATAACAATATCCTCCTCAACTGTTTCCGCAAGACCTTTCCTGCAACAGGAAACTGAAATAGACATACGATCGGTATACAACCCCAACAGAAAATCGCGAAGAGGCTGTAGAAAAGCCAGCTGGTGCTGCAGATACAGTATGTTAAATCGAGGGTAGTAGCCAGTGTCCAGAGTGGAAAATCAGGAAGGATACGAGTGCATCTCCCTTCTCCATCTGTGTCTCCATCACCATCTCTTATTCCCTTTCCCTCTTCCTCCCCGATTCTCACTCCCTCTCCCTCTCTCTCTCCCCATCCCCCTCCCCCAACCCCCAAAAGCAACACCGCCTCCAACACCGGTGCCCCAGCCCCCAACCAATAAACTGGCCATGCAAACGGTACACACAACCCCGCCACCGATAGCAAATACAGAGCCGGCGAAGAAATCAAATAGATTGAGTTATGAAGCGTATCGTTCCTGCTATTCATATTTGACCTTCTATTAATATTACTTGGCTCCTACTGGTATTTGACTCTATGCCTATGTCTTTATCTTTGTATCTTTGTCTGTATTTTCCTTACTCTCGATATTGTGGTTGTATTGTGCTGTATTGTGTTGCTGAATTATACCATAAGTTCCAATTCATGAACCTCACTCAGTATAAACTCGAATACTGAATACTGAATATTGAATACTCAATAAAACAACCAATCCAAAACACAAATAGAAATACAAATAAATACTACTCGTACAAATATCAGAATAATCAAAATAGTCTAATAAGAACAGAAATAAGAATGAATATCTAGATTCAATAAATCAACACATATCTCATACAATATAAACCCATAAACCCATATCACAAAGCAAAATTTCTTTCCATTCAGGGAAGGACATGACATCAAACATAGAGGATGAAATGAAGAGGCAAAGTATTCATGACATACCGGTCAACGACGTCATTTTCATTCCTTATTGTTGAATTTCTAGGACCTACCTAGTGCTAAGAAGCACTAGTGAACTCTGTTACGGATTCCTTAGTTGATAATTGCAATAGAGTACTAAGTAATATTGAAAGAACTGACTTTTGGGATTTCTTTCATATACCTCAAACTATACTTTCCAATATCTTAGATTCATGGCATTTGTTGGGGATAAATTCATCATCTTCACAATTCAATTTAAATTCCAGTAGCTCTGCAATATTAACCAAAAAATTCATATATCATATTTAATCCATAAATGCAAGTCATAAAACTGGCTAAATATACACACACATATACACAGAAGCCCTAAGCCCGCATAATACAACATAAAGTAAAATCCCATCAATCATATAGTAAAAGGAAAATCATAAATCAATCAGTAATAACCATCATCCATCCGCTTGCTTACAAAATCCGATTGTTGGTACTGTTGTTTCCGAACTCTGAAGATTCTCCTAACCTGTTCTCGCCTGACATACCATGGGTTCCACTTGACCCAGTCAAACCGGAATCACGGTTGAAACCTGAAGATGTGGTGTTGTGGCCAGAGCTATGGTTCAAACCGCTGGTTCCGGTTGATGAGATGTTGGGTTCGGCGAAACCGGCATCACTGTATACACCAGTGGATCTGGTATTGTGTCCAGTTAGATCGGAACCGTGTTTTAACCCTAAAGTACCCGAAGATGTGGAGTTGTGATCGGTGAGACCGGAGCCATGGTTCAAACCACTAGTTCCGGAAGATGTGGTGTTGTGACCAGTCAAACCAGAACCATGGTTCAAACCAGTAGTACCTGAGGATGTATTATAGGTATTATCTCTCAAGCCAGAGCCAGGGGTAGTGGAAGTGTTGCCTAATGGAGCAGAATTGATATCGTTCTCCAATTCTCTGCTCTTGCTGTGCTCATGTCCGCCACCTGTAGAGTAGATGTGGTCATCGTTGCCAACGCCAGCGACTCCTCCATGGCGATGATCATGTTGATCAATGTTTCCCTCTCGGAGATCGAAATTGGCCTCGGGATCATCCATGACAGGAGCAGTAAAAATATGATCAGGTCCCGTGGCGGAGTTGTGCATTGGGTGGTCGGTATTGTTTGAATGATGTCCATGGGTATTGTGGGTGTCTTGAACATTTCCGCGAGGAGCACCTGGAACACCAGTCCCTACTGCACCAGCTGTTGTGGAGTGACTGCTTTCGTGGGGAAATCCAGTGGGACCATTTACACCACGGTTTCTCTCAACACCGTGGAGCTTATCTCCAATGTCTTTACCGAAAGGCTTTTGGTCGGCACCATGGGTGTTGTGATGTTTGTTGGCTTCGTAAGCTGTTCCTGCAGCAGCCCCTCCGAGGGCAGCATCACGACCATAGTGATGTCCTTCCTTGGAGCGGTCACTGTCAACTCTTGGATCGGCCTTGTTTTCAAGATTCGAGGAATGAGGACCGGCAGTAGTGTTTGCGGTGTTGTGGTGATGCCTATCGGCCTCATATGTGGCAGTTCCAGCTCCTCCGCCAAGACTTGCATCCCGTCCATATTGATGTTGTTCTCTAGAGCGGTTACTGTCAACTCTTGGATCGACCTTGTTTTCGAGGTTGGAAGAGTGAGGACCAGCAGTAGTGCTTGCGCTGTTGTGATGAAGCTTATTGGTCTCATATGCAGCCCCTCCTACACCACCGGCTACAACGGCGTCACGTCCATAGTGGTGATCTTGCTGCTTTGAGAGATCGCTATCCACTCTAGGATCTGCCTTGTTGGCCGAATTAGATGAGTGTGGTCCCGCGGTGGTATTGTGTCCACGGCCACTTTCATACGCTCCTACAGGAACTATCCCGGCCCCAGCTGAAGTACCTTTGGCACCGTGGACACCGTCAGCCTCCTCAGCCCCACCGCCCTCAACTCGACCTTTAGATTGAGTTCCATGGCCGTGATGAGTGTGAGCACCTTCAGTGTGAACCCCTGAGTTGCTCAAATTAGGATCCAGAAGATTTGCAGTCTCGGTGGTATGAGGTCCATTAGATCTTCCAATGAGACCACCTTGATTGTATTGATTGTTGTGATGATGAATGCCCTCTCCGACAGCTCCTGTCGTGCCAACTGCACCAGCATCGCGGCCTAGATGACGTTCCGAAGAACCGGTTGTATTTGTGCCGTAGGCGCCTCTGGTACCGTAACCGGCGGAAGTGTTATTATGCGAATCGACTCGTGGGTCGGCAGCATTCAATGCAGCGGAGTTATGAGGTCCGCGAGAGTCCTCGGCATGTCCATAGGTCTGATTGTTTGATGCAAGACCAGTGTTTTCATGCTTTCGATGCTCATGTTCCGCCAATCCTGCAGCACCAACAGCTCCGCTTCCAAGAATTGCATCTCGGCCATAATGAGAAGAAGTGCCATGACTTCCAATGTTATCTCTGCCATGGGTGTCCAACTGGTTCCCTGAAGGAACGCTGGTGACACCACCCAATCCAGAAGTGGTGTTAGATAAAACTCCACCATCGTGTGATGAAAGAGGATCTCTAGCATTGTGTCCCATAAGTCCGGCCTCGCTTGTGTGAGTTGAAGAATTGATACCATGAACAGATGTGTTTGGACCAGTAAAACTTGAACCATTTCCAACGCCGCCCAGTCCTGATGCACCGGTAGCGGTGGTTGGACCGAATTCAGAATCTCTAGGTCTATGTGGAACGTTTACGCCATCAGAGCCAATGACGTTTTCTCTTTCGGCATGACGTCCGTGGGTTGTGAGGGGACCATCAGTTGGTGTACTGTTATAATCGGTTTTCATTGTATTTTGACCCAGTCCTCCCGATGCGTAGCCTACCCCTGCGGGTGTAGGATTTACATTGGTAGTATGGGATGTGTGGGTGGCACCAGTGGTAGGGTGAGTTGTAGAGTGGGAGTTGTTTCCGAGACGACTTCCTTCGCTAGTGGTTGAAGGGGAGCCATGCTTTTCGATCTTTTTCTCTACTTTCTCCTCGGCCTTTTCAGCCTTCTTCTCTTCTTTCACCTCCTTCTCATATTGTGGAGTAGTGCCGTGACTATATGAAAGTTAGTATGGCTGCCACTTTGATGAAAGTCAAGTAAGATAAGATAACATACAGGATTGCCTTAATCTTATCCATGATTGCAAATTTGTAAGTTGTAGTGTATGTATTTGGTTGTTTGTATAGTATGTAAAAGTGTGATGAATATGTTTGTAAACTGGAGGGTATCTTAAGTAAGGAAATAAGTAATAAATGGTATATAGAAAAAAAGATTGAAAGTGTGAACGGCAAATGCAAAGTATTTGTATAAAGAGTACTTGGACCGAAACGCGTCTTTGACAAGTTAAATCAAGGTAATTGAGGGGTACATTTTGACATGAGCTATGTCATCAGCCTCCACAACTTATTACCATAAACGGAAGCTTAACATCCCGTTAGCATGCTAGGTTATTAGTTTATTAGTTGTTTCAAATGAAAGGCTGGTCAACTGGATATCAAACGCGTATATGATGTAAAAAAGTATTGGGGAACATGGCGCCATAAACCACCAACTATAGTGGAAGCGTTGTTTGTATCAAGGCGTGGTCCTGGAAAGAAACTCTCCACTTTGGCTTTCTCAGACTCTCACCTCCAATCACCCACTACCATATTGCCTTGAATCCTGTTCCTAATCTTCTCGTGGGTGCCCCTGATGATGAAAACGGTGAATAAGATCTACCAGTACATCAAGGGGTCTTCAGCAAATCACCACTCACATCCGCTTGTCGTGGTGGACTCGTGAGATATTTGGGGATACACAAATAACACCCAGATACTCTCAAATAGAATCAACGAGTTATGGTAAAAGTGGTAAAAGGAGATAAAGTTGGCAGAGACCCGCAATTGATCTCGTCGCAACTTGAAGTCACGCTTGACCCTCGCAGTTTGATTGTCTTGCCCCTCTTCAGCCACAATATATTAATTGTGGCGCATGACATCATTTGGAAGCATTAATCCGATAATCATGACATCGGTGATGATGAATTTCCAAGTTTTCTTTTCCTTTGCCATAGAAAATGAGAATAATTTCCCAATCTCATCGTCTAAGCCACTCAACACTCCAAAGAAAATCCACACTTTCAACCTGTTTTTTCGACTATTGTGCTTCATACAAATTGTGGTGGCTGTGTTGACCAACTTGACCTAACCTTCCAATCCTTCTAGACTTCACACCATCTTCTTACCTCGTGGAGAATTGGGCTTGCGTTAGGAATTGTGGAGTTTGGACTGACATTTGGACATTTGAGCCGCCGTTACCCTGGAGGTCGGTCCACTATGTAGTTGTCTTCATCTTGTTATTAGCAGTTGAACATCATTGCTAATAATAAGAATTCGACGAAGTTGATAGAAGCTCTTCGTCGATAGAAGCTCAATGTTGTTTCCTCATCGTAATGTCATGACCGCTTTTCGCGGTTAATTGTCGTGCAACCATATATCAGGAAATCATTGCTCTATATCTTGGTGATAGATTAACAATTGAACGTCTAAAATGAAATCTGTCCCTCATTAGAGAATCTTGTCAATGATAAGTGATATCGATCCATAGAATATAATAGGTAAACCCCAACTAAGCCTTTGCTGCGATAGAGAGAACAGCTGCACAGAAAATATCACTATGATAAATGCTTAAAAATTTCATGAACTTATTTTGGAAGGTTAAACGAACAGAATGCATCAAATAAATACCTGTGTACTAAAAATTAAATTTGCAAGTCAACATTGCTATCCTGTATCATCCCGTGATCTAATTCTTTTTGTTGCATATCTAATGATTTGGAATTATCTAGAATTAATTCAAATCATCTTGGATAAACCTCTTGAAAATTCGAGATTATCTTACACCAACCAGTAATATGTATAAGCTTGATATCATTTGAACTCAGTAAGAGAGGTAATAAATAACTTTACTGAACATTACCGGTTACTTCTTTCTTCGAATGGATTATTCTACATCTTAATATCTCTTCGAGAATCTCCTCTCCAAAAGCCTACAATCGTAATTCATGCTTTTATATGGTTGCTGATTTATAGGACATTATCACCACTTTTTACCAATTCATATAGAATCCTCTCGTGCCTTCTTTGGCCAGCTACACAGCCAAGCAAACACATTTCAAAGTATCGGCATTAACCCAACCCCCGGGCCGTACTCAGATATCAACTTCTTCCCTTTCTGATAACACGATCAACCCGATTCCTTTCTTCCGGGGAAAATGCGGGGATCCTGTTGCACAACATTGAGTGGTTTCATATCCACGATACTTTACCCAATTACTTCCATTAATATCTGCTGTGCAACCTTGTATTCGGGGACTTGGAGATGGAGGATAGATGGAGATCTAATATTAAGATCCTGGGTTATTGGGTTATTGGGTTGCATCATGTCCAGCTGGCATCAAATGAATGATTGAGGTTTGGACCCCTAGTTGCATCTCCACGCGCATCTACTATATATTTTATTGCAACCTGCAGAAACACCGGCTCAAGACCCGTCCCTTACCGAGGTATAATAGCCGAGGATACGTACTCGAGTATACTCGACTGGCGTTCTCAATTCATAATGAAGAACTTACAAAAGCTAAAAAAGGAAAGCAGCCGTAAGGTTAAATAAACACAGAATAAAAGGTTTCTCCGAAGCCGATGCATCATGAATTTCTACCTATCGTCTGATTTCCCAAGTCCCAACACGGGCTTCTATGGTTATCCTAGAATCTCCACTTCCAAACTCTAACTCTCGTATCCAATTCTCGTCGGACCTAATCACCTCTTTGGGACGTTTTGGCCATGCTTTTTATGAAAAGTGGAAGAAAAAACACTGGCGAAAGCATCTCGGGGGTCCCCAGAGGCACCAAGGGCTTACCCCGCACGCCATCCACCACTCGCTGATCCTTCCTGGCCTGGCTGGCCTACCTGTCACCTGCAGTGTTGGAAATCTTTTGGGTGACTTTCTATCTGTCAAATGTCGTGTAACCATTCGCGCGCAAGAAGAAATTCAACATTATTTTGAGATCCTTTCACTCTACCCTATATGCTCGGTCTATCATTTCCAATTTTTGTAACATAGAACAAGGTATCTCGGTGGAAGATTCGAAAATAGAGACATATACTCTCCTCCTTTCGCTAGTATGCTCCTATATACTAAAACAGCATTGCCGAAAGTTCCTAAGAAAAGGTCAAGAGCCGGTAAGTGTCGGTTTGCTGCTTTAGATGGAAATAGCTAACATTGGTTGTTACGAAAAGGGTGTATTCATTGGTAAGTTATTTGTATCTATGGCTTGTTCTTCTGCAATACTAATTGTGCGGCAGTAAGGAAAAGGTACGGAATGTTCGATCATCAATCCATGCAAGTTCTTAACAAAAACCGCAGAAGAAGAAATGTAACGAAGAACGTCCACGATGCGATCGATGTACCGAACGAGGTCTGCAATGTGGATATGAAGCAGTAAAGCCACGAAAACGAAGAAGGCCATCCTACGCGGAATCTGCACTTTCTCACGATGGCGACTCCCCAAACTTTGACTGCGAACGAGATGCGGAGACTGTACAAAATATGTGGGAGGAAACTTCAGAATATCCATTATCTGCAACTTCTGAGCATTCGACATATAATTGGAGGAGCTTTCACGAGGATGAAAACGATGTGGAGGAAATAATACGATTAGAGCCATACGCCAGTTCTCCTGCCGGTACACTCGTTCGGACAAGAAGTCCATACCCAGATCTAGCAATGATTGCTCCTTCACCGGTTGGCTCCCCTCTTCTTGAGTTCAATTCACCGGCATTCCTGGAATTTGCAGAGAAAAGGAATCGCAGGGCTCTCGTCGATCATTTCTGCAATACTCTATCACATCTCATTGTCTTTAAAGAAGATACGGGCAATCCATTTCGTCAACTTATTCTACCATTGTCTCATGCAAGTTCACCGGTTCTGAATGCGATATTCGCATTAAGCAGTGCACATATGGAATACAGGGGAGTGGAGAATGAAGAGAAATCTTTAGACTTTCACAACAAGGCATTACAAGGGCTGGCAAAACTCATTCAACAACACGATCAGGCAAATCACGAAGAAATACTAGGCGCAATTATGTTGCTCGTTTACTACGAAGTTGTGAGTATACTGATTCCCGGACTAGTTATTGTGGCGCGTACTGATCATGTTTCAGCTCGTACAACGTGGCAACTCTAGTATTGTACATGGTCATCTGAAAGGAGCCATGACGATTATGGACTCTAGACCTCAGAAACCGACTCCGACACGCCTATTCCTCGAGCGGGTATGTCCTCCACTAATCAAGATATCGACTTGCTTCTGACTAGTCTAGGCCTTCCGGTTTTACGATGTCATCACAGCTCTTTCTTTAGGCACACCTCCAAATACCACCACACAGCCTATTGCAAGCCCATTCCCTTTTCCAATTGCACCCAACGAAACGAGCAGAAATTCACCATTAGATTCGGTGGACACACTCCTTGGTTTGTCGACAGAGCTATGGCCCATCATTCATCGACTTTCACACCTCCTCTCTTACAAATCTTCGCTCCAAGCCGCCACTGAAGATGGTCAATTGAGCAAAGCCAGTGTTTTGCGGACCGAACTTGAGAGTACATCTCATGCTATAGAGATGGCTCTTACAAACTGGAAGCCCAGCTTTGTAGCTACAGGACCGTCCTCACCCAAGGATGACGATATGACAGAAGATACTTCCTCGAAGTGTCCTGAGGACGCACGTATGCAAACTATCCTTAATAATGCCGAGGCATATCGTCATTCTGCATTCATATACCTCTATCGTACTATTCACTCTCACCCAAGATCCAATACTTTAGTCCAAAAACATACAAAACTTTCACTAATCGCCTGCGCCAATGTCGTTGATTTAGCGGAGCAATGCCGTGATGGACCAATGTCTGCATTATTGTGGCCATTGTTCGTAGCGGCATGTGAAGCGGAAGCGGAAACTGATAGGGAACTTGCAACAAAAGCTTTTGGAAGAACAGAGAGGAGGCAGGGTATGCAGAATATTATGCGGGCTTGGGAAGTGGTGCAGGAGGTTTGGAGAAGGGCGGACGAGGATCAATATAAGGAGGGGGATTGGAGAGGGATTTGCGAGGAGAGGGGTTGGAACATTGTTTTCGGATAGCATAGAGGTTGTTGCAATCTAAGAAAAAGTGCAGATTTCGGTGAGGGTTCGTCCGAGGTTACTTTTTTCTAGGGAAAAAATGGACACCATAGCCACTTCACATTATAGTGACTGAGGTTGGCCTGGGAAGTTTTGTGAGACACAACAAGAGGGTTTTTGGAGGGGAGGAACAGAAGGATCAGATTGGACAGATCTTGGCAGAGTTGGGTGCGGCTGCATATAGAGATGATTCGGCTGGGAACCAAAAAAGTTCATTGATATTGGTTGTTTGGAGATGGGAGGGGGCTCAATGTCCAACATGAACATGAGGTGGAACAACCAACGAGTCACAAATCATCGATAAATTGAGATAAGACAGCATCCTCGGATTTTTTGACTTGTAGACTGAAGAGGGATGCTGGCTATATGAGTATGAGTATGAGTATGAGTATGATGGTCTCGAGGAAATTAGTTTTGGTTTATTGGTTTATTTGGTTTGGAATGCGTGTATGGTAGAAGTGGGAGGGGTATGGGCTGGTATGGGTATGGGCATGGGAATTGGGTGTTGGGTGTTGGGTATTGGGTGTTGGGTTTTGAGAGGGGAGTCGGGGATGATATGGAGCTTGTATGATGTGGAGTATGTATGGATTATGAAAATTGTTTAAGAATTGATATATTGAATATTATGACTCGGATGGGTTGGTGTGAGTGAGTGTGAGGATGAGTGTGGGTGAGTGTGGGTGAGGATATGGATATGATATGGATTCGATATGATATGATATGGTATGGTGAGTGAGAGAGGAAGAGGGATGGATCCGGGAGGAGAATGGTGGAGTGGTGGAGAGATGTATTTGTGTTTGTGTTTATTATGGTGGTGTGTCACGGTGTGGGTGGGAGTGTGAGTGTTGGTGTGTGAAGTGAAAATTATTTGGATCGCGAAAATGAAAATGAAAATGAATATTGATTCTTTTGGGGGTGATGTGATGATTGATATATATAAATGAGATGGAGATGAGATGGGATAAGATGGGATGGTGTGAGATGGTGGGATGGAATAGGTTGAGGCGGTATGGGATGAGATGAGGGGTTATGAAATAGGATGAGATAGTATAGTATAGAATCAAACAATAAGGATAAGATAAATACTCGAGTAGTACTAAAAACCCCACTGACTTTACAAAATAGAATCCGCATCTGCTTCATCTACTTCATCTGATTCATCTGATTCATCGTAGTCTATCTAGTTCATCATAATCTAAGCATGAAGAACTAGGACTAGGACTAGGGTGAGGGTAAGGGTACGGGTGGGGGTAAAAGTGAATGATATAATATGATATGATGATGATGTGATGGGAAGAATTTATTAGAATGTAGGATTACAAGTACGAGTAGAGTGGGCTAGCTAGTAGTCTGAGAACTTGATGATACTTTTTCGAAACTACGAGTGGTATGATTAGATTAGATTGATGATAATATAAATCGTGACGGGCCCCGGGCCGGGGGTTTGCGTTGTTTGGTCAATGTTAGTAGTATTAGGAGTGGGAGTAGGAGTAGGAGTAGGAGTACTCGAGCAGTACGAGCATAGTGTGACAGAGCATGTGCATCGTTAAGCGATGTACATAATATACCAACAACTACTATTCTAATAAAGATGAGATATAAATTCTTATATTATTTATGTTCCTTGAGAAGGAGACTAGAAATATATTTTTGGAAAGATGACTTGCCAGTGGGTTTTATGAATTTCTAAGATTATCTCGAATACTCGAGTAGTAGATTGATAATTGTCGGTATAGTCATCTACTGTACCGGAGCACTGGCACCGTACTAGCGAAGAGCTAGGGCAAGCCTTAGCGAAAGGGCTTCAATACACATATAGTCTCCATCATGTAGAATAGTAATCAACAAGCTTTTTATTGATATCAACACTGAACACCCGTCGGACTTTCTACCATCGTAGATCTGAAAGGTGTTCCCGTTGATACCAACAATAATATAATACTTATTCAAATTATAAATAAAGTAGAGCAATCAATAAGTTATCGTCTAGGGTTATAGATCCTAATACTCTGAAAAACTAGAAGAAGAATCGAATATAATTATCAAATACTAACAAAAGTTCCAAAGAATACAAGTATATTATTCGACGAAATCCTATAGTCTCTATTTAATATTCGAGTATTGGAGCGACGGTGGAATAATCAAAGAATATCTTATAGATTTCTAAAATTTAATATCTCTAATATCTAAAGTAAAATAGAATAACAAGAAATAGTTATTTATAGAGTTAATATCTAGTCTTTAAATAATCAAAATACTATCGAAGAATAAAGGCATATCGTCTAATTAAAAGAGATAACTACGCTATGATATGTAAATAATTTTCAGTTATTTATAAATCTAATTATCAAGAGAATAAGACATAGAGTACAAATGTTTGATTAGAGATGAGAGATGAGAGATTGAAATAATATCGATGAAAGGGGTCGAGATATGAGGTTTGAAGATTCGGGAAGAATTGGAAGAATGTGAAATATCGTTTGAGGAGTCAAGATAGAGGGTTTTATTGTCGAGTTGTGGATATTGAGCATTGAGATGTGTATGTGCAAGTTGGAATTTGAGGCTCACCGGGAGTTGTCATTCGCTGTAGTATCTTGATCAAGGGAGTTAGGAGGAAGCTCACCAGAAGTCACGGTGTTATATTCATAGCGTCATATCATGCAGGAATAGCTTGAAATTGAGTTCATAACATTCATAAGGGTATCTAAACCTATCCTAAATTTCCATTTCTAACTAATTGCACCAATCCCATCACAGCTTCCAATAGCTCAACCACTACAATCTAATTTGAAAACAGCTTAATCTTCAACTCCCCACTCCAATGCCTAACCTCAATCTTTCTCCATTCCCTCAACTCCTCCACAATATCCACCGTAGGAACCGTTCCAATCTCCTCTTGCTGACTCCTCGTCGGCGCCCGAATACTATTATAATTCAAAAACGAGAAATCCCTCGCCAATTCCTCATAATAGCCATCCGCATCCCCATGACCCGTAACCGAATCCGAAGGCCTCACCACATGTTCCTCGGGCAAAAACTCCAGCGTCAGTTTTCGAATCCCCGGGTACAAGATGGGCGCACGTCTACTCTTGACATTCTCACGCGCATCGTGGATCGTTACTTCCTGCGCCGCAAGTCGCACGATGAAATACTTGAGCGCAAGGAATAGTTCCTGCGTGGATTTGCGCGGGATGGATGTTAGGGTTAAGGTGCGAAGTCGTGTGTTATCGAGGGGATCGAAAGAGGGGCCTTGGTTCTCGAGCTCCGTTTGACATGTTTTCTCAATCTTCAAATTCGAGATGGCTTCTTTGCGGTCGTATTTGTGGCTTTGGCTTATGACTGATGGATGCCGTGTGACGATAGAGTGATGAATACGCAGAATCTCGAGACGGGGTTGCCATTTGCGAGAGAGGAAACGGATGGTGTGTTCCTGTGCGTAGACATCGACACAGGCGCCGGCTACTACGGCTAGACTGGTTCGGTTGGATCCGGCGTCGAGGACTTGGAGGGAGTTGGTTTGGCCGAGGAGGTTTTGCGGTCCGAGGGCCGTGAACTTGTTGTTGGATATGTAGAGGTGGGTTAAGCCTGTAACCATTAAGAGGTTATCTTCAATGTTGTTTTTTCGCTCCAGGATATTCAGCGCGTGTCCTCCTGGAGTGGAACACTCAACTCGATTGATGAAATCGGGGCGGAGTGTAGTCATGGTGGTTGGTGGTGGATCAGCGCCTTCGTTAGCCTCACGATAGATTGGAGGATGCTCGAATAGTCTCTCATCAGTTGCGCGAAGGGGACCATGTTCAATATCTGGGAATCGCTCTAAGAAGCAGCTTCGCAATAGAGGATTGATGGTATTGTCGGTCAAGAGATTATCACGAAGATCTAACGACCAAATCTGGCGTCTAGAGTTGGTGACTATAGGTGGTAGCATGGTATCCGTCAATCTCAATCTTCGTAGCTTCAAGATCCTAAGATTTGGAAGGTTCTCAATGGTAAACGAGGCTCCCCAGTTTGGACCGCGGACCGTGTCAGACGCATCGAGGTAAATCAAGTACTTGGTTATGTTTTGGCGAAGAACAAGGGAATAATCAAACGTAGTACAACCAGACGCGCTAAGAAACTCTGACTGAGGTATTGCATTATATTTATCCGGAAGGTCAGCACCGGGAAATATGCCGTAGTCCTCAGAGCATGTAGGTGCTAGAAGGATGCAATTGAGGTTAGGAAAGTTCTTGAAGAACTTGAAAAACCACTCCGGCTTCAGGTAAGTTCCAAATATGATGCAATCGTTGGTGTGAGCTCGGTCACGTCTAATCTCGTGTAGTGCACGCATGTCGAGGATTCGAACTCTCTTGAGAATCTTGGAATCAAGGCGGTTTGAGGCAAAGAAGAATTTTGAAACAAGTCCTGGGTCCAGTCAGTCAAAGTCTCAGTCGAACAGATAAGGATATAACCTTACCACAAGGCTTAGCTCTGTTGGCTAGGTCTCTGAACGGGTTGGCCCAAAGATAGTCACCGAAAGTTTCATTGAAATAAGAATAGACAAGACAGCCGGAGTAAAGATCGGAAGTGTCTAGGTACGGAGCAACGAGCATTGCAACATCCTTGTTGAGCTCATGGTATGCGGGAAGAGGATCCATATTGAAGTTTCCAACTGCAAAACAGATTCTTATGTGCGGCAAAGTTTCAATGTGTGCTACTCAAAAAGAAGAATAGATACAAGAATATCCAAGAACAAGGTGTCGAAGATGCAAAAGTCTTTGTGCAAGAAATCTCAAAACTATCAAGAAAGTCTTCAACTGTGGTCAACTTAACCGAAATTGCTAATTTCAAATGAAATATAATAAATGAATCTCTTGATTCAATTAAAGAGAATTGTATTGGTCAATGAATTACTGTTCTTTGCAGCCCGATAACGATAAGCTAGAAACTTTTGAAGACACTCTGGGAAAGTACAATGCTTCAGGTCAACAATATCAATAAGATTAGCAATAAAAGCTCTTGACCGGCCAAAGAAATGACAGATTGCAGATGGCGACGGGAAAGCTGAGGTGGCGTTTAATATACCAGAGTATCTGCAATTATACTAGGGAGGCGATCGTGCAGAGCGATGCTCTCAGGTAGGATAAAAAAGAAGCAGGTTAACGATGCAAGCGCCAGTTTTAGGTCCCGGAGATTCGAGGTCTGGACGTGGAGCGCACCTTCTTCTAGCTTGCTTGCTTGCTTGAAGAAAGATGTGTCACTTCTTGAAGTATGAGTTGCTACTCTCTGATTAGTATTCCTTGCTTTTTAAACTGGTATTCGGAAGCTAACTTCTTTAGCAGGGCTTTACCCACATGAGGAGATCAACAGTTAAGTCACAAATGAGTCACTACTGAATTTGAAGAATGTACGACATCGAAACTACCCCATCTTTCCACTACAATCCTTCCGAAGCAAGTGACCAAGTTTCAAATCAGATAAAGTACGGCGGAGTCCTCAAGATATAATTTGAGCAGATATATATCTATATGTCTCCCGAAGAGTCAAAAGTCTGGGAGGGGTTATTAATTAGCCTTTATATCTGAAGTTCAGGGCTAGGATCGCGTCCTGCCAGCACATTATTTGCGCAACAATCTCAATACAAACGAAGTTTTCGATTCACGGCTATTTGTCGTTTGCAGCCGAGATGAGTAAAGGGGCACAAGCAGTCTGTACAATCAATATTGGGAAGCAACTCACCAGGTATCGGGACAGACGAGGTTCCGCTGAGAGATGGAAATTTCAAGGAATATTGGCACGATTGCAGCAGCTTAATGTGGAGTCCTGATCAAGATATACTTGCTCGATTCAGCAGTTCAGAAGTTAGGTAAATCTCAGTGTTTGACGTTGGAAATGCCGATGATCCTGGATTAGGGTTTTCGTTATGCTTTCTCTTCCCGTCGACACTTTTCGAACCGAAACACGAGTACCAAATTGTAGAGATAATAGATATAGTCTGCTGGGGAATAGATATGATGATGAAGAAGAGACTGAGAACGTTGTGGCTATGCTCGGAGTTCGAAAGGCTAAGGTATCATTTTACCATTTTACCCCTTCACCAATAAAGAAGTCTACATCTGGTTGCTGCTTTAACAACATCGGGGCAAACATGTACGTATGTATATATTACTAGCAAAAGTATCCCAACATCGACCACACAGTCAGATTATTATCATATGGTCTCAAACAATAAATAATAACAATATCAAAACATCAAGAAATCGATGTCGTGGTCAAATATCGACAAACGGAAGGTTCAGCACTCCGGTATTCGAGGAGTGTCAGTTTAACCATATCCCGTCCGCGAAACCGGCATCAGAGCCGAGGCCAATATATGTCACAACGAATGATCATGGTTGTGTCGAACAACCTTAATTTTTTGGCCCTCAGATGTGAAGAAATTGATGTTATGTTTCAGTTGCGTCCTTCAGTCAAGACTTAAGAAAGTCAAATTCGCCGTGAAACTAACTGCCCGGGTCGATGCGGGATATCGACTTAACCTTATATACTCGTAGAGGCGACGATTCGGAACCATTAGAGAAAGAGAGGCTACACATCCGTACTCTATCCTTCGTCGCAAAGGATTAGATCTTCTGTCAGCATCATGCATCTTTCCAATTGCAACGTCGATAAGCGACTAGAGGTTTTACGTGACTTTATCCGTCAAGCTCACCTGGGTGTATTACAACGGCGATCAAGTCAGAGTCATATCCATTCCTCGAAAACTGCCTTATTCCTGGACTCGACACAGTTTTCAATACAAGTGAACTCAGTATGTTTCATGGTCATATAACACAATAAAGCCCTCATGTAAAGACAATTGTGTGAAGCTGCAAAGCAGCCATCAAGTCATCGCCAGTGAATGTCCTCGAGCACGATATTCTGATATTGTTCAACGGGCCAATTTATCACTATGTGACACTGAGATTTTACGGTCAATGCCAAAAAGATGGTTCCTACTTGAACCACGATGTTGTGAAGCTTGACGGTAAAGCAAATGTCTACTACGATACAACATCAGTCGAGTCCGGGCTATCTCTTGCTACTCAGATAATGGACTTGTCCGAGCATGTGTAAACGTTAATAGATTATGGCAAGACTTCAGAGACACATTTGTGGAAAGTGGTAGATGTATCCGATCGGTGACTTAGGTTGTTTATGAAAGAATATCATTGGCATAGAGGTTATATTCACTTCGATGTCCGGAAGGTTCAAATGCAGTCAAGAGAAGTGTGTATCGGACAGAGCTGAAGTTATTAAAGCGTTCAGAAACTTGGGCACATCTGAGAGTACATTACCGTCAGAGAAGGTCGAAAAACATATTACTCTTTTCGATGCCGACAATCTAGTCTTCTGCAAGAAGAAGGATATGTAGTAATTTTGTCTCGTTTCAAATGCGGTACTAGTGTATTCCCTGGTCTTGACGGTCAGTCATAAATTTAAGTCTTTCCATGAGACGAGAGCTTCCGGTCGTTCACTTGAAGATATCAATCTCGTGTGCTGAGACTCGAAGATCTCAAGTTGAGGTCATCAATTGTTTGAAAAAGAAAAGGAGCACGTTAATTAGAAGTTATTTCTCCAACTACTTCATGCCTTTCATAGCATATTTCCACGGGAACTATACTTGAATAAAATGCGATACCTATCAAGTACGAATAGCTCGAGGTTGGACTCGGGGCTAGGCCTCGAATCCGTTCTCATTCAGGTTTTTGACCTACTCGGGTCCCCGGCTCCCACTGTAAGAATACTCTTTTGATACCGAACCTGTGTTTCCACACTTCAATAACACTTAATCAACTCATTCTATATGCTTCCTCGCTCTCGAAATTTACCTGTTTATTCATCCATATTATCTTTGACTCTCTAAGAATCAGGAATAATTGAGCATACTTCCTCTCCCATCTAGAACTGCCCCTGAAGCCTGACCTAATAAAATATGCTATGTTCCTATAGATGTGCTCCCCTATAATAGTTGGCTGTATAAAACATATTGTATGCAGAGACAGTGAATGGGAAGAAAGGGGCCTTTTAAATTTGGTTGTAGAGCTTCATATCATAGATCAGGATGAGGGACAAACAGAGAAGTTTGCTAAGTTCGTAGATTTCCTAGCATGGAATGCTCCAATCACCTAATACTGGAGGTCATAAAACCGAACAGCAGTGCATGATGGTGCGTGCCAAAATATACCTCCAAACGCCGGAATCTGAGGATTATGAATTCATGAGTGGAAACGGAAAACGTTAAGGAGTTGATTTGGGTGGAGGTTGTTGTATTAGCAGTGCACTAAATATAGTCTTGATATAATGGCTAATGCCGGTAATCGTTATACTGGGTAGTAAGAGATCAGGTCGGTCGGGTTCGAGTGGGAAATCGATACCTCGGTATGGCTTTCTGCCCCATCTATGGATTCTCGGCATTGAAGTTAATGATAAGACGAACCCGGTTGACCAAAATATACTTCCGTTAATTTCTCAGTGATGTTTACCGCAGTGTAGACTGTGTAGTCAGTAGTTCGGACCAGATGGAAAACTGGCAGTTTGAATATCATCACTAAATCGACTGGCAATCAGATTCATGAAACTAAATTGCCAATTAAACTAATTTAAACCAGTTAAATTGATGGTTTGAAACACAAAATTCAATTGGTTGTTTGAATTCGTTAAACTAAACCGAATGGCAGCTTGTATTTACCAAACTAAACTGCCAGTTTAAACAGTGCACTAGTTCAACTGGTTATTCTATTGACTGCACCGCTTACTGTGATGAACATATTATTGGTACTATCATGGTACTATAACATCAAGGCATTAGTCATCTGATATTGGTATGATTTTCGGTACACCTCGATAGTGTAGATGAACTTGACTCAAGTCAGTTGAGTTGTAAGCGGACATCAAAGTTTTCGAAAACGCACCAGTGAAAAGAGCTCATTACCGTGAGTGTACATCCTGTTCCGTTCTCAATCCACATTCTAGTTATCTCAGACCTGGCGCCGAGCCAGTTAGTAGTTGCGAGCCGTATCACGGATGATATAACGAACTATTGTGACCCAACCCAACCCAAAGTTACACGAACGACGAACTCGTTCTCAAATGTCTCTCATCCAGGAAATTACATCTCCATGGCTTCCAAGCCTCTAAATCTATAATATACCTCACCTCAATCTACATCAGTCCAAGATCAAGGAACTCGTGACATACATCTCCCAAGAAGTCTCAAGCTTGAGACTTCCATCCACGCAAGGGGGCGATGTGATATATAAGTCTTGCGCAACGGCCATACATACATGCAGACGAGAGAGTCAGAAATTTCGAAAATAAATAGCATGAATGAAGATGGATGCGAAGTAATGCTTTTGCATTTGCATCATGTGTGTGTATGTATGCAAATGCGCATAGCCGTCGTACCTGCAGACTGAAGTGCAGTATTTCCGGGTGATGATGGCATCGTATTGTGAGATGTTGCTGCGAATTGTCAATTCAATGTATTTTTCCTGTAATGGTGTTTGTTGCTAGCATCCATTTTCACTTTTTTTTTACTGGACGCTTTGGTGCCAATGCAATTGCAATTTTTGGAACCTATTGTTCGGCTGTCACACTCATCTCATGCTGGAATTTTTGATTATTTGAAACCAAGTATTTGATTATCTATTTGAAGTTCGATATTAAGTAAATATAAGGCAGTATCAACTCCTTCTCCTCAAGCTCCATTGCTCACAAGAAGTCCAACCAAGTAAGATTACAATACAACCCAATACACCCAACCAATACACCCAACCAATACACCCAATCAATACCAATACATGTGAAGTCTGGAGAGCATGAAGGTTGGCCTGTCCTCCTATACCTTTTGTATCCTTTTCCACGTCCATTCCCCCCTATCTTCCAACAGTAAATCAATATAAATGTGCCAGTCAACCACAACACGGTTAGTAATAATGAAAGTGAATGCGTTTTAGCCACGACGATTTTCCCATCCTTATTTTTTTCATCTACAAACCGCCGTACCATTTTTCCAAAATGAATTAACAATATTTGCTGTCCCCCTTCAGCGCACCTATCGAAACCGCCAGTGAAGAAACTTTGACTGGAAATGCTTCAACCCGATATTAATAACCACTCAACCTCGTTCTCACAGGCAAGTCTTTAATATCAAAAACATCATGCTTGCGACTCTTTTTACTCATCGCCTCATACGCCTTTAGCGCGTCCGGATGATACTTAGTTCTCGCTCCCTTCTTAACCTTCTGTGTATGGAGTTTGAAGTGGGCCTTCAAGTTATCTGTCCGTCCGAAGCTCTTTGGCTTCTCCTCACAAAAGGGACATTTGTACTTTTTAGCCTTTATGTCGTGTGTCTTCTTATGCCGTTTGAGATGTTCTTGTCGTACGAATTTCCCGGGGCATCCATCGTATGGGCATAGCAGACTGGCGCGGCTTTCTACTTTTATCGGCAATGATTCTTGCTTTATTTTTCTGCGGGTCGTCTGTTTGGTCGGCGTTGCTGCCTGGATTCTTTGGAGAGCAGATGTGCTTTGCGGAGAATCATGGCACATCCTTCGTTGTTGTTGTTGTATTGGAGTGATTGGATCGTGCCCGAAGTATCGTATTGGAGAGATTGGATCGTGCCCGAAGCACTGATAATTCGGCGGGGTGAGATATCCTGGCGTGGAATGGGCAGCGTGAGAATTGTTGTAAGATCTTGGAGTGTTGAAATTCGATGAAGGTGTTCCAAACTTGATAGGTGTGATGGGACCTATTGGAGATGACTGAAAATCGGCAAATGTATTGATTAATGTTGTTTGTGTCGGGTCCACAAAGTCCATGGCTCCCAATGATTCGGATGTCGAAGTTGGCGAATATAAATCATCCATCAGAGATGGGATATCACTTGATGGGCATTGAGAATCAAATGACCCGAAGGCAGCTGGTGAGTAACCTTGGAAGCTGGTGTTGTAAGTGAGTGTAGGATTTGCATCGTTTAATATCTTCCCATCATCGACACCAAAGAACATGTTGGATTCTTGAAACATTTCTTGTGTCATTGTAGACATAGCACAGAAGGCATTGTCGTTTGTGTTTCCAGAGCGATATGGAAAGCCATGTTGATTTTGAAAAGACAAATTCTCCATCTTGACGGTCTCGTCATAAGACGTACTGTGGGTGCTCGACCTCACTGGTGTGCCAGCCTGAAGTTGTAAAGAAGTGTCCCAAGATGAATTAAAAGGATCACTCGCTGATTTAGTGAGTGTACTTGTTGGTGGACTGATTGAATAGGAATCTTCACTGTCATGGTACACCAGCATAGTTGTATGGGGGTAAGTTAAGTGATATCGTGAAGCGAAGACTAGACAACATTAGATTATCATGGATGATCTTTAGATTCTTACACGGAGAAACTTACATTGTGCTAGGTGCTCTGCACTCGGTATGTATATTTGAGAACAGTTGAAGATAATATAGGTAACTAATGAGTTGATGAGCTTCGATGAATTGCAGAGTAGCCAGGGAGCTTTCTCCTTTCATTTATGAATGGAGATATGAATGTCGACACCATCGATGCCATGAAAACCGGCTTCATTACCAATATTCTTACTCCAGAAGGGATATAGCTAGACAAAACTTACAGACTATTTGCAATTGTCAAGACAAATTTAAGTCGCGTTTTGAGTCGCGTACTGTCGAAGAACTGCAGTACGTGACACGCAAGGCCTGTGTGAATATGAATAGGGAGATCAAATTGGGCACAGTCAGACCCTTTTTGAAGATCTGAAGACTGAATTCTGCTAACTAGGAGATTAGTAGTCCCCAGAGACGCGCCGATAGACTAAGGAATACTCACTGTATAACTCCAATTTCGTGAATTGATAGCAAGGGAATCAAGGAGAGTGTTCAATTTTCGGAGACGGACCAAAAAAACAGTATGTTACAAGTAGAATTTCTGAGACGAGCTATTGTTCAGTGTTAAACGTATGATACCTTGCAGACGAGCTTCAAAATCCCTTGAGGGGGTGCCAGTCTCTCCCTCTTTAATGATCCCTCGCCTCGCGAAAGCCGAGTCCTGCATGTCGAACGATGGCAAAGAAGTCCTCGAGTAGGTTGGATCAACACTAGTCTGGCGAATTCTGGATTGTGGGGTTTTCATAAGACACTGATGATAGTCTATTGGCGAAAAGACCAAGGAAGTTAGTCCTGGGCTTGAGTCTCACCAAATTGCGTGCATATGTGTGCAAATGTATCTAATGGTACAGGGATCGATCATCTTTCACAGACAGAAAGCGAAGAATTATGCAGGTCCTTCCTCCACATCACACCCAAAAATGTCTGAACAATTTGGCAGGCAGCTCTCAATTCCTTGGACATTCACGGATTTGCACAGGGTTTGCCTCCCTGGGTGGAGATCTACCATCTTGCACATTCCCCAGACCGTTTGTCACAAGCCATCTATGAGTACACTAGGAGGTTGAGTTTTTCGCGAAGAATGAGACGATGGTCCCTGGAATGCTCAACATTATGACGACCTTCAGTAACACCGACGTTTAGGTAGCTTGAAGATGCAGAGACATCGGACCATTGTTAAAGGTTGCGTTTGATTACTTTGACTAATTTGACTGCCACTGGCGTTTTTAATCAACGTTAGAGGTCTCGATTGATTGTTCATTTGAAACGGAGTTCACGATAGGCACTACCTCAACAAAATGCTTTGTTTGGGTGTTCCAGGAAGTAGCCGATGATTGGACAAGCAGAGACTCACGATACTTCATTCGTCCAATTAATCTACTCTTCAAAGATACCTCCGGATTGTCAGCAGTCGCGCTTACTGCTGCCAATAATGGGGAAAGCCTCCAGTACTTGATAAACGCCTCCAAAGGAAAGCTGAAATAGCCACAAAAGCTTTTTTGTGGCTGATTGAGAAACTATTGATTGGAAAAAAGAACTGAAATACTATCATTTATCATAAAATATTCCACCAATAATTTTACTATAGGTTCGAATTTGACATAACGCAAACTTTTCTACTGATGTATATTCGAGCTTCAGCACTGGTCTCTTTCAGTACAAAGATACAGTCAGACTGCAAGAGAGCGAAAGTGTATAGAATGAGGTTGAGGTTGTGAGCCGGAATAGAGATATTGTACTCCTTCATTCAGTTCGGGCCAACTCTTAAACTCTCTCTTCATCAGATCGGTCCTTGACCATTGACAAAGTCTTTTCGGCTATCCTGTCTATTGCGATCAAAAAACAAATAGAAATCTAATTAAGGGCATTGTGTTTGTCAGAGTAACCAAACTTAGAGGCCAACGCATTACTAACGCTACAGTAAGTTACAACTTGCATGCATAACTTATTTCACTGCCATATTTGTTTCCTGTCAATATACAACAAGAGAACCGGAGGTAGTTCCCCAACATTTCCAAGCTTTATTATTCGCCAAGCGACAATTAAAGTCTTCCCGGGTTATTTCAGCTGCATCCTCATATTTTCGATTGACTTACTCAACTACTCGTACATATCCATCTTTGGGAACTCCATATGACGGAATTGTATTAGTCTAATTCCTTAGTTTAATGTGATATGTCATGCATTTTTATCACTGCTATCAACATCCCATATACTCATGTTTCTCCAAGCTTTCTCGGCAGGACTATGCGGGCTCCTCAAATCGCAGTCTGTTCCTAAAAGGTAGCGGAAGTTTTTTGTGCGGATTTCCATGCGATAAAATCCGATACCTTGGTTCTATCGGCCAACCAACCTGAGCACGGCTTACTGCTGCAAACTGTGGTCAAAACGCTAGTTAGTGTTACGTGCTTTATCTTCGTACTATTCTGGACTCTTTCCGTATGGATACCAAAGAGAGTGACCTGCATATTTGGAGAGCTCTCGAACGTCAGTAGCATATATTCATAGAACAATGCATCTCCGGCGGGAGGAAACTATAGTCTAACACCCTACGTCTAGATTTCGGAGGATGGATCCAATTTCTAGATGTATAGCATCTCTTGGAGGAGTCCTCTACGTGCACCAGCTAAGTAGACGGTAGAGAGCTAAATTAAGTAAGCAGTTAAAAATCCCTACGAGAGTGTGCAATCCGGGATTCTTGCATGTGAACCTGTCTACCCTTCTAACTTTGACCTTGTATCCAACCATCAAATTTTTCGAAGCAACTATCCGACATGCACTCGGCCTCGTTTTCCTTGTCAGTTTTCGTAGCATCCCGTTAGGACTGCTGATACGGGTTCTCTCCATGAGCTCGAATATGGGGAATGGGCAGGAAGACGTTCCACTCTCGCAGAGGGAAGTCACATTGACTATGAAGAGCCATTTGAAGGTGTAGTATATTCTTGGCGGACTCAACATTTCATCTATAAACAGAGAGAGAAAGCATCGTGGAAAGAATGCCTGACATCTTGCTCATGCACTTGAGACCTCTACTCTGACAACTCTCACCAGCAAATATTTTGGCATAGTTCAAAGTCAACTATCATCCAACTTCTACAACACAATTCCAGTTTCCAAGCCCTCCGAAAATGTGTCACACGTACATCGAGTTGTACTGGAACTGCAACCACCCCACCGGACATCAGATTGTCGTTCTTTGTCGGCACGCACCACACAATTGTATGGAATATTCAGAGATGGTGAAAGCAGGGCCTTGTCCAGTACATAATCCACGGGGGAATACCGCTAGCAGCAGTTTGGCGGCCTTTCCTGAGAGTACATCCGTAAGTCATTCTCAGGATGAAGTCCCACAGTGTATTAGAGCTGACAGCTGTGGAATAGTGATTCAGCGACCAAGGCGGTTGGCGCTAACCAAGTACTGTATGTACATCCTCGTTTCGTATTTAGCCGGGAATTCAGATGATGCAGCTTCAATGGGGACGACGCTGACTAGATCCGCCGCATGCGCTGATTACATGTACCACATTCTCTTGTCTTGTACATGTCAGCCATTTCTATGACATAACATCTCATTGATTTCGATTCAGGATCTAACAGCTCGTCTTATTCAGGCTTCTGCAACCTCTAGTTTTTTCCACGATCGTTCCTTGTACTGTGCTACAACATTTTTCAATCCTCGCACCAGGCTAGGGGTGCTGGAATCTACCGGTATTTCTTGTGAACTTGGCCGTTAGTGTGGAGACACAGGCTCTTAATTGACCTCTGATGTGTCGGCTTCGTGCGGATGCTCTTGTAACCTTTCATATGTACGCGATACATGGAGTGGTGTTGTTTTTCGCCCGTCTAAAAAGGAGGCTAGTGTAATGTGTGTTGCTCTCAAACTGTCTCTTGTATGTATAGCTTTCTACTGCCGATGGTTTTCACATATCTTTTATCAACAACTCGGCTTGTGGGCAAACGTTTTACGAAGTTATAGTAATAAATGATGATTAATGGGCTGCATTTCTATCTCAAAATTGGGAAGAGAATGCCAGTGTTGAAAAAACGTACTTTCTTGAATACTTACTCTCTAATACTAGGTGCCGAAGCTATCATACTGTCCAAACTTGAGGTTTTCTACCGGAATTGACACAAATTAGGGATTTTCCTGCAGGATCAAGGTGCATGAACTGGTCTAGAACACAAAATACTCAAGTATCTACCAAAGTAGTTTATCACAACTATTGTTATGATCCTTATACCTATCATCCAATCCAATCTTCAAGTAGAAGCTTCTCCATCAACTTTTCTTCATCTCACAGGCCCACGTCTACATAGCTACATGTAAGACCCCCTGTTTTTCAGGTACTCTATGGAGTGACATTCTAGTGGAGCGGAACGATTCCCGCTTCAAGCGCGTCGGAGCATTTAATGCTACCCCGGGCCCACTCTAAATGAACGTACCACGAGAAGATTATCATTCAAGATACTATCCAAACAACAAACGAACGAGAGCAAGCTTGCAGAAATCTGATAACGTCTTCAACCTAGCCTACATTCCACCGACGTCAAGATAAGCAACACAGCAGTTGTGTCACAGCAGTGCAGTCCGCTTTCACATTTAGCTTGCTTGGAGTTACATGACCTACCTATTTCTATATTTTGGTCCGAGGATTGGCACTTCAGCAGAGGCTAAGGGATGAAACCCCACAAAATTTGCTCTAGGCTATGAACGTACGCCGGACAAACCGATTCCGAAGACTAGCTGCTGGACGAGCCGACTCGCTTAACCATAACGCAACCTATATGTACTTGCCAGACTTGACATACTATATATACGGTACTCCTCTTGCCGAAGTCGGACTCGCTGGCCTACCGATTGAGGGCCCCGAAGATGCATGGGTCTAGAGATCCGTGAAGGCACACTGGATACTATATGCAACTGCCATACGAGTTTCCATGAAGACGGGACGGTATCCAATCAAGAGTCATCGCTTTCCTCCAAAGTTTTCGTTGAAATAATCACGAATGAGGATCTATTTGCAGGAAACATACTATTTGATGCATGCAATCAATCCATGAGCGGCTGCACATTAGGTTTGGCGCGCCAAAGGCTATATTTTGCCTTCGGAAGGGTCTTTCCCTCTCGTGTTCAGGTTCGCGAGGAGGCTTATATCCGATGCAAAGTTGAAATGTGTACTCTACCTTGATACCGAAACTCGATTGATAGATAATCAAGACCGCCATCCATCGTATATTAATCTATCACCGCTCTACGAGTAGATGCTACTAAATAGGCTGTATTATCCCAACAGAATGTGTTGTGAAGACGTGATCCTAGTTCTTACACACACTGTTGGAATGATCATCAACATCTACTAAGCAGGCAAGTTCAGAACAGTTCGAGATCTGCCATGCCAGCGTCTGTTTAATGCCATTGTTAGTATAGTGGTGTGTAGAAAGTGCGATGAGTCGAGTAGATGGTAGTCACGACCCAAAAACTAGTTTCTTCGCTTGGATGTTGCCTGTAAATAATATCATGCTAAACGCTTATTTAAAGTGGGATGACCAGAACTTCAGTTATATCATTGACATCTCCCTAACTGCAACGTCTCCATTCATCGAACGGCTATGATTGACGAAAAGCTATTTCATGAGAGTGACAAGCAGTCGAAACTTCGAAGGGACATCGTATTTACTCAATTAGGAAGAAGTTCCCTGTCTGTATCCTCGAACCTCACGATGTCGTCCTCTACCATGGCCAAGTGTTTTCCACCAGCATTGCACGCACAGAGAACTCCTTCCAGGCTTTCACTCATACTTACCCCAATAGTTCTCGTATCGTACCGTGTCGATCTCGATGTGAATAAACGAAAGTCTGGGCCTCAAACAAATGATTGGGACAACGGCGGCTCTCAAATTAATGATTGAAGGTCTTTAATGATTCGTAATTCATGGCCATTGGAAGAATTGGATCGGAGCATAATCACAAAATGAGTTAGTTGCATACTCTACCGTTATTAGCAATGCAACGTGATAGCCTGATAGGTCTCTCGCTTCAACACTCGCAGGGCTCTCACCACACTCATTGTTCTACCCACCCTCCTTCCTTATCGTCGATCCAGCATCAACACATACGAAATCATTACAGAACGATGTCAACAACGCAAAGCACACACAATAACATAGCTCGGCAAGGTCGAGGTGAGATATTATATCCAGCGGTCGCCTTTCCATGAACGTTTGAGATAATACTAGCATTCCGAGATATTTCGGCGCAGCATGACCCGCACAACTTGCAAATGATAAGAGGAGGGCCTTGTCAGTTAAATATAGCGTTGCCGATTGAGATATATGTTCGCTAAGCAAGCATCTATCAAGTTCCCTTCCGCCGAACGCGAATCTGCACACCAACCGAGCCGAGAGGCTAGGCATTAGAACACGCTCTAGACCTACCTTCATCGTCACTATCCCCGCCTTCATCTCAATACCACATTATAACATCAATTCACAATATCAATTCACAACTAATACTATCTTCTTCCGCTTTATGCTGCCGCTCACCCGAAAGCACCAGCTTCTTTAGCAAAAGTATCTTCGCCAAACCACCAAGGTTATGAAAGGCGCCAATACGAAAAGTTACGAGCTTCCTCAAATCAAGTTGAATGCACCTACAAGCAATTTGAAGCTATCTTAGATGAAATTTGCACGGCCTCGCGCAGTGACAGATACTCACTTAACCATCAATCGGAAGAATGATTCCTATCTTCCGAAGCCTACCTCGCGAACGGCTCTTGGACACTGTACTAACGACTAGCGCTCAAGGATCTCTCAACGTTGTATTCCGAAGAAGTACAGATACGAAGTGAGGTTGGCTAGACCGAGCTAGCTTTCGCTAGATGCCGATGTTGTCTTCTGAATGAGGGACGTGTATGATCTGACTAGACTAAGGACCAAGTTCTTCGCTAACTGCCGACATAATAGTTTTCCAACAAACACTCGAGAATCTAAATTATATATGAAAGGGGGACGGATAATTGTAGACGAGACAACCATTTCGATATTGTGTCCCTGTGCGATGGGTTCTTGAGACCAGCACTACTATCGCGACGATTATTAGCTGTGGAGAAGTAATACAAGACTCGTTTCTACGCCTAGAATGGAATGGCTACTCCACTACTACCTATCAACTACTCGAAAGCTTTTACGATACTGTGGATCACGCCGGGTGTACTTGTTTGAGTGGCAAGCTTCTCCGCCAGTGGTAGTTAGACGAGTATGTACTCGTATGATGTAGTGAGAGGTAGGTGACAGCGTATGAGGGATGTTGAATGATTCTTCGGAGTGCGAGCGAGAGGCATATATACCCTCGCGATCAACGTCCTCGAGGGTTTATTCGAACATACGCTTGTCTATTAGTATTTCATTATCTTACAGTAAATCAATTCATCCATCAACATCAACATCAATCTCACACTAGAGCAATGTAAGACTTACATAATTCCTACCAAAGCTCTAGCACAAGATCAAAGGAGAAGTTTGAATGAGATGATGAGATTCATGACTCTCGTTCCTAATCTAATCTCCCAATCTACATAATGTAGCCAAGAAGATATATCTAGGCTTGCCTCATCGTATCTCACTTCATGTATGTTAATTTTTAAACCATCATATCGATACGAACTCCTACGCATGATCAAGCCAAAGTCCAGATACAACAACCAAGTCCCTCTACAAAACACCCTCCACATTATTAAATACCACTCACTACTCTCACTACATTACATGTAATCTTCCCACTTTTCAAGAATATCCCCCCCAAGACAAAAACACCCCATACCCGCGTAAAAAGAATCCACCAATCATATCCCAATAAAGCAATATCCCAGAATCCCAATATCCAAACGATCATCCAAGACCCCCTCAGACCCATCAAGCCCCCTTCCCTCCAATCACCAAAATCTCGGGCACCGACCGAACCCGTATTCCCGATGTGTTATCTTTTTATCTCGGACTTGCCTTGCCTCGCCTTGCCCAACACCCGAACGGAAGGAAATACATTTAGGCGACCCAGTGGTTCATACGTTCGGCTTTTCCTTTTGAGTTGTTTTGCCGATTTTGCTTTTTCGGTTTTGGATTTGGATTTATGTTCATATTCGGATTTAGATTCAGATTCTTTCTTTTTTCTCTCCCAGTCTTGGGGGATTTATTAATACACTACACACAGAGAGAGAGTTCTTTTGAGAATGTACATACTGTAGTTGTTCTGTATGTGGCGTGAATTTGGAAGTTGTTCGTATGCATTCATATTCATATTTCATATTTCATATTTTCCATCTCCCTCTCATAATCACTAATCTAATCCATCAATTTGAATTTCGAAATGTCATATTCTATGAGAATGATATCACTTCATATACACATAAGTCACTAGGAAGTATCTGTATAACATATAAAAGTATGGTGTTTCAATTTTCATATTTAGACGCGGAACAGATGAGGGGGCGCTTAGATTTTAGACCCCCTGCTTGGTGACACCAAATATTAAGGGGGGAGGGGGGGATATTCGCTTATGGTTGGGGCGCGCGAGGGGTGTGGAGATGGATGTGGTTGTGGAAGGGATTTTGGGGTTTGGGTTGGGGGATTGTTTGGTGCGTGTTTGATGGGTTTGTTGGAAGTTGTGGGTGGAATTGGAATTGGAATTGGAATTGGATTGAAGGACGATCAATGGGGGTGTTGATTGTAAGATTACATATTCGCATAGTACACTGATTATTGGGTTTATGCGCGATGGAGGAATTGAGTAGTGAATCAGCGGCGTTGTGTTTTTATTTCACGTTTTTGGGTTATTATTGCTTGTTGTTGAATATATACGATTCCGGGGATCTGTGAGAATCAATTTTGATTGAATGTATCGAGAACGAGAAGGCATCAAGGGAAAGAGAGTATCGTGCAATCTTATATCTCTTTACTTTCATTTCATCTCTGCTGTCGCGATGTATGAAGATTGATATGTATTGATCCATTAAGGCAACGTTAACACGATACATCTTTTTGAGGTTTTCCAGAAATTGAAACAGCTGTGTATCAATGACTCGCACTTTCACCTCCTCCTCCTCCTCCTCCTCCTTCCGAAGAGTAATCAGCTACTCTGTAAGTACTATATGAGACTTGGAATATAGTGATATGAATTAACAATATATAATTTGTTCACCGGCTTAGTATTTGTTTCTAAGAGATAACATAATGAGAACTACTCACAATAGGCCCTATGTCACTCGCCCTATAGTAAGATGGTGCTACAAACAGATTCTACTGTAAAGGTTGGGACCCGACTGCAAACTGGGATTCTTATAATAAGAGAAAACTTCTCCAAAGGGAAAAACAAAGCCTTTCAACTTACCTTTCCATAAAATAATTGTAAATCCTCCCTCACTCTTCAAAAATAACATAAAGTGCAATTGATATCAGTATCACTTATTGAAATGTATTTTCTGAATGAAGTTACTAAACTAAGTACGGAAAGTACGGAAGTACCACCCTTTAGTGCTTAAACTCCCCACTGTCGCGTCTCCATTGATAGTTACAAAAAAAAAAAGATCCCACGCGATAACATCAAACATCAATTAAATATTAATTTTACTTACCTATATTGAGTCTGAACGATTCTACCTTCATTTATCAATATTTGTAAACCATAAATCTATTATGGCAATGATGGAATCCTTCGTCCAACGCTTCAATAGATTAGAAGCTCAAAGAGAAACCGGCAATGAATTAATTAAGGTGCGTTTATTTATTCATTCATTCGCCGCCGCCGATGCCATGAATTTGGTGAAGAATTAATTATTCTAACTTCAATTGTCTCTAGGATCTTCTGATTTATATCGAAAATGTCGAAAACGGTCTGCGACATGAAAATGAACGTCTTACAAAAGAATTGGAGGATGCACATCTGGATTTGGATGATTCAAGAAAGTCCAGAAGAGAATTGCAAATACATTGGAATTTGACCACCCAACACTTAGAACGAGCTATCACGGAGAATAGCATTTTGCAGGTAGGAAAGGATTGGTCTGGTAGTTGCTTCAATCACTGATGCTTCTTCGCAACGTAGAATCGAAATCCATACATAATAGCCCTAATTGATGCTGATGGCATGATTGTTAGTTTGCACTTCCCTCATCTCCCGAGCGAACTTTTAGCTGATGAGTGTTACATAGTTCAACCAGGACCTCATAAATCAAGGACTCGAAGGAGGTAAAAAAGCAGCTAACCTTCTCCGAGCATCAGTACTCGAACAATGTAGTGGACCTCAAACTGAGGAGATTGAAATAATGGCCAAAGTCTGTGCCAACTATTCAGGATTATCAAAAGCCATGATGCGAGATGGATCGCTCGAAGCTCTCGAAAGATTCAAAGAATTTACTCTAGGATTTACACAAGGAAAAGCACATTTCGATTTTATAGATGTCGGCCATGGAAAAGAGAGGGCAGATTCAAAGATTAAAGGTTCGTTTGCTGTTACTCTATTTTACGGTCAACTCAATGAAAAGCTACCGTGGTACTGACTTCTACAAGAATGTATTAGATGGCATTTAAGAAATTGGAACTGCAAACAACTCTTGCTTGGTATATCATTTGATAGCGGGTATGCACCATTTCTCGACGAAGTGATTACACAGGACGATCGAAACAGAATTACAATAATGGAAGGACCCCCAATAGTCCGCGAACTCTCTGCCGTTGGCCTCCGTACTCTCAAATTCGAACAGATATTTCGCTCCGAGAAATTGATTGACAGGACAACAGAAGCCAGTTCTTCATCTGCAGCATCAACTTGGGCAGGTGTCACCTCAATACCTCCTCCTACACCACCCACCGCCGTGGCATCACCAGCATTGGGTAAAGCCACTTCGGCAACCACTCCAACAGCCACTTCGGCAGGGATCAAGAAACCCGATGTTACAAGTAACGTTTTTGTTCGATTAGGCTGGACTCCCGAGCCTCGAGGACTTGACCCCCCAATACACGTCAAGAAAGAGGTATTGGAAGCGGTAAAACGAAGAACCAACAATAATAAGCTTTGCAATAACCATTATCTTCGAGGACCTTGTTCTAAAGGAATCGAATGCTGCTTTGAACACGATCACAAAGCGACGGAGGAGGAAATAAAAGCCATTGCTCATCTAACACGACAAAATCCTTGTGTCAATGGTCAAGATTGCGACAACGAAGAATGTATTTATGGTCATCATTGTCCGAGTGTGGTCATTCCAAGTGTTGGGCCCAAGGAGCCTACTTGTATGGCATTCGCTTGCAAGTTCTACAAAGAAGATCATCCTCCAGGAACCATTATCAAGCATCCAAAGAAGGACTATGTCGAACGATATTAAGAAAAGGTCCATTTACCTCCATTGGCCCGGTACTCTTTGCAACATCGTATAATATTTGCCACTGTGACGAAGAGAGAATGAAATCTCGTTGATTCATGAATGGGGGCTTTTCTGATTTGATAATGGGATGCGATTCTCTGGGCACAAACAAAAGTTATATTTAGACTCGAAGAGTCGATTTTTAATTGCAATAAGCTGGCTTTCATGGATACTCAGTACTTGGCTTAGGGGATGGAAACAAAATCACAATCTTTTCATTGCTGCGGCATGTCACTCTTTGATATGAATCACGGTGCCTTTTCCAGGTCACAGCTGGAAATAATATAATTTTGCCATCTGAATATTTTTGAGCCCTATTCATATGTGAGCCTCGGTGAAAGGAATCGGGTAGGATATATGTCGCTGTTCTTCTTTTCAATCTTATATGTCTGAAAGGTTATGTGAATTATTAATGGTGACAAATGTGATAAATGTGAGGTAGGTTTGTTTTCTGTGATGTGATGTTTCTATGATGTTTCTACTCGAGTATGAGTGTTTCTGCTTCTGTTTGTCTTTCGATGATGATGTTGTTGATGTTGATGTTGATGTTGATGATGATGATGATGATGATGATGAGATTGGTGTCGATGATGGGGAGTTTGGGCGTTTGTTTGGTGAGAAAGGGTGAGAGTGAGAAAGGGTAGGACAGGGGGCGAGGTAGGGTGGGATAGGGGTATGTGCTATGTGCTATGTGCTATGTGCTACTGTATATAATAAATGATATGCGATGCAGCTGAGTGAGATGGATATGAATGGGGATGGATGATGGGGATGGATAGTGAGATGGATAAATGATTGCAAAGTGAAATGAATAATTTGATGGATAATGAAATAGATAATTGATCAACATAGTGAAATGAATAAATTTGATAGATGGATAAATGGGTGGACAGTAACAACTTATAAATTTTGTGTGATGTTATGTGTGTACATAGTAGTGTGTGAGGGGGGATGTGGGGAGAACTTATGGGGGTATGGGGGTATGGGGGTAGGCATTTGGGCGGGGGTGTACTCGAGTACTATTGTATAGTGTATGTATGTATGTATGTATCACATTTCACATTATGCTAGTAAGGGGTAAGAGGTGGAGTGTGTAGGGTAAGAGATGGAGGGTGGAGTGTGTAGGGTAAAGGGTACAGGTGATGTGTGTATATATCTTGCTTGAATCGGATTTGGATTTGGAAAGATGATTTCAGTGTTTGAGAAGGGGTTTTGAAGCTAGAGGAATAGGGATAAGAGAGTAGGAGTTGGAGGGATAGGAATGAGGAATGAGGAAGTAGGGGTAGGTAGGAATTAGGAAGCGGGGATGTTTTATTGTGTGTGATTTTTGTGTTGTTGTAGGGGAGATGTTGGGTGTTTATTTTCAAGTCTGTTATGAGGGATTGTGAATAAATGGATGGATGGTTTGGAGAGGGTTTAGGTGTGGATATGGGTATTATATTGTAATTTGTAGTGTATTGTATTGTGGATTCGTGGGTGTGGTACTGGTACTGGTACTGGTACTGGTAGTGGGTTGTGTTGTGTTGTTGTGTTGTTGTGTTATTGGATCGGAGTTTAGAGATATTCTGGTGGGATGTTGGGATGTTTTTGGGGGAGGGGAGGGGAGGGGAGGGTTTGTATTTGTTTTGTGGGGAGGAGAAGGAGATAGAGGAGGAAGAGGAGGAGGAAAAGGAAGATAAAGGGGGAGGAAAGAGAGGTATAATGTTAATCCTTGAATTTATTTGTATAAGAGAAGGATATTGTAAAAAGGGGATAGAAGCGAGTAAAAGAGATGGAGAGGGTGATATTCGAAGGAATAGATAGGCATGAGATAATGTAGAAAAGATGAAAACGGAAGGATTAAGGTAGAGTTTCATAGAGTGAGAGGCAGGAGTGAGAGGGAGAAGAAAACAGTAAATAAGGAAAAATAATATCAAACCAAACCAAACCCATAACCCATTGCTTCCATATCATAGCAAATACAATACATACTATCCAGCCCTATCACTTAACCCCAGGAGCTCTTCTTTTCTCTCTATAAAACTTTCTTTCATTTTCATCCACTGTCTTGCCTCAAGGCATCCATTCTCCTCCCCCTCCTTGAATATCATAAATCATTCAGATATCAGATATCAGATAATCCTCTTAACATCTATTCCATCCATTCCATTCCATCCCATCCCATCAAACTCCATAAACTCCATAAACCCCATAAACCCCATTTCCCAAACATCCCTACTATCCCCAACATCCCTAACATCACCAAAAAGACCCTCAGTACCCTCCCTTCCTTACCCTTAACCCCTCCCTATACTTTCCTTTCACTCCCCCAAAACCACCACACAAACCCAACCTGCGAACCTGCACCACATCACGACCTCTATACCCCATCCTTACACAGAGCTACCACAAAACCACACCATACCATGACCAGCCACCCCCGCGCAGCGCTTACATTACATGTGACGTTGTACTTCGCAACCTCCGTTGTACGTTTTGCCGCGGTACATCAGATCTGACATACTTCATGAATGTATATCCATCATATATTATGTACCTACTCGAGTAGTATTACTCATATGCCCAGTGACTACAGTACCTTAATATCCCTAGGGGAATTATGCACCTAGTATGTATTGCTATTCCATTCCATTCAACCTATTGGTCATATAGCATGAATGTGAAAAGTACAGATTCCACAAGTTCCCATGAAATTCTTCATCGGATATACGAGTATGGGCGGGAACGAGAATAATATACATATAATGTGAGTATGAGTACAGGACCATGAATAATACCGATATACAGACGGGTGCTGAGAGCGAGAGAGCGAGAGGGTGAAAAATATGCCGAGGGGAGGGGGGAGAGGCGAGTCCCGTACTATACTGTACTGTCCTGTAGAGTATTTAGGAGTAAGAAAGAAAGCAAAGGTTCTACTTATCTATCTAGATAGATATATCCCATCCAACTCAGCTCAGCAGACGCTACTCCAACTCCAAACAGTTTTAAATTATAGGGAAGTGAAGCGAACATTCAACATCAAAGCCTACCCGAGTAGTTCTACCAAAATAAGTATTGTATATACTCGAGTACTCCGTACAACTAGTTTTCTCACCATCCACATCCGCATCCACGTTCACCCTGCATACGCAGTATTTCAGTATTTGTCCCTCTACACCATCACTATACCATCACCATCATAAAACCCATTGGAAAGCACAAATCTCATTTCTATTCAACCTCTTCCTCTACCAGAATCAATATCAACATCAACATAACAATACCCTGCTCCGACATTCGGTTTCCTTTCCTCTCCAAGCACCATCCAATCGCACACAACGCCCTATACCCGTAGTCCGTCTCGCATATAGGCATATAGTATAGTGATTACAAGCACCTAGGACATTCATTCCATAGGCCGATAACTGCATAATGAGGGTGTTTGGGTATTTAGTTTTTGGTTGACGAGGGGCCTCCTCCCGGTGCCGGTCGCTTATTTGCAATCTCTCATATTTATTCATGTGTATACTCGAATAGATGCTAGATTACATCACCTGCATCATGTACTCGCATCTTGTACTCGCGCACAAGTAAAGACCATCGTGCCGCGTGAGGAGGCCATGCAGAATGCAGAAAGGGATTCGTAATTCCTATCATGGGATGCCACTTGACGCCCCCAACAAATGACAAGTCGAGTGCATAATCTTATTGAGTATGCACTGCAGCCATGTTTTTGGAATCTTGATAGCTTTGACAGCACTTTTTGGAATGCGAGTCTTAGAGGTGTGGCATGTGAAGATTGAATTTATTCGATTTGAAATGTAGGTACAGTACTTGTATATTACCGCACTTACTGGTACTTTTATCTTTTTCAATGCCGTAAACTATTTCAAGTGGCTTTTACCTTGGATTTTGTACATGTCGGATATGCGTCATTCTTTGGTTATGTTTTTTATATATATAATAGAGGATTGAATTGAGAGTGATGATCAATGTATAGGGATATGAGTGAGAGAAAAGAGGTGACTTTGAGTGAGGTTTAGATGTCTGAAAAATAATGATTTAGGATCTGTGAAAGAAGTAAATAAATGGCACAATTTCCCGGGTATAAAATTGCCATTTTTAGTGTGGGAAACTTTGATAGATTGATTGAAATTGTTAAGATGAGCCAACTGACGCGGAGTCATCGGAATCATCTTCGTAGTCCTGGATTTCTTGCTTGGTAGCTTCCATTCCCTCAGAACTCATAAGTCTGTCGTTCTTTTTATTGGCTATTAGGATAAACTTGATTAGTGATCACATCTCAAAAATCTGGTGTGGGTGCGAAGAACTTACTCTCAGGGTCAACGAAAAACTTCTCTTGGACTTCACAATCTAGTAAGGTCGAACCATCTCCGATTTCACTCCTTCTCCCTAATATGCATCCCGTCAATTTGCACGATTTACCTACCACCACTCCATCCATCAAAACACAGCGAGTCAATTTAGCTCCAGTTTTAATTTGGCAATTGGCACCGATGACACATTCTTTGATGCTGCATTCCTCTTCCACGATTACATTTTCGGCTAGGAGACAGTCGGGTCGGTACACCCTGGTTTTCTGTGCGGCAATTCCTTCTGGGTAGGATACTTTGCTGTTGTGAGCGAATGGAGAGGCGGCATCGCGACCAACTTGATCGATGGCTTCAATTTTGGCGAGTTGAAGAGATACGTTTAAAAGAATGGGGGCGGTATCGACTCGTCGAATGAAGGGCGGAGATCCTTGTGAAGTGGGCTTTGAAGGATGGATGTACGCTAGGATTGGAGGTATCACCAAGCTTGATTTTTTGTCAGAGGCCGAAGTGTCTGATGATTTGGTAGATAGTGCATCCTCGAGTTTAGAGGTCCAAGTTGTACTCAAATTGCTGTAATCGATATCATCACTTGCTGGACTATTGTCGAGCATGTTGTCATCGGACTCGTCGGGTCGTGTGCTCTGGAAAATTTCTCGGAGGCCTAATTTGTCGCCTAGACCTTGTTGCCACCCCGCTTTAGCCCACCATCCAATAACATCTTCGCCAATGCTGTCCATGTGCTCGTTCACGCTGATCATGTCGATTACCCAGGCTGGGAAAATGTAAATATGCGCATCTCTATGGGAACTCAGCATGCGAATACGGGGATGGCTGCGTACTAGGGCATGTCGAATGGGTAAACCTTTCTTGTCTTCAACTATATCCTTGAGAGTATCGGTGGGAACCGAGTAAACCAGGTTCGAAATATGAGGAATCAAAGACGAATTCGAAGGTGGTACCGAGGTGGCGGCAAGGGGTGATGTTGCAATGAAATCGGTTTCTTCTCCTTTAATTATCGTTTCGCTCTTGGTCTCGTACCACACCCCAAGTCCACCACGTCTTCCACCTCGTTCACCACCAAGTGCCATTTTTGGGCCCTCGTAACCCCCTCCTGTGGCCCCGCCCAAACCTCCTTCCTTGATCATCCATGATGCAATTAATGACTCGCCGCCAAGCTCACAAACCAGATCACAGGGAAGTACTATGAAATCACCTTTGATGATGTTTCGTACCTCTGGCAATCGAAAGATCTGTGCAGTACCTGTGGTTTGATCTAAACTCTTGGGTGCTAATAAATCTGGTTTTGGTAATGGTAAACTTGTCAAATGCGGGTTAGTGGCCAATGCAGTTTTAATAGCTGCTTCTGAAGAAGAAGGTGTGATGAGAGTGATATCTGAAGAAGTGTTAGTATCTTGAAACTGATGGTATATACAGAAATATGACTTGACTTACTGGTCACTCCCATTCGATGACAGAAATCGATAGGATACCAAACCATAGGTCGATTTGCTATTGGTATTAAAGCTTTTGGATTCTCATCTGGATTGGAAGTGAACGTGGGAAAAGATGATCCTGGCCCACATAGGATGATGGCCTGGAAGCCAGGTGCTGGCATTGCGTGAGGCATTATCGGTTATTTGTTTTCGCCTGTGGGATGAATGAGAAAATTCGGCGATGTGGATTTGAGAGGAAGGCAATTGCCGAATTTACCAAAAATATATGGCTAGCAGTAGATTATTGTACAGAAGTAAAGTCGAGCGACTAATTTGGCAGAGTTTCTTTGAAGAGGAGTTGTGAAAGCTTGTTGTTCTGACTGTTCGTTATCCAGCGTTTTCGTTGTCGTGTAAAAGTTTGGCGATGATGCTACTGGCTCTCGAAACTAGTGTCACATGAGTCATAGAGCCACGTGATTTGACGAAGGACAAATATTTTTTGCATTCAATTGGATTTTTTTTGGTTGTACAAGTTGCTTGATCTTGTATATTGGATCAGAAAGATGCCAATTCCTCTCCATTGATGAGAAGTTGGACGTCTATATCGCCGATATCACCATTTTATAATCCAGACGAGGGAGCGAGGAGGGAGAAGTATAATATCCTCTAGCAGATGTATTGATCTAGTTTCTAGTTTAGGCATAAATTAAGTAATTGATATCTTTCAGAAAGCCTAGTGGCCAAGAAGTACATGCATGTTACAAACAGATCAATCTCAACAGCGATATGCGGCAGGATAATAGAGTGAGTACATTGTTGCTTGAACATCAGGACATGGCGGAAATCTAGATGAGGGGTATTTCAAATTGTATTATATGAATTGTGTGTACACAAGACCACAGACTTCCCAGCCCAATCCTGATACACCGGTAGCGCTCCATGATCCCTCAAAGCTTCATGAACCCTTTTTTCCCCATCACGTTCCACATCCATACCAATCTCCATCTCCATCCCCATCCCCATACCCCGCTTTCCTCATCCTCTCACCATCCCTCTCACTCTCACTCAGCCTCACACCCACTCCCTTTCACATCCTCATATACTCACACCTGAAGATACCCTCATCCACTCACCCTAAAACCATCAAACCATCCAAGCTATCCCCCAATAATTCAAATCTAATTTCAACCATCCTTCAACCATTTTTCATACCCAGGAATTCAAATAATGAACAATCCAAATGAAAGATAGAACAGATATCATATTAATCCTAAGCTGAAGATAGGAGAAATACTGTACTGTACTGTACCTGTTAGATTGATGAGAAGAGGAAAGAAAAAGGAAAGGGAAAAGGGGGTAAAGAAGGGGAGGGCAGAAAGGGAGAGCGGTAAGTGTAAATGTGACATTAATTGATGTCCTGTAGGTGTGAATCAGAATCATTACCTACAATTTGGCCATATAACATAACCACAAAGAAACTACCAAAGAACCATGCTCGATTATATTATGTTCAAAACAATTAGATTTGTGCATCCAATAAAAAAGAATATCCATCCATCATACAAAACATTTGCGAGTCAGTTCAAGAGAAAATCCTGTGACCTCCAAGGCTCCCAGTCCGGTATCAACCATTCATCCAAAAAACCCTACGTCAAAGGTATAAAAAGAAATCGAAAAGACGCCCCTGATCTGCTTGCTTGCCTGCCTATTATTCCACACCAAGAACTTTTCTAGCCCAGTAATCCCCAATGCGATTCCCCTCTACAACAACAACGCCTCTTCCAAGGCCAACTCTATCTTCTCTTTCCCACCATTGTTCTTTTCGTGTCGATACTTCACTGCCACCTTCGGATTCGCTGTCTGCGAGTCCTCCATGGCCTCCATCGACGCCTACGACGAGGACAACGTCTTCTCGAAGCCAAGTCTGCATAGGGTTGATTGCGGAGCCATTCTCTCCGGCGAGGGATTCTTGTAGGTATACAAATTCGGGTGCGAGATGTCGGAGAATCTGAACATGGCCGGTTGGGGTGGTAAATGGTAGGACCATGGTTTCCTTTTCCACTAAGCCTAATGCTTCGTTATAAATTGGGCCGAATGCGGGTGGAGTCGAGGCCTTCGGAGGAAACATTGGGGTTCTATTGTTTATTAGCTGGTAGCTCTCGAAACAGGATTGAAGGAATTATTCTTACAACTGTCTGTCGCTTTCTTCCTCTGGTGTATGAACATCTTCACGGTCAATGTTCGAAAACGAGGAACTGATAGATCCAGGCGGTTTCTCGCCTGCAGCATCCAGCGGATGCTCCGTTAGCCCAGGTGCGAATATTAGAATGAATAGTCGTATTTTGGAGAAGTCGGTTTTTCGGGGGAGATGGGAGAGGATTGACTACAACATTTATTAGTAACTATCGGCTAGTATATCCCTATTAACAAACCGCATATTCGTGATGATAGCCTGCTTCCGAAGCAGCGTCATCAACGTGTGATTCGGCAGAAACTACAATGGCAACGGTCTTCCTCCTTCCATTACTGACTGGCGCTCGAGGTGCTGGGGAAACTCCTGAAACGCTCTCAGAGCGCAATTCAATTGGCCGTGGGACTGGAACCGATGTCGTAGTTGTGGTTGTGGTGATGGGTGGACTTGGAGCGGCATTTCGTCGTATAACTGATTCCTCCTGCCATGTTCTATGATCATCGAATCCGTGTTTATCTTCCTCCCTAATGGAAGAGAGAGCACTTCCCACAACTCCTCCTACCGCAGCGGCTCCCGCCGCAAGACTTCTACTAGCGCTATTGATGAATTGCTGTGGACTAGGCGTTCTTTGTAGTGCGCCCGACATCTGAGCTATATAGCCTTGCGATTCTTCCGATCGAGAAGGATGTGGCGGTAGGTTTTGTTCGGTTGTGCCGAAAGAAGCTTCCCCCGGTCGCATATCACCTGCGTATGAAGGAGGTCCTGTTCGAAAGCTGCCATCTGGATTTCTAGCAACAGGTTCTGGTCTAGGAGGTTGTAAAGGTCTGTTCTCATCTTCATCATCTTCATCGTCATCTTCATCGCCTCTCGTGCTCCATATCCATGCTACCACACCTACTGCGGCTGCAGTAACAGTGAAAGCTAGTGGTAACCAGTAAGAGGCATTTCCTCGACGCGCCTGGGCGCCTCTGCGATCGTATGGGGTTGACATTTAGGAATATTATCGCATCACATTCTCCATTGATCAGGTCCCCAGATATTGTAATAAATCGCAAATCATAAATTCATAAAAACTTGATGTGTGCTGCTCATTCAATTGTGGGGATAAATCATTGATCAACAAATCCCGAGGGGGGAGATTGGAGAAGGCTGGGAGCTTTATGTTGACCTGAGTTTTTACCCTGTCTGCTGCTCCTACTTACTTACATCCTCGGACCCTTTCTTTGTTTATTTGTTGTCCATGATGGCTGACCGCCTTCGATGGCTGACACGTGAATCGCGGCAAAATAACTCAAGAATTATTGACATTATTTTGACTTATGATTTTGATATTGAACTGCGATACATATCGATGACTAGCAGATCAACAAGTAGTATCTCGCAACTGTATGTGATATAAGAAGATAGGGCTATACAAGATTTCTATCATCGTGAGGATCTAGTATGTACAATAGGACTCAATTATCAAACCCTGGGGCACTACCTACTAACCTAAATATCTATCCCATCCAGCCAAATATATACTACCAGTGTGCTGTCTGTTATGCTATATCTTGTAGCATAATACCATTGAAATCATCCTGCAACCTGCCTTCACTTGTTGGCTACCACGCTTCTCCTTGAGAAATTTCAATGGCTCGAGCTGACCTCAATCCAAAGCACTCAATATACCATCTGCGGGATGCCGTTCTTACTCTCATTCATTGTTTAACTCCAACTCCAACTTTGCCTTTCGCTCCTACCCCATTGTTCCAAGTCCTCCGGCAACATCATCCACTCAGTTTCCAGCCCTAACTCGAGCATTGAATCCTAGAAAGGCCCAGCTCTTGCCATGTAATCGCCCCCGATATATTATTTTTAGCGCATCCTGGACATGCAGGAGTCTCGAGCCCGTCGTTTCGATCCCATACTGTAGATATATCCCAACCAATGCCATTCCCATTTCAACTGGACTCAATATGTTTCAGCAGCCCTGTAGCAACTGTCGAACCTTGTAATGAAATCAATTTCTACCTCCCTCAATGTCCAATTCCAAGCCAAACATTTGCAACCGGTTGTCCAAATCCAATTGCTACACTGAAACCCAGCTCTGGCCGATTGTCCTAAGCCAAGCCGCACACTCAATTGTCAGTGCCAGGGCGCCGCCACTATATATTATTGATGCGATCATCATTTGTGAGATTGTAGCCCGCGGCTGGCAGATATTCAGATCGGTGGATGGGTCAATATCGTAGCATATATCCTTCTCTTCAATTTGTGTATCATTTATTCCATTCTTAAATCGTAAATGTATTCGTAGACATATTCGTAGACGTATTCGATCTCTGAGCGCCTCTGCGACAAATCTGCGACAAAAAGAGAGCTGGCTGCCGGCATGCCCACAGGTATTATGGCTTCGAAAATGCCTTCCATATTATTAATTTCCTTCCCAGAGACGTTTTCCCATCTTTCCGCATATATATATTATTTGTAATTCTTCGTGGTCCGTCGATGTTGATCGAAAATCGTTGTGGATATTTGGTCGAAGTAGGAAGTGCGATGCGACTTTCGCTCAAATCTCGTAGGAGACAGGCAGGACCCCCAACTCCAAATCGAAATATCTCCAAAACGTGATCTTAGAAATTGGCCAAACTTTCCCATATCATTTAAAAGTACCTTCTTAACCTGAGCTCAAGTTTTCGAATCCAACTTTGACCTAGAACTCCCTCAATGCCCAAATGAAGAAAAACGCTCCTCGCCCCGACCAATAGCAGACCTCCATTTGCGCCATCACGTGATATTTTATGCGTCAAAAAAGTATTGTTGCACGTCTGAGGGACCCTTTGAAAATGGAGCTTTTTGATAAAGTACAAATTTTATTGCAGATATCGAAAGCTCGCAATCGCGCGAATTCAGGAAAACTATCCACGTTCAATTTGCAAGAATAATTGAGGTGTTGCAGCTTGGGGCGTTTTGGTTTTTTTTGGTGAGGAATTTGCGAGCGGCAGTTTCCGGTTTGTTTACACTTGAGAGCCTCGGCATACTTTTTCTTGATCGTTTGATGATGTTGGGATGAGAAGGACCTTGAGGGGGAGGGGGAGCGGAAAGATTCACTCGGATTCATTCTTTCGTTGGGGGTGGAGGGTTTTGGTTGCACGTCTGCAATCCCAATTCATGCAGTTCATTGGCTTGCAATGTTTACATGAAATTTCTGGCAGTGGGAACTTGATGGGCAGGTTCTTCACTACATACCGGAAGTTCAGACGCTTAACATTTTCAAAGACCTTCATTGAATATTCACTAGATTTCTTTACGTCGGCGGTGCGAAATTCCGCAAAGTGAATCCCACTTAGCGTAGAAATGGGTTTGGTTGCACGTCTGCAATCCCAATTCTTCAATTTAATTGGCTTGTCGTGTTTACATGAATTTTCTGATCATGGCACCTTGCATATGGGACCTTGATAAACTTGCTGGTGGCTTCACATAGGATGGTTCGGAATTTTATATCAGATGGGAACCTCGTTGGATATTCACTTGTATTTTTTTTTATGCCGAGGTTCGGCGGGATCATAGTTTTTCCAGGTCACTTTTATCACGTGTATTGAGGTTTCCGGGGTTTAACCGGATTGTTGCACGTCTGAGGCAGTTTTCCTCCCCCATACAAAAAATTTCAACTTTTGACACAGTTCGAAAAGTAAAGTTTTTAAAGCTGGAGGTTGTAGAGGAAACCTTGAATATGCTGAGGATTGAGTTTCGGGGGATTTGCAAGAGTTGTGGTGGTGTGGGAGCTCGGGGCGTTTTGAGATTTTCGGGTTTCGCCAGGTTTTGGTCGCAAAACGCAACCTACGACGGTGAGGTTGTGGCAGAAGCGTCGTATGGGGCCAGAGACTGATTTGCGTTCGTGGAGTGCGTTGCCGGTGACTATTCAGGGTCTGCGAAGACCATACCGGCTGTTGTGCATCCTCCATCTTACTTTTGGGTGGACCCCTCTCAGATTTGAGTGCAATGGCCGGCTCGTCGATATTCATGGGAAGTACCACAAGTGTGCCGCAGATATTGCCCTAATTCCAGGTATCATTGAACCCAATTTCAACCATATGTAAGTATTTGCCTGCTGGCGGGCGGTGATCGATGTGCGAGGGCGGGAATGATGGAAAGATATCTGCCACAGCGGATCATATACGTTAGCAAAGTGTCTGCAGTAGACTGAGGAACTCATAGATTGAGGCCAGTAGCCAAAATCGTTCAATTCAAATCGCAATGAACAAAATGCCCAGGTTTTGTTGGCACACACCCATTGTCCTTGCCATCCATTCACTTTGCGCCGACAGGAATTATCATTTTTTCGGGTGGCCAAAAGTACCGTTGCGACAAAGGAGTCTTTGAGATTTTGGTAAAAAGTACAAATTGAATAGTTGGGACGATTGTGGATGGTCCTCTTATGCGGAAACTCAAGTTTCGGAATGTTTGGGCAAGTAATTGTAGAGAATGGGCTCGGGGCGTTTTTGGAATTGGTTTTACTTCGATCTTCTTGGCTGCATGCTTGTTTTCGTCCGAGGCAATAGGATGTCTTAGGCGGGATGTTATAGAGATGGTATGACGGTAGTGAATGCAAATCGGACAATGCGTTGTGCTTTGAGGCGGTTACGGCTTTGCAGAACGTTTCCTTCGCTCAGGTTTCTCTTCTACAGTTCTTTCGGTAGGTAGGTTGAGTGGCCACACCTCTACTAGAACACTCCGCAATTTGAAACAATTTCCCCCGGCTTCCCATATTGTATTCGACTGCCATTTCCCTCGCACCCTCTTGTGTTATAAAAGTCGTTGGATCAAGATCAGAATCCGCCTTGCATCATCTGCGTGTTCATCGAGTTCCATCCTGTCTTCCACTTTCATCGTTTTAATTTTTACTCGTGTTGATTTTTGGAAGTTTGGTTTTGGTGGCGTCTGCCACTGCGATTCGGATGGAGGGCTTCAATGGATTATTCGATATCTGCAGCTTCGAGCGCATCCTGGGTTGTTTGTCGCATCTGCTTCCAAACGATCGCATTAGCCATTCATCACTTGCTTGCGCCTGCCAATACTTCGAGTAGAATCCCCCATCTACCATCTTGCATCAGTCTTCCCTCCCTCAAATAACTTTTTGCCCATCCTACCAGCACCACCAGCACCGAAATTTTTTGTGGCGCATCTGAACTACAATCCAAAGTTGATTATTATGCAAAAAGTACACATCTCAAGACAGCAGTTATAAATTAATAGCTGATGCGTTGACAATCTGTGTTGTTTCGATGTTGGTGGTAAAGGTTTGTTTACATGCTCTGGTTTGTAATTCTTGTTTGGACCTCGGCATGAAAGATTGGACGACAGTGAATAAGGTACCTTGTGGGTTGGGAGAGAAGTGTGTGGTGATATGATGGGATGCGAGTTGGCTTTGTTTTCACAGTAGAATGTAGTATGGTAGGGTGTGACTTTGGCAAGATGGGGTGGGACAGGAAGGCAACTTTTGTGTGTAGATAGAGAAATTATAAATTATCTGGAACTATCACAGTTCTGGATCCGCGGTATATAATTGACCATCACCAGTCGCGAGACAGATAGAGTTTGATTCTTGTTCTTGCTATATGATGTACCTTTGCTACCAAAAGGCATGCCCTTCCGGGTGGGAGCCCAGATTGCTCATGAACTGCAAGTTTATGATAGAGACCGGAATCTTTCTCTACATCCAGTCTCCCAATATTGTGTGTGTTATGTGTTATTTCGCTTGTGTCCAGAGAACATCCTTCAGCCCTTAATCTTCTTCTTCTTATCCTTTTTCTTTGGTTCCAAGGCCGCGCTACTTGATGGTCCATCCATCATTCCCGGCAGTCCAGGCATTTGTCCTCCCATCTCTGCCATCATATCCTTGAAAAAATTCTCACTGACACCACCACCAGACAAAGCTGCGCTATAATATGGTAATATTTCTCCTATATTCCATCCTTTTGGTACTGCAGGTCTGGCTAATGGCTTGCTAGGATCAGGGGGTGGTATGCCAGCGAGTTGAGGTTGCATGGCGGTTTTATCTGTGGTGGGGTTGTCTTTCAGATGTTTCGCGATGAATGTGTAGAGGTGGTGTTCTGTAATTCAACATGAGTTAGTTTATGCCATTGCCGCCTCTCGCAAAATGCGCCGAGGAAGTTCCCCAAAATAAAACGTACTGTTCTTGATATCTGGATTTCCCCCTCCTCTGATATTGACCTTGACCCGGCCCGGATTTGCCCAATCCTTAGGATGAGTCTTAACTGGCTCAAATAGAGTTTCGATTCGAAGTCTAGAGCATGCAGCTACGATTTCGCGGGCGATTGGATTTTTGACGGCCAGCTCCATGCCCACTCTTCTGCCTTCTGCTCGACTTCTGGTAGCATCAAAATATATTGGATATATGCACTGGAAATCTTTGTATTTGGAACTATCTTCCGTAGAGCGAAATTGTGTGCCATCTGCGCCGGTAGTTATTTGCGAGCCAGAAAATGGTATGTCGGCAGGGTTCATTTGAGAAGATTTGGCATTAGGCGGCGGTGCGCCATTGGTGGACGAGGGTGCTGGTGTCCTTTTCTTGATGATGTCGCGGTCTGAGAAATCTGAGGCCACATCTGAGATATCGCCTTCTGATGGATCGCTGGCGCCATATTCATTATCGCTGTCCTCGACCTCTTCGATTCGTGCGTGCGACATCTTGTGATTGAGGATGTGTGTACTTTGGAGTGTGGGGTGGTGGTGGTGGGGTTCTAAAATGTAGAAGCTCAGAAAGCTTGAGGCTGTCCGTCCGGGGGAAGCGAACGATTTGGTCACGTGAATATCGCAAGCTCATTCGAATTAGCAAGCACAGTTTGCGCGATTGAGAGCTCGAAACACAGGTCCGAGGGAAATAACGAATTTGGTCCAGACACGACTGAGCTTTTCCTTCATTATTTATGAAAATTGATGCTGATGACAGCGTTTAAATCTGTGGTGAAATGGACGACTATGATGCGAGACCGGTCAAGCTTCTTGATTATAGGAAAAGGAGAACGAAACTTCGAGGATGGGGAACTGAATCCTTTTATATTTTGTGTTTCTTCTTTTCGTCAATCTAACCAAGGTCCCAGTTCTATTCTGAGATTCATATTCCCTTAAAGGCCGGTATCTGCCAATCATATAGTTCAGCACTTATTAAAGGGATAACCTTCAAAGGTTCACAACGATGAGGCTGCGTTTTCGGATTCGAACACCCACTGTGCACATTTCTACCCTTCTTCCCTCAACTAACTGAGGTTGGGTCCAGCCGCATTTGGACGATATACAGCCTAGTTTTGAAAAGATATGGAGCAAGAATGGATAGTCAATCAATCCACTTTCTAGATTCTCCTAATCATATAATCTTATTCAGTTTTTGGTGTGATTGATAGCTAGATCAAATGGGTTGGACCCAATAATCGAGGTAAGACGGTATATGGATGACAATCCTTCAATCTGCGCAGCAAATCCTACATTCTACAAGCAGCTTAAGGTCCCCACTGGCACAGTCACACGTGATTCTCTGAGGTCCCATGTCGTCGTGGCTGATATATACAGCCTTCGTTCCTGATTTAGTATCCCTGGATCTTGAGGATTGAGAACCTCGAGATGTACATATTTGACACTCGCTGGAATAGTTGAGCATTCAGTGTACAATCAGATTTTCTTGTAACATTTCACGCTCTCCTGAAAATCGGCTATTAGAATGGCTGTGACCAATTTTGCACTGGGTCGAGGATAGCTAGTCTCCAAGTATGGTTATAGCCTCAAAGGTAAATTTACCACAACTTGAAATCCATAGGCTGTATCAGATTGATCTCACGTTGTACAAGACCCACCAGCTCGGTGAGAAGATTTGTGGCGAATGCTGCATTTGTTCTTCAGAAAAAGCAAAGTCTTAGGGGGAAGGGGGGGGGTTTGAGCGTAATCAGGCGGCAACTTTCGACCAAACCTTTTGTTCAACAACTTGGAAATCTGTTCGTTAATCTGCAGTGTACTGATTCTCTTTGAAGGGCTTGGGCGCAGTAGAGTAACGCAGCTAGTTCTGCAACGACGTGAGGATATACGAAGAAGACACTGGCCTTCTCTAGCTGGATCGGAGCCGGAGCTGGTTGCTATCTTCCCCGTTCATGGTTCGGAGATTTTGGAAGAAATTTGTGAGATTTTGAGGAATATGGGTATGATGGGCTTGGAAATTGGCAAGAAGACATTTGGTCAGTGTCAGGAGCAAGCTAGTGGGAAAGACAAAATAAATTGTTACGATATCAATATGGGGAATGATACTCACAGTGAGTTAGAAGAAAACAGCATCCTGGAGGGCCTTTTAATCCATGAAACTGGGGGCTTTCAAGTGGCAGCCCAGCCAGCCTTGTGTGGTAAACTCGGAAGTTTGAGACGATGGCCATTGTGTTGTTCTTCCTTCTCTCTTAATTTTGATTATTCCCCTACACAGAGAATGGCTTCCCTTTTCCTATCCTGACATGACATTCATTACCTGCAAGATAACTCTCATATTCGCTTATCAACAATAGTGTTGCTAGATAACCAAATTATTTCATTCAACACCGATCATTCACTTCACCTTCAAAACCTAACTTTACCTTATATCACCTTCCAGGGGCTATATTTGACAAGGCTGATCCATCAAAATTGCCTGAAGAAGATTTTCTGAGGCAGACCATAGAATTTCTCAACTTTTTATCTTGTTTCTCAGAGTCTTACATCAATTTTTTTGGTCCTTTCATATTAGCTGATTGCCCTACAACTGACTTGTTTTACAAATTAGGTCACACAATGAATTCTTCAGATAAAGCAGTTCACATTGATGACGGTGCTGTAGAAGTAAATTTTGAGATTGGTAATGATTAGGTTTCTCTTTTGTTCCCTAGTTCCCAATCTGTTCCTAGCAGTCCACCTACAATTTGGTTCATTCATTAATCGAGTGTTCAAAACCATCCATTAGTTTACGAGAGCATTTGGCTAATGGTGTTGTAAAAAGGATCTTCTAGATACAGAACTAAGGCGAGACCTACCTCATCAGAAGAATCTTCGTGTTATTTGACGGACACTCCAGAGAGAGATGCAGAATCAGATCCCGAGTTAAAAGATCTGACGGCCCTTAATGAACGGTCATATTCTGCATCTCTCTCTGCATCACCTGCTACACCCGCCACACCAACCAAAAAACGGCTCCGAGAGGACGGCACTTCTATACGCCTTTTTGAAAGCGATCTGTCGTGGACAGATCGGGAGATTTTCAACACTGCCAAGCGTCACAATGGAGCCTCAGTGACAAGCTTTCGTAGTACGAACATTAGATCCAGCCCTCCTCGACCTCAGACGGTTCTGCAAGCTGCTGCCCTCAGTCAAAGGATTCCGTTGCACAGCCTGCTTACCCACCAATCTAAACCTCCAATTGATCCTCTTCTTCCCAATCGGCTCAGCACCTCTCGCGCTGATACTAACACCCTTCCCCAGGCTTCTCTTCACGTGGCCCAAAAGGAAGTCATTAATCTAGACGACGACGAAGAAGACATCCGCACCTTCCAACTACCTCTCGGGGCCGAGATTATCGATCTCGAAGATCACGAGATAGAAGCTGAACTCGAGAAAGAGATCTTTGGAATTGAGCCACAAATTGATAATCAAGACAATTTCAAACGTGCTTCTCTTGTCCAACGAAACCCTGAGATCGTACCTCCCAATATAGAGATTACATCCTTAGCCTGGAAATCCAGTTCGCTCAGGCCCGGAAAAGCAGTTGAACTCAAAAATGGAACCTTTTTAAAGATCAGATCAATTGTCAAGAATCTTACAAATGATCAAGTTTCGATCAGAGGGTGGAAGCTCGTGCGGACTCGCGATTTCATTTTTGGAGGTGTTCTACAAAAGAAGAGGAACGAATTGGCGTTCATTCATGAAATTGATAGGGACGATAGACGAGATATTTTGGAACAATCTGTACATACAATTCAGCTTGACGATATTGTGAAGATACGCCGTTTGATCTGTACTAATCGATCGTTCCCGGAGTGTAGGTACAATAAAGAGCACATTCCTCCAGATATTGCAAGGAAGGAACCGAAGGAAATAATTAAATTTGTAGAAGATGAATTGGAACTGGTAGCTAGATGGGCTTTAGTGGCAAGGTATTCGGATGCGGAAGCAAGAGTGAGGAAAGGTTCGGTGGTGGATAAACCCAGAGATTCAGCGATTTTGAGATCACTGAACAAGGAAGAATGTACAAAGGGAGACTTTGTCAAACCGAATATTAGGAAGCTATTATGGAGAGGTGAAACCGTTTTAGGCGGCGCAGGAAATCCTAATGGCGACAAGTCATCCAACGCTGGCTCGCACTACACGTATGGCGATGGCTGTAAGCTCTACCCCCCTTGCAAACTTATAATTTTCTAACAAACCACTCAGATTGCGGAGCAGGGGGTATGACAGTAGGTGCGGCAGCCGCCGGCCTTGACATCAAATGGGGCTTCGATTTCAACTCTCACGCCGGCCTTACATGGCAAAAGAACTTTCCCAATGCCAACTTTCATCTCCTACCCGTCAACGAGTTTGCAGATCTTCACGATCCCCATCAGAATCTTTGGGTGGACATCCTGCACCTATCTCCTCCCTGCCAAGTTTTCTCACCCGCCCACACAGTTCCGGGACGCAACGATGAAATGAATTATGCGAGTCTCTTTGGTGTCGGAGCTGCGATCAAGAAGTCTCGACCGAGAATCGTCACGCTGGAGCAAACTTTCGGAATCCTACATCCGAAGAATAAAAGGGCTTTTGATGGGTTGATCGGCTGTTTTGCGGATCTGGGCTATGATGTTTCGTGGCAAGTAGTGAAGTTTCAGGGGTACGGGACGCCGAGTAGGAGAACTAGATTGATTATTATTGCGGCTTGGTACGTTATCTTTTTCCCCTCTTCCTTTCTCCTATTTCTGTGCACAAAACTCAAACCTAACATCCCCTCACAGTCCCGGAGAAACCCTCCCACACATGCCCCAATACACGCACACCGACCCGTTCCTCTGCACCCCCAACCAAGCACTCTCCTCGATCCCCGACAACGCTCCCAACCACGATCCCCAAAGCGCACAACTGAACCGCTCAAACCATGTTCCCTGGGACGGCTCCGTTGTTTGCGGCTGCATCATGACGGGTGGAGCTACCGGCCTCGGTTTACCAGATGGAAGTCGAGGATTGACGAATAGGGAATTGGCGGCGTTGCAGGGATTTCCACTCAAACATGTTTTTCATGGTCAGGAAATTAGGAAACAGGTGGGGAATGCTGTACCTCCTATTTTTGGGGAGGTTCTGTTGGGGAGTATAAGGAGACAGTTGGAGAGGAGGGATAATTGGGTTAGAGAGGAGGGGATTGTGATTAGTGAGGATGATGAGTGAGAGGGGAATGAGAGCTTGGTGATGTACGAGTATTGGATTGGTGTGTGTTTTTTCGTTCTAAGTGTATGAGTAGAATATTTCGGTTGGTCAGAGTTGAGTATGCGCAGATAAGATTCAGATACACAGAGCATCAGAGCATAGGATGATTAGGTTCTTGTTTCAGTCTTTTATTTAGGTTTTCTTTTTACTCTAGTATGAATATTATAATTACCAAGCGCTTCCACCAATAGAGACTGCGTTTCGATGATTCAAGATCTGAGTGATGCTTCGTATGATTAGTTGATTTTGAGTCAGGGATTTCGAACCCATTCTCCTCTCCCGTCTATCCTAAACCCTTCAAATCCCATCATATCTTTACAAATCTCCATATCTAGTCTCATGCTACCCATACTTCAAGTGAGGACACAACAAGATAGAAATTCTGACACACTATGAGTACTCGAGTAAAAACAAAAAGGTAGAACGGAATAAGCCACACCATAAAACAAACTCCTACTTCAAAAGACATGATATTTAATTTCCCCGCATATCCCATTCGAGACTTTAAAGGGACTAGAAATCAAGTACAGTATATATATCCAATTACTAGAAAACATACATATCATCAGCCCCTTTCCAACCCCCATTCCCAAAGCACAGGCGTCCAGTCCAGCCTTGCCTTGCCTTTCGATATCGAAGATATACCACATACTCACGAAGTTCCTAGCCAAAAAGTAGGGAATTTCGTGTGCTTATAATCATAAGCATTCGAGATAGCCTGTATTGATATTAATGTTGATCGATATTGATCGATATTGATATTTAAAAGAACATCTGTGTTTGTTCAACACCGCAGAAATTTCTGATATTTAACTAGATCATCTAATCCCGAAGAAAACCACTTAGCCACTTAGTCTCCTTACAAGACGCAGGTGCGCAATAGAATGCCATTTACTGTAGTCGTTGCACTGCGTTGCGTTGCGTTGCAAGCGACAGTTCCTCAAGCTCTTCAAACAACACTGAAATATTGAAAGGGCTGAGACGACATACTAGGTATTTCAATACTTACTGATATTATCGAGTAAAAATCCAGCCTCATGAATAGCACTTATCAACTTAAAAGATATTGGATCGGATAGCGAACTCAAGCTCGAATCCTCGTCCGGGATTCATACACAACAGAAGTCTGTTTGTTTTTTCCAATGAGGATGAGCGCGATGCGGGAGGCTAGGCGGCCGAGGGGAGGTGGGGTTATTTGTGCGATGAGGGAGGGGGAGGTTGGGAGGGGAGGCCGTGGGGCGCGGTCGGAGGGTTGAGAGGGGGATGCGTGGTGTTTTCGATGAGTATTTCTCTCTCTTTTGGGCGTAGTAATATATTAGTTTTTAGTTTGGAATAAAGACTTGGATAGATGCGGTAGCTTGTATCATGGTTGGGTTTTGTATTATAAGTAAGCCTTCTTGTCCCCGGCATTTGAGCGACTGCAGAAGAAATTTGAACAGCTGGAGTGAAATATCCCTCTTCTCTTGACCGTTTTTATTCTATAAGGAGCTACTTGTATCGTCCCCCATGAGCTCTACTGTATAGAACATCATGATAAATGATCCTGAGCCTCATACAAATGAGCGTAGTGTATCATTATATCCCCGTGCCATGTGCATAGATATTCATACATTTCGCGAAGTACCTTTCCATCACATCCATATACCCTACCGCGAGTACTTTGATTTTCTAAAATGAATCATTTTGCGCACTTAAACCTATAATCACCGAACAACTCATAGCCACCAATCATCAGCCAAAACAAGATCATAATAACACGCATGACTCTAACCGTCTTGGTACCTTGACCAATAGTAGGATGACGGATATCATATCATATCAAAAAACACATACCTCCCTGCATCTGTGTGAATTTCTTCTAATATCTCTCTTCTCCTGAGTCAAGTTTAACTCATAGCATTGCGTTTGATTTTCATATCTATAGATAAATATTCCAACAATCCATGAGAAGAAGTCAAACAGCAACCTCTCCTAATCCATAAATCATAAGTCATAATTTCTTTACCCCTCCTGCAGATACTGATGCGAGAGTCGAGTTGACAGTCCTTGTACCTTCACTTTCGCAAGATTCCACATCATAGCGAGTATATTCCTCAAGTAGAATGAACTGGTTTATGAGGATACCGAGATTGATTCTGACTCCGTGTGAGATCGTACGAGTATTATCCGCACTTTGAAATTAGCCATTAAGATAATCCTCTTATGTTCTCAGACATCAGACAACTCAAAAATCCAACAGTAGCCTCGAATTTCTTCTTTCTCGTTGTACTCGTATCTCACAACTCATAATCGAAATCATGATGTAGTCCCAATAACTGACTCCTGGTTCTTTTCCCCCAAAATCTAGGCACCGAAGGCTGATTTCCAGAAGTCCCCTCTCCATTTTTTTCATTAGTATCAGGATTCTGACATCCTCGAGTGCCTACCTCCCAGGATTCCCCTCCAACTCAAACCTTCCCTCCTCATGCTCCCACCCCAACTCCAACACCCAAAAGCACTCCCCAGAATGCTTTCCCTGGACCCTCATGACCCCAAGTTCCACCCCTATCATCCCAAGTCCGCTCAGCCATTCCCAGATACTTACCCCTATGAGCCAGCAGACAACAAGCGATAGCTGGTGAATGAACATCAATGACTCCTTCGCAGAATCGAACGATGTGATATGACTCCATCTCCATGAGATGCGTCACAACTAAATGTAAAATTATCCTCACTAGAGTGCCCAGAAGTGCATAAAAGGATTCGTTTCTCCCCTCGAGGTCTGTTTCTTTTCTTTTTGTTATACATCTTCCACCAAGTCCTCATATATTCCGAGAAAAACAAACCAGATTCTGCATCTTTGCATTAGACTTCCTCGTACGCTATCATTATATAGCTCTCCCGTATTCTCAATACATACCCAGCATCCATCATATCATCATGGCATCCGCCGCCGATCTCACCAGGCTCGAAAACGAGTACCTAAACACAGAATACGCCCGGGCCATCACGCCTGTTGAAACCCTCATTAAGGATATCTACAACCACCACAAGGAGATCGACCTAGCCTATATCTTTATGCCTCTCTGCTTGCACCCTGTCGGAGAAGCCACTCGCAGCTGGATCGTGTCCTTACCCACGGAGCTCCGAGCCAGTCGACCCTCCCCCTCCGAAAGAAGTTCGACGGAGTTACATATAGATGGCTGGCAATACGACATAGAGGGTCTTTGGGTTGGTCTTTCTCTTCCTTGCGACCGATGTTTCGATGCATACGTACGTTTTTATGATGATAAGTTCATTTATTACATCATGGCTTTGGCTCGTCGACACCTATTTAACATAGTCCAGAATGGAAAGGAGGTTGAAGAGGGGAGAAAGGAAGCATATAAAGTGATCGAGGCGGCGGTGTCTCAGTATGGAAAGCGGATGAAACAACCACAAGTCCAACAGATCGCCGATATTGAAAAGAAACGACAGGAAGATATTAAAAAAGCACTCGAAGACCACGCCGAAAATGTCAAGAATGGGGCCTACGCAGAGGTCGAGCGTCATTGTGCGCACACAATGGATTGGATCGCAACCTTTGAATCAACAGTTCAATTATCGGTTTCTGTCGCGCCTTCAGAGCCATCCGAGCGACTAAGCCCATCGACACCCCATAGCGAGGGCAGCTTTCTCGCTCGCAGTCCTTCAGCTGATGCTTAAGTCATACCTATGAACGACTTTGCTCAAGATTCATCACCCGACGTTTGGATTGTGAAGTTAGAGGACGGAGGGGCTTGTGTGTGATATCGGGACTTTGTTTTATATCTATGCGTGACGTTTATTATTCTTAGAGAGATACCCTTGCTTTGCGAGATAAGTCAAGTGGATCGGAAACTGGACGGCAGTTTGTGTGCGGTGTGATGGATTTCTTTTACTGATGAAGTGCGGAGGAACAGTATTGGATGTACACTTGTCATACAATATAATCGTGATTTTATAACCAAATGATGATTTATTCCTTGCATATGTACAAACTCCTGAATGTTATAATATGTACCCCTCGCCTAAGCGACACATTACAACAAGAAAGCCATTCCAGTTCCCACTACTCCCACAAATCCCATAAACCCAACTTGCACACTCCCTGCCCCAGAAGATGATATCGCTGCGGGTGCAGAGCTCGTGCTACTCGTTGAAGTTCCCGTCGAAGTCGACGTTGAACCATTTGTAACCGTGCTAGCGGCACTTATTACTGGGCAATTTGCATCATATAACGATGGGTTTGCAAGATTCGTGCCTGTCTGATTATTGTATGCCAACCTAATGAGCGTATCCATTCCAGCCTCATATTTTGGCCACCCATAATTCGTCAAGCCATTTTCAGGATCCTTGGCGAACGCTGCCCATGCTCCACGCATATACTTTCCGATTGCTATTTGCTCGATTGTCTCAGGAGGATCCGCGATGTTTGTATCGAATAGAAGAGGGATTTCGGCAGAATGCCATGCACCAGCATTAGGAATGATCATTGTATCGGGGAAAGAACCGAAGTAGCGATAACGCCAGGTTGGAACATCAGCTTGGATCGAATAGTTTGCGCGGTAACCACTTGGACAAGTGAAGCTGATTAGATTGAAGGTTTGCCAATAGGCATCTGGATAGCTCAAACCTTGCAGAGAACTTGTGGCGATGAACAATCCAGCTTCGTTGTCGTTATTTCCAATAAGAACGGGCTTTTTGGTGAAATTGCCGGCTAAGGAGCGTTCAGTATAGTTAGAAAACACTACGGTCTCATCGACGGTAGGACCAAAGCTTCCTAAAGTGGTCCCAGATCCAGAGGTGGATGATAGACCGTTGATGATATCGGCAGTGGTTTTGGTGCGCATGCAATCAGTAACATTGCTAGTGGATGCTCCACCACACCCTAAGGCTTCCGTAACATTATACCAAGCCAAAGCAGCATTATCTGCTTTATTTGGTAGACCCCAACTCAATGCTGTGCCAGATTCTGGAATGAAACCAGCAACAATAGGGTCTGCAACCCAAGCATAATTGTAAAAGTCGACCGATGCCGAGCCGGCTGACTGTCCAAATATGATGATGCGGGATGTATCACCACCAAAGTTTTCGATGTTATCCCGAATCCACTCAACAGCCAATCTTTGATCGAGAAGTCCAACATTGGCGGTACTGTTTGGGTCTCCCGGAAACCCAAAAATATCGACTCGATAACTAATCCATGATTAACGAAGTTTAAGAATTCGAGCAGCTCAACACTTACTTGATAGATACCACAATCACATCCTCTTGTTCCGTAATATGCTGTCCATTATATGCTGGAATGGAACTAGAACCGCTGCTGAAGCCACCTCCGTAGACCCACACTAATACAGCCTTCTTAGAATCGCCAGTCTGTGGCTTCGTCCATACGTTCAACGTCAAGCAATCTTCGCTCTGTGCCGTCAGAGGATTTCCAAGTCTCTGCAAAACTTGTGTTCCTGGGACCAAAGAAACAATGGACTGTTCGACTAGTGTTATGTTATATGTGGTAATTTGAGCAGGACAGGTATAACCCTACCGATCGTGTTAGCCATTGATTGGTAGTATATTCCTCGGCAGATTCTGACTTACAAAACTGGTACCATTGACAATCGCGGTTCCATTATATGCAACTGGCGCCGCAAATCTTAGGTCTCCAATTGGTGGTTTGGCGAACGGAATCCCCAAGTACTCGGATACTTGTGATTCATTCAAAGCAGCATGACCATTGACTGGTCCACTGCTTGTTTGAACTGTTTGGCCGACAGTCCAATTTGATTCACGGCTCTGCAGAAGGGAAGAAGCCTTCGCAGATGCTGCAATGGCAGAAATCAAGTATACCGAAACCTTCATACCGTAGATTTGAGAGAGGGAGAGCGAAAGAAGGTGACACGAACAGAGAGGGGTAATGGGAGAAGAAGAAAAGCAGGTAACAAGACGGCAGAGCCCATCTTCAAGAGGATGGATGGGACGATGCAATATAAACAAAGAGATATTCACCTGTACCTACCTCTGAGGGGGTATTCGTGGCACTCGAATCAAGGAAATGGAGCTAGCATTTTTTACATTTCATGCTGCATGAGCCTCCAGCTTTCTAATAAATGTACTACCAGCCTAGGACAGCTTGATGTGCAGAGGTCGTACTCGCAAGACTGGTTTAAGACCGGTTCCCTTGTCATGAAAGGCGCTGGAATCCATATTTCGAAGCTCATTGAGGTAAGGTACAATAAGGATCTATCCAATGATGCTATTTCTGTATGCAAGTAAAAATCTTCGGACGGGTGTGACGATTCTGTTAGAGATATGTAAGGAATAAGGTGGTGAGGTTGTGTTAAGCGGGGAACCTCAAGGAAGTGGAGAAGGAAAAGGAGGCACATACAAAATACGGGAGGACTTTTCATACCAAAGACGCAAATACGTATGTAAGCAACCGAGTTACCGAGGCCCTAGAGAATATTGATACCTAGATGCATAATTTGAGAGGCTCGGGACATTGACATGTATGTGGCAATATCTAACTTATTAAAGATCTACCTGAGGGGCGTTTGCTAATCATTACAATCGTAAATACGATATCCCTCACTCAAGGCTCACTAGCACCGTGACAGTGCTCACTGAGCTCGCATCATTAGCTTTATGTGCCACGAACCGATAGAAAATAGCAATCAATATGTTCATATGGAGTGTCACGGTTATACGATACGATCATTCTGCATGATCAGCTATCGATTATCAAGTCATGGCGGGTCATGCTACCCTACCCGAGGCTCTCTATGGAATGATCTCCAAAGCTATTGAGCACACTACTGCACCTTGCGTCGGCGAAAACCTCAACGTCCGTCTATCACAACATACGCTTAACCCCTACTATCACATATAATTCTGCGGGGGAAATTCGTGGAGCCGAGTCAACCGAGTTGAAGGTTTGGATGTTCTCCACCATATGGAGAAGTTCTGTCGACAGAGCGGGGTGCGGAGGCTATGCAGCTCTTCCTATTTTCCGTCTCAAAGCTCCGAGATATTATATTTTGAGTCGAAAGACCGATGGAAATGTCAAGACCTGGGGGAAAAACTTGTTTTTCAATTCAATCAATCGATGCATGGTTGACCGCATATTCGAATCGTTTAGTCACTGCCTTCATTTCGTTGGTTTTGTTCAATTCAAGCGGATGTCCTAGATCCTCTCTGATGTGACTTTAATTTGGGAAACCCGACATCCAAATATTAATGTTGACTCCAATCTTCAGATAGTTCTTGTCTAAAAAGCCCAAAGGTTATCAAACGACCTATATCTTGTTCTTATGTCTGGAAATGTTGTACTGAGGCACAATTTGGGTAACATTCCTTCAAAGTCTTAGGATACCTTCGACTCAGTTTGAATTCGCAATGCAAGTGCATCAGTGCCAACGTAGAAGTGGGAATAAAAATGGTAATGATACAGCGGAGAGAACCCGTATTTCACAACAAACCTGAACTTCCCATGTTTCCCAATCATATGAATCATGCCGGGACTCTTCGACAGTTCCCAGATTGCAGAAAAATATATCATTAATAGTTACAAGACTTTATTTCGCAGTGTACAATGGCTCATTTTGGCCATATGCGATGATTCAAAAGTTCTCAATTGAAATTCCATGAATCAAGTCGATTCAAGGTCTACTCAATCTACGAGTACAAGTTCAACCCAATTATCGTCAAAAGATATGAATCCATAAGTCGAAATCCTATGATCACGTTGAAATCGCCATTAAAACATCACAGTCTGCTAGTCCAGCTCAAATCATCAGTATCAAAGAATGTGAATCTACACCATTCACTTCAAATGATACCAAAAATACTCTTCCTCGAAGAGTCATATCATAATCCAGACTCAAAAAATCGTATGAACGGAGTCATTCATCGGCCAGATTTTTGTCTACAAAAGGCCCCGTTTTCCTTCAGTTTTTCTTTCTTCCTACACCGTACATACATTCTACAAAATCCACAGCAAGAGTTCGATATCAAAAGCATCAACCATTACTTGATACTACTACCCTTACACCTCCTTCTAACTTCAACACTACCAACCTTATTGCTCTATCTACTTCTCGGTCTCCAGCCTCACAGCTTGCACTCCTCACCCCGACCACGAATAACAACGTACCCATCATCAATATCAACATCAAGATCGACCCTCAAATCTATCATTTCAGCACTATCATGGAGCTCGACCATGAACAGAGAGGCACTCTCCCAAACGGTATGAGCAAGAAATTCAGAATATTCTTTTCTTGATAAGATAAAGTACCGCTAACACAAATCTCACAGAAGAGACAAAACAAGGGTTACTCGGAACGCCCGGAACGCCCGGCTGTTGGATCCCACAATACGACTCCGAACCATGGGAACCTAAATGGGACACGATGCCTTTTGAGGAGAGGTTCGGCTACGCGGCAGAAAAAGCTGGCGGTGGAGTTGCCTATCAAGATATAATGAGAACAGTACACATGGACACAAAACGTGGCAATTACCCCGAGCCTCCAGCGCATTGGAGGATTACCTCAACCCCAGCCCTCCCAACAAAGCAAACCCCGACTCCCAAGATCCAGGGGAGAAGACAGGAAGCGGAAATGGGAGAGATGCAAGTGTGAATCAGGAGGCTAATGTAGTAGGAGAAGTAGGAAGAGGACATGTCAACGAAAATTTGTTGGAGATTACAGAGACGTGAGGAGAAGACTTTGCTTTATCGGATATTCTTTTGGATATATGGATGGGTATTTGATACCTGATCCAATGATAATATCTGCGTTTTCATTAATATTCAAATGCCAGATTTTCCAAACAAAAGAAACCGTCCTTTTTAGAATGCAGAGTCTAATATCCAATATCCAAACCGCACACAAATCCATCCATCCATCCATTCAATTTATCCATCCATCCAATCCAGTTTATAGTAAAACCAGTCTAAACCCGCACCAACATACCAGCCATTCAAACACCAAATTCTTCATCCAAAAAACCCCATCTTTCCCTCCCCTCCCTTCCCTCAACTCAAAAAATAAAATCTAATAAACCTGTATTAGTCAGTACTCATACCAACCATTCAAACACCAGACTTTCCACTAAAAAACCCAGTTCTCCCATCCCTCCCCCCCCATCAGAACACAGAATCTAGTATCCAAACCGCACACATATCCATCCACCCATTCCTCCCTTCCTCCCTCCAATCTAATCCAATCAAATCAAATCAAATACAGTCCTCCTTCACACCAACATGCAAACACCCAGATTACCCACCCAAAAACCCCATTCTTCCCTCCTCCCCTCCCTTAAAATACAGAATTCAATATCCAAACCGCGCACGTAAACATTCATCAATGCATCCCTCCAGTTCAATACCAATCAGTCCTCACACCAACATTCAATACCTATTCAAACACCAGATTCCCCACCCATCCTCCCCTCCCTCCTCTTCCTCCCCGTCCTCACTTCCCTTCCATTAACTCAACCCAACTCAACTCAAAACACGGAAAACTATCAAACTATCTAAACTGGAATTTTAATTTGAATCGAAAATAATTACTAGGTAGATAGGTATTGACAACTTGTGATATATTTTATTTTGTTTTGTTTTGTTTTGTTTTAAATAGAGATGGAGATGAAGAAAGTAACGTGTGACGTGTGAGTATTGAGTATTTATTTGCCGGTACTCGGTATGATGTATGAGTAGATGCAGATATATACATACATGCACTCACTCATTCATTCACACATAAATACATTCCATCTTCCAAAAAAGAAAGAAAAAAGGATGTTATTTCATAGCTATACTCGCGTACAGCATTTGATCTTCCACTAGTAATCTATATATACTCAATATATCATGGTCACAATCTCCAAGCTCCTGCCTCACGAGTCACAGCATCTTACCACTTTATACTCTATTCTAATCGAAACCTAGTTTATCCTCAGAGTCCTCGAGTACGTACACTCACTCACATCCACCGCCCTCCTCTCATCTCATCTCATCTCATCCTACCCCTTAACTTAATCCCCCAAAAACCCCCTCTGCAAATTCCTCCCTCTTTCCCCACTAACAGCATCTAACCTTACAGCCACCAACACACATTCCCACTCCACCTTTCCATTTACCTTTGCCCCCATTCCCATTCCCGTTCCCGCTCCCGCTCCCTTTCCCTTTCCCAACCCCCCACCCCCGTGATTCTGAACCCTCAATCTCCACTGTCCCGTCTTAATGATCCAGCTTTCGTCTTTTGGTGCACCGGTACTTGTATTTATTGCCACCGCGATTCCATCACCTACTTTCCTCCTCTTACCACCCAAACCCCCTTGCTCACCCACAATGACAGTATCATCCGAGTCAATAGCCCCAACATTCCTTTCTCTCTCCCTCTCCCTCCCATCAACGCAAACCGCACATTCCTCCCCAATAACCACCCTAACCATATCCTCACTCAACCCACTCCTCCCAGGACTAGCCGGCTCACTACTCGCCCCTCCGTTCCTCATCAACAGCCCCAGCGGTTGTGCCACCGGCAGGTTTAATTTCGTAGCCACTACCTCCAGGAGTTTCCCCATGCGCATTTTCGTTTCTCCGAAGAATTCCAAGCGCATGGTGTTCCAGTGGAGTAGGGTAGCCGAATCACCTATTTCGAGGATGAGTTCATGCGGCGAAGAATCGGTAAAGGGCCGTAAGTAGTGGACGTAGCCTGTGGAGGATGTTGGGATTGAGGCTGGGATAGAATCTGGAGAGGTAAGGGGTTCGAGGGAAGGGACAGGGGATGTGGAAGTGGGGATGTCAGTTAGGATGGAGAGGCCGGATTGTCTGATATCAGGAAGACGAATTGTGATTTCAGATTTATTGCGTAGGAGGTTATGAGAGATAGAATGAGGAATTAACTTTTGCTCAAGACCTTTGAGATGGAAATATCGGCAATCTCGTAAGAGTTCCGCACGATGTTCTGGACTGCGAATTTCGAGTGGGTAGCCACGAAGAAGATGGAGGATTTCGGAAAAGGTTTTGGCGGAGCGGTTAGGTACTGATGGGGGGAGAATAGATGGAGGTCGAAGGAGTCCTTCTCTATTTAGGCCGGGGAATACCTCGGTGGGGCTGCTGAAGAAGACAGCGAAGCCTAGGGAGAAATAGTTGGGACTGTTGCCCGGATCGGAAAAGAGCTGGCGGGGGATTTGAAATTCCTGATTGCCAACTGTGATGAAGATACTTTCTTCATATAGCTGAGAAATCAATCGAGGCACTGTTCTTCGGTTAAAATCGATCACTAAGTAGAGAAGCAAGCGGGAAAGACAAACATGAATAGAATTGAGCATCAGCGAATAACTTCACGAAATGACTTGCATCTCGCGGCGCAACATGATATCCCTGCAAATGAAGTGATATATCCTTAAAAGTAATTGGATCCCGATCAATATAAAGGGTCCTAACAGCTGTATTTGGATCATCGCCATTTTCTTCTGCTGTTCTCAATTGGCATTGAAAGTATTGAGAAAAATATGAGGGTGCTCTAGGTTTCTTAGCTTGTGATCTCATCTACACATCCTCATCTTTTCAAGCCGAAGACAAGAACGTGCAAGAGGGAAGGATACATACCATCAGAACTCAAACTAGCACCACTCAACCGAAATAGTTCCGTCCCAATCTGAATTGGAAAAACCTTCTCATGAGGTAGATACTTTGGAATATCTGTATTCCATTTTCTGGCGTCCGGATAATTTGATATTCCAGGGGGATCTGTCATTCCTGAAGCACCTGAAGCACCTGTAGGTGTATTCCTCGCCGAATTTATCTCCCCAACCCCATTACTCTGCGCCATCATTGCGTTCTTATCCATATCAAGTATCAATTATCAATCCTTCACCTGCCCGACGAACCCTTCAAACCTATTCAGCCAACAAAAGCCACACGTGACAAGTACCACCAATCCCAAAGTCCCAAAATCCCAATTTCTAAATTCCAATTCCCAACTCCCAAATCCAATCCTATCCCACCCGCTGCTGCTGCTGCTACCCAAGACGTGGAACCCCAAGGCCAAATCTCTTCCACAAAAGCGTATTATCCCGTATCGTATCGTTTCGTATATATCCTCCAATACAATAACCTTACTACCTTACTTACGACCTTACTATCGCACCGGTAATCACACCACAGCACAATATCAATATCAATCGCAATAACAATAGACAGTTCCGTCTCGAAGAAAAGAGGTTCTGCTTGCTTGCTTACTTGCTTGCTTGATATTTACCAAATGACAAATCAGCAAGAACAATAAAGAACTCAGCTCGAAGATCAAAGCTGAGACGCTAATCTATCAATTTTCGGAACATGCCGAGGTTTGATCACGTGAGACAGATAGATGGATGGATGACGATATGATCATGATATGATTGGCTCGGCTCGGCTCGGCTCGGCGCGTCCTGTTCTGTTCAGGCGGGATATTATAAGAATTTGGCTTCATTACATGATGAGTTGAGAGAAATTCAGGGTTAGGGGCAGTCAAGGAAGCGGAACCGTTAAGCTAACGCTCCATCAATACAATATAAATATGCTACATGAAGACTTGTAAGAGCTGTCAAGGTTGAGTGATCGGAGTTATTTGAAATTCTCTCCCAGTTTCTGATTCTAATCTGACATTCATTGTCCAGTCAATCATACAAGTGTAGAACTGATACAGCCCAGCGTATCGTTCCAAAAAAAAAAATTCATCGTTCAAATTCGTTGATATCTTGCCAAACCATGCACCAATTACCAGCAAAAATGTTCAGTGGTATTATTCGCGTTGACTCCCGACCTGTACCCAAGGAAATCTAGCTTTGCCCATAGTCTATTCCTTCAGCTCTACTTCTAATCCTCTTCTACTCTTCTTCCTCCTCAGTATGTGCTCGACCACCACTTGCAGTTCCACTCCTCGTTCGGTTTGCTGGTACGCCGCCAACTAAATTCCGACCAGCTGCAGCTTGTGATGTGCTGGCTGCGGGATTTGAAGCTACACCAGTAGGCTGTTGTCCTCCTGGATATGACGGGTATAGTGAAGTTGGTGGAATTCCAGCTCCCTCGCCTCCAACATTTTGACTTCTAGTTGAAGCGACGGATGTATTGCGTCCTAGCTGACCATATGTTTGAAAACCACTTCCACTACCATATGACGAGTTATATTCGGTAGAAGACGGTGGGGAACCTTCGTTCATAAATGGATTTCCATGAGGTCCTGGTACCGAGGGTCCGTCTATTGTAACACTAAAACCAGGGGATGATTGAAATGCGTTCGGTGTTACATGTTCTCCTGGCTTACGTCTACCTCTGGTGCTTGCTCTCTTCATGAGAGATGTCCTTGTATTACCGTAGTGATTGGAATTGTCCTCTCCCACGGTCGATATATTATCGGTGTCGGTGTAACTATTACTGTGCGCGAAGTCTAATCCTGGGCGTCGTGCATTTAAAGACTCTGCTGCCTCTTCCTCGGTGTCTATTGGACCAAGATCGGGATTGGTATTCTTGAGAGATTTCGTAGGCACAAGGCGTTTTGAATCTTTGGTCGCTGATGACTTATCCCGAGCTTCGGCGGCCCAGTCATCTGTTACAGCAACCGAGTAGTTAGGATTAGCAGCTCCACCGAGAGCATCTCCACCACCTCCGGGAGCGTGGATTGGAACCTTGCGCAAAGCCAAAACAAGAGCGCACATGAATTTGGAGCGGCGAGCAGCACGAACCGTCTCGTTATGCCAGTTAGACTTATGTCTAATTTCGACCTTTAGTTGGAGCTTATCCATATTACCAATACCCACGGCCTCCAACACAATATCGGATTGGAAGTCGCGAGAATTATCCGGGTGACGAACAAAAGCCTCCATCTCCGTGCGAAGAAGTTCAATATCCTCGAGGGTAGTATCGAAAGAGATGAACATGTCGAGTTGTTCTTTCATTGCTTTGCTACGAGTAATGTTCTCGATCCAGAGGTTATTAAGTATGATATTAGGTACCTGTACCATTTTCATATTGTCGACACGTTTGAAAAGAGTGAAGAGTAGAGAGATCTGTTCCACAACAAGATATTCGGAACTAATATCAACGCGATCACCAACATCGTAGGGATGTTTGACAAATAGGAAGATGCAAGAACCGAGAAACTCCTGAGTAGTGGCGGCAAAAACGAAGGATAAAGACAAGAGAGTTGTACCAGCTGTTGTCAGAGTAGCAAGGAAACCAGTATCTTGGAAAGCAACTATCAAATGGTTAGAGAATGATCCTGTTTTTAAAAATTGGAAACTTACTGTAGGCGAAAATGACAATGATAAGCACAATGATGAGTAGAACCTGGTCAAGAACGCCAATAGCCTGACCAACATCTCTCATACTATTTCCAATTGATTTTCGGTCACGACCAATATCCACTACCTTCATGATCATCTCGTCGAGGGAGATATCGCCATTTCCATCATTATCCAAAGCCTCAAAGATCTCCTCTGCTTCTATTTTGCGACCAGCACCGAGAACCTCCTCGAGATCATCTGCAGATAAGGAGTCCCTGCCTTCTACGGCGAAAGACATCCATAAACGTCTCGCCAATGCCTCGGAAGACTTAGTCTTTTCGAGCGCTTCAATAACAACGGAGTGAGCAGAGTTAGGGTTGAAAACTTGCTTTCCAGTTATCTCAGATGCAATGTTCCCAAATACTGAGGTAACTTTGTCACCGAAACGACCAATATCGCCAATAAACTTCATTGGTGCATTTGAGCCGGACCTGTCATGACCCAGTATTTTTCTATTCGTCTTTTGAAGGACGGCTTCGATGCTATCACTAATGATATAATCTTCTTCCGCAAATTCTGGACAATACATGGGGAACAAAGTTCGGGACGCTTCGTACAGGAGACCGAGCAATTGAATGAGATGCTTTGATTCTTTGATGCGTCCATCGAAAGATCGTCGGTGATAATTGACACTAATTAGTTGAACGATGAGTTTCTCTACCAAGAGTATAATTGTAGCGATCAGAGTGGGTACCAGAACACGCTTCATCGTGTTAACCCAAGGATCCAAGGTACCATCCCAATCTTTGCCATCTTTGTTGTTAATTTTGTTTAATTCCTTAGTAGTCAACGCCGTGAACGTAACCAAGCTGGTGATGGCCCATCCAACTAAGGATAATGGAATCTCTAAAGCTCTCAATATAGATGCGTATTTGCGTACGCCAGTGCTGACCACTCCACACAAAAACATGAAGATATATGGTACGGCTTTGGAACATAGCTTAGAAATCCAGATACTAAGCCAAATGATCTCAATCCAAGTGAAGAACAAGTATAGTTTCATTTTTCCGATAGTCTCTTTTGGGTAAAAGATGGCGAAGATGACGATTGGTGCGGCGAGTATAATACCAATAGGCGCAACATAGAGCATATATCGAGTAACCACGGAGAAATTGACGATCGTGTTGTAAAGTCTGCCCAAGCCGTTGACAGAAATCTCCTCCCCGTTGGTTCCCCTTCTTGAAGGATGGATTTTTCTTCGACCGGCTATTGTTTTCCTAAACATTCCTTGCTTCTCATCTTCTTTGCCCGAATCATTCTCTGAACCTCCTGCCAGTATTCCTTCTCCGGCTCTTCGTGCCCCACCAGTGGAAGAGCCTGCAGTTCGCACTTGTGTGAGGGGGATGTTGTCGGTCATATCGCTACCGTCTATAGGCTTAAAGCCACGCCGCGAGAAATCAATTGGAGAACGAGGGGATCGAAGTGACATTTAATCGAATGCCACTTTGTGTGTTTAGAGAACGTATAATTCGTATATTTGCAGATCTTTTTTGGATATCTGAGATCTGAGATTGAGTAAGTGGCGTGGAGATAAGATTCGTTTGTGGAATCAAATGTAAAACGAAATTAGAAATAAAATATGGCTTGTGCAAGTTGTGTAAATGGTGAATCCCAGCAGACTTATATTCAATTGAGATTCTGCGAAACGAATGTGATGAATCAATGGATGGTCGTCATTCGTACAACTCGCATCAAGCGTATCGAGGGGATTGATCAACAATCCGGAAACTAAATCAGTAGTGTATTCTGCTAGTCCCAACAGAAGAAAAGGAACCAGGAGCTTCAACAATGAACTTGAGGAAACAAAGTCCAAAGGTTGAAAGGAAGAACGAGTGTTCGAGATCAACTTTTAAAAGAATGAAAAGAAGATTTTTGCGTGTCTTATTTTCTTTCTTTCTTTCCCACTTTCTCAAGATAACAAGAGATCTAAGAACAGATAGAAGGCAAACAAGAGAGGGGACTGAGGAGTCTCTGTGGAGAAAACTGATTAAAAAGAAGAAAGGTCTAAACCTCTAAATTTCTAAAGAGATCAGCCAGGGTTCAACATTTAATTGAAGGCACAGAATATTTGAACGGGGGTCAAGAATGCAAGGTACCGAAAAGCCACCACCACCCATGGTGGCATGGTCGTTATAACCAATTAGAATTCTCAACGGGATACTATAATTATAATTGCCAAAAAATACGAAACACCAAAAAAACTATCACAAAGACTAGGTTATAAAGAGATCAGGCCAAAATCTAAGAATATAGGAACAAACAAATCGGGTAAGAAGTCTTTGTGGCCTTATGAGTTTCATCAATTGATTTAAGGGGCTTTGTATTATTATTACATTCATTAATACAGTACTACTCGTACTAATGATTATTAACGAAGAATTAGAACATTCCAAAGAGAACAACTTGCTCTTGAAGTCCTTGTATACTGTACTCGAGTACTTCATCGTCACTTTCTCCATGAAGAAGTCGTCATGATCTCCCCCAATCCATTGAGATTGAATCTAAAGAACAAACTACTGACTGAACAGTGCGGATTCTCGGATCTCCAAATAGGTTAGCTACACAGCCTCTCTCTGTACCGTTACTCGAATCATCAATCGAATCGATCTCGCCGATGATGTACATTTTTAGAAGGGAAAAGGTGGGAAAGAAATGGACCAACACAGCCACTAGGTACTTCTCATGGATGACGATAGAGGATCCAAAAGTTATCGTGATTTTCTGGAAATAGTGTACCTGTCTGTACCGGTGTGTTGGATCAAAATATACACTCCTCCTTCATCAGATTACATCTTGAAACCCATATCCTCATCTTATTGATATCTACTGTATACCTGAAAACAATTCCTCCAATCCATTCCCTTGCCTCTTCTGCCTCATCAAAATCCCTTATCGTGAAAATCATCCTTCTACTCCAAGCCACCTTTCGTCCAACCTTCCAACCTTCCAAACTTCGAGATTCGACCTCTTCACCAACAAACTCACCACCAACTCATCATCTACTACTTTTAGACTCTAGACGAATGCGTACCACCAACAAAAAACACGTTGTGCCTCTTCCTTCCGACGCCATCTCATCTTATCCCCTTCTCGAATCATCCAAACAAATTCAACGCATAAACAGTGACAAAGTGACATGCGACGAACCCACAATTCATCTGGTCTCGACTCTCAAGATCCTTGACCTAGCTTTTTCTGTTGCATGGATGCCAAGCCTTATGCATATTAATAATATCCACTCAAATACGAGTACTGCTGCTTCTAACAAATTCATCCATTGTCCTGGATAAAAAAAATTAGCCAATGTTCCCTTGCAATGGCGCCAAGCAATTCCGCTCCGCTCCACTCTCCCACGATCTAGATCCTTATCGATAACGTTAAACCCATCATCGAAAAAGCCGAGGACGATCGACAAACCTCTTCACATAAATCGATACATCACCCAAATAAACCATTAAAATCACAGCCCACCCAACTCAACCCCAAAAATGAAACTCACCTGCGACCCAGCCCGCGCCAAATCCCTCATCTCCGCCTTCCAATCCGTCTCCGAACGCGTTAGCACAGCCGCTGGAACCAAAAATGTATGTTTATTCATTCACCCCTCATCCATCTGCATCTGCACCAAACTCCTACACGTGCCTGACCTTCCTGCATGCTCCAACTATTATATCCATCTATATATAGCATGCTACACCACCTTCAGAATACCACCACGGCAAGAATACCAGAACAAGAAAGCTAACGCAAAACTCAGGTAAGATTGCTCGCAGTATCCAAACTCAAGCCCGCAACCGATATCCTAGCTCTTCACGAGCAGGCAAACGTAGAACATTTTGGAGAGAATTATGCGCAGGAGTTGATGGAGAAGGCGGAGATTTTGCCGCGGAGTATTAAGTGGCATTTTATTGGGGGGTTGCAGAGTAGTAAGTTTGGTTTTTTCTTTTCTTTTCTTTTCTTTCTGGGGGCTGGAATGAGAGTTGCAGGATGATATATTGAGGTTTGTGAGATATGAGTCACATGATATATTGTGGGTGGTTTTATATGCCCGGGTGGGTATTAAGCTCAGTCTATTGACAATGTATTTCGAGAGCGGTTTTATATCAGATGTATCCTCGATATCCTAGGCTAATTCCCACAGATAAATGCAAACCCCTCGCCTCGAGCATCCCCAATCTTTACCTCGTCTCCTCCATCGACTCCCAAAAAAAGGCATCCCAATTATCACTCGGACGATCTCTCCTCCCCGTCCCAGCTTCCTCCTCCGCACCCCCTACTCCCCTCAATATACACATCCAACTCAACACATCAGGCGAATCTTCCAAATCGGGTGTTTCGCCCGGAAAAGACACCACGGACCTCTGCAAATACGTAATTGAAGAATGTCCTTATTTGAGACTCGTGGGTCTGATGACTATTGGGGCGATAGCTAGGAGTCACATGAAAGAAGGAGAGGAAAATGAAGATTTTAGAGTTTTGAGGGAGGAGAGGGATAGAGTGGAGAGGGAGTTGGGGCTAGAGGGGTTGGAGCTGAGTATGGGGATGAGTGAGGATTTTGAAGAGGTGTGTTTTGGTCTTTTTGCATCTCGTTCTTTGCTTCCTTCCTTGCTTTCTTTTGAGGAAGATAGAGAATACTTCTGTAGAATATAGAGCTAATAACTTAATAGGCCATCCGACAAGGTAGCGGAGAAGTAAGAATCGGTAGTACGATATTTGGAGAAAGACCTGCAAAGCAAGACTTCAAGGTTAAAGAAGAAGTGAGAGAGGAGAAATCATAGTACAGTAGTTTAGTTAAGATTTTAGTCTGTCTGTCTGTCTGTCTGTCTGTCTGTCTGAAGAACATTTCATTCTTTATTATTTCTCAATAACATACCGTCATACTATACTCGAGTATAGCAAATCACCGCTCATTTGCTTTATGTTTATATTTCTTTTGCAAATATCATCCATATAATCGTGTCATGGATTAAGTAATATGAATATGCGAGAATTACTTACTTACTGTACCTAGGTATGCTTAAATGAGAAAGAAGAACACTACTTAATCACTCAGTTCCAAATCGATCTGAAGCAATAGTAATTCTCGCTCGCATATTTTGTTTTGTTATGTTATGTTTGAAGCGAGATGCTCGATTCACACTCGAGTATAGCTTACGATGCGATGCATCATTAGTATTGGTATAGCTAGGTACTTACACTAGTGCACACTTCACGATTCACACTTCACACTTCACACTTCACACGCAGTCACCAAAGTAAAGTATAGTATAGTTAATCCAGTGATAGACTCCTAGTACCGGTATTGCCATAACTTCATCGCAAACGATATTTGAATAATTCATTCCAATCAATACTTTCCGTTCCATTTCGTATCATATCAGAAAATCATGGATACCACAATCCACTTCACCCTGATTTGTTGGACCTTTCCTAATTTGACCTATCCTAGCTCCGAGGATATCATTCCCGCCATCGCATGTCAAATCATCAGCACTCCCTATATCGATTCCTTCCATTCCAGTACTTTCTAACCTGATATCTCTCCCCAATACCTAACAACAACACTCCATACACTCAAAACAAGCCAACCCCGCACATATCCCACAACATAAGCCGCCACCACCTCCACCTCCTCGCTGGTGTACGGGGACGCTTCCTTGGTTTGCTGGTTTGGTTTGGGATGAGGAGAGCGAAGAGAGGGAGGAAGGGATTGTAAAGGATGTGGATGTGTTCATAGAGGGGTGGGGTGACTAGTGGAGATTAGTTTGGTTTGGTTTGGTTTGGTTTTGGTTTTGGTTTTGGTTTTGGTTTGGTGGGAATGGAAGGAGATATATAGATGGAAAGGAATAGAGGGGGAAGAGGGAGGAAGCAAGCAAAGGGAAGGGAAGGATGAGATAGAAGAGAAAAAAGGAGGGGTAGGGGAATTTGAGGGGAATTTGAGAAAGAAAATAAAAACTAACAGGTTCACTCATTTCGAAATCCTGTCCCTTTGTATTATGCATGCTGACACTATAAGTAGCAGCTGGTTGAGATATCGCGGCCATTTTTTTGGGTTTGCTGGGTGTGTGTGGTGGGTTGATGGGATATATGGGTTTATGTGTCGAATGTGATTGAGGATAAGATCGTATCGTATCGTATCGTATTGTATTTATTGAGATTAAGATCGAGATTGAGATTAAAATCGAAGTGTAGAAGTAGAAAAATAAATGCGAAATACGAGGGGTGTGATGGATATGACAATAAGTAAGCGGAGAAAAGCAAAGCAAAGCAAATTCACTTTGGGGGGATCTTATGTTCGTGATATACTCAGTATATGACTTTTATAAACCAGCCACTCCTGGGGGACCATTTATGGGGTAGGGGCCCCAGATATAATGAATGGTACCGTCAGATGCCTACCTAGATTGGCCTTGCTGTATCTGTAATGAAATAATTGGTTTATTTATTGATATAATCAACCGATTTGGACTAGATATTTATTTGCTTGAGTCTGATAGGCTTGATTTGCGTGACGAGTAAGCCTGTATGCTTGTATGTGTGATATATGCTTGGCTGCTTGGCTACTGGGTCACTTGGCTGTGCTACTTGGCACTCTGGCAGCGGTATCCTCGGTGAATGTATATGTGGTGGGTGGGTGAATACTGTTGTTGTACTCTATCGTATTGTATCGTATTGTAAGCTTTTGGGTCTGTATAGAACGGTTTTAGGGTTACCGCTACGATTGGTTGGAATTTGTTGTTGAGAGTGGCTTTATTTTATATAATATTGTTTATTTCGAATCGGTGATGCGTTAGGTATATTGATTGTATAAAAGATTTTGAAACGGGTCTATTTATATATGGTGGCAGGGTTTGGATTCGGATTCGGATGAACTGTTGAATGAAATGAAGGGGATTGTTTGAGATATATTAGTGCAGCAATACCGAGATATAAGGATGTGTTTAGTATATCAATGAGATCCTGGCCTGGTAACTTACCTTTGTGTAGGGGGCATCCTTATATGGCCTATTCCTATACCAAAACATCGATGGGATCCAATTTTTTATCATGATTCTTAGCTCAAGGGAAAAGTTATATCGAATATCGGGTTTACTACAATTAAAACTCGCAAACCCGCATACTCGCAAACATAATCGTATATATTTACTTGCATGAGAGAAATCACTGCATTGCGCTAGCTGCAGGGCTGAGCCGGATATATCGGCATGTCCGACTCGTTTCAGTAGACGGTAAAAATGCGGGGGTTTTTCGTATCAAATGTATTTCTCCGTGAGAAGACATGTACAATGTTACTGTCTAGATTCGAATCGAAGAATGATGGTTTGCTATAATTCGTACGGGATACGGTAGTACTGAGTAATTAGGGCTCGATTTGACAGAGAGGCTCAATATACCAGCTAGTGCTAAATAGTCAGAACTCAATATATAAGCTAGTGCTGAATAATTCGAGCTCAATATACTCGAGTACAAGCTGTTGCTGAAGAATTAGTGTTCAAACTCAGGCTACCAGATAGTTCTAGAGTCAGTACCAAACGTACAAGCTGGTGAAAAAGAGTCGAGGATAGATACCTCAAAGCCAGTCACAAACAAAAACATGGGGTCAAATGCTAGTAACTCCCACGTGTGAAAAAAAGCACTTCAAGTCACGTTTTGTCACCATATCCCCAAGGCTACAGGATGAATATATGAACTGGGTTCATTGCCATTCATATCACGGTACTGCTTGGAAAAGCTACGTAGCGATTATGGATTGATTACCACATGTAGGGAAAACATTTCGAATCATGTTTTGAAATGATCTATATAAGACTATGGGGTGAATATACAGGCTGGGTTTATACCAGTCATATCATAGCACTGTTTGGTAAGGCTGCGTGGCGACTATCGCCGCCGGGCTGACTGCCGCACGTGGAAAAAATACTTCTAGTCACGGCTTGTAACGATATCCCTAAGGCTATAGGTTATTAAAGGTTATAATCATCATAAGCTTTATGGGTTGAAATGTATGCTGAGCTTACTGCCAGTCATATCATAGTACTCTTCAGTAAGGCTGTATAGCGATTATTGCTACTGGATCAACTGTCACACATGGGAAGAACATTTCGAGTCACGTTTTGTAACGATAGTTCTAAGGCCATGGGCTGAATATGTATGCTGAGCCTGTTGCCAGTCATATCATGGCACCCTTTAGCAAAGCTGCGTGGCGAATATCACCGCTAAGTTGACTGCCGCACGTGTTTTGCGCGTGGAAACTTGGGACGAGAATCCATGAGAAGGGTAAAAATGACACAGAGTCTTACGTTCAAAGTTGGAATTGTATAATGTGAGAACTGTGTCATCAGCAACTCATCGCCAGAGGGTGAATAGATGCAGCATAGGCGGCCGCAGAGGTCTATTTAAGAAAAGGAATTCCTCTTTTTGGAGTTCCTTTTTTGAAGTATCAACCTCCCACATCTTCTTCGTACCAAGCTACTTTGTGATCTACAATATTATACCAATACCTATCATTGTTCAAGCTACTCTTGAGTATTCCGTTGCCCAGAGCTCCTATTGTGCAAGCTACTTCACAAGATATGATAGTCTCTTTGGACCATACTAAAACGAGTTTTGTTACACACACCACTCTCACATATTTAACAATTATATACGCCCCCCCTTCCCCGCCTCTCCCTACTTAGCGGTCAATACCCCGTCTTTTCGACTCTACCTCGAACATCAAAACCTCGTTGTTCAATATCACCTTGAAAGTTAAACCTTCATTATGTGAGTTACTTCCCGACATTCATATCCTCGTCTAATCCAACCCAACCAAAACTACCCATTCCCCCACACACTTCCAAACATCAAAACCTCATTGTCCAGTATCCTTCCAGACGTTTAGCAATTCTACCTTATTCTACCCGTCCGAGAGTTCTTTACTCTCTGTTCTATTACTGATTTGAACATTTAGCTACCATTATTCGTGTTGTTCTAGAACAATCAGCCAATTCTGTTCAAATCTGATCTATTGTGCAATACCATCATCACAAACATTGAAATATTATTGTACAGGTGAGTACTGAATCTCGAACATTCCTCTCTAATTCTACTCGCCTAATTCTTTTGACTTTTCAAAGCTAATTCGTATATTTAGCCTCCGTTACTACTAGCCTTACTTGTCTCGATACATTTTCGACCCTCATCGTTTAAGCAAGTTTCGAACATTGATCTTTGAGAGCATTTTCCCGAACAATCAATATTCTTTCCTAGTCACCATCAACTACTCTCCTAATTTTAACACTACTTCAAATATTCGACCTAGTTGTCTAAATTGTCTTGCTCTACTCAGACCAGTTGATCTAATTTAAAGAATCCGTTGCGAACATGTCATCGCAGATCACAGTGCCCCGTTTGCGCCGTACTTCCCGTATGTGGGAGTCATGGTATGGAAGAGAATTAGCACCCGGATATGATGGCACATACCGCCCGTATACTGTTCAAGTCAAGTATTCCAACTACGAAGAACCATTAAGACAGCTTAGGAGGCTTGGAGAGATCAAAACTAAGGAGGAGATGGAACGCTATTTTCGGCCTCCGTTCTACGATCTGTGTGCTTGTGAACAGATTGGACTAGACAAAGCCATTGTTTCATACCCGGTTAGCAAGGAGCCAACAGTATTATCAGATTTATGCCCCCAATGCAAAGCCTATCTCCGCAAAATATACGGGTATGGGAGTGATCCAAAAGATGGGAATAAGCTCACTAAGGAAGCATTTGCAGAGCTAAATTATATACGTGGTGCCCATCGCGAGTGGATATTAAACCAAGAAGGAAAGAAATACGAGATGCAGGATCTCGCAATGTACCAGGAGAGGATGCAAAAGCACTGGCGTATGGCAGATGATGAGATTACACCTGATGCTAGGCTACATCGAACTCGAATTTACCAGCTAGAGCTTAGATTCTCCCGCAAAACACGTTCGATGAGACTTCAGCCTATGAACTTTTTCTTGGATGAAGTAGACAGGGTTAACACCCTGAGAACAGGAAGGAATACGGTTGCAAAAGATTCGAAAGAAGATTTGGCAAATGCCAGAGAAGAAACCCGCAGGATTAACGAGCAGATTGGGCAATCTGAACGAGATTTATTCGGTGATATTGAGACACAGACTCAAGATCAAGCGGATAGAGAACTTCTCCACGGTATGGAAATCGCAAGTCTGAGTGACGAGGACAAAAAGGACCACGAAAAAGTTACAGAAAAATACCCCGAAGGAGGGTTCTAATGTCTAGCATTCATTTTCTTTTGCCTCCATTTTTTTGGACATTTTTTTTCTATAGATACCCACCTACAATTTTGCCTTTTGAGCATGAAAAGCATTCTTTTGATTTGGAAATTTTGGGAGTTCATAGCATGGGATACATTCATTGGAGTTTGAAATTTCGGACATTACCCATACCTCTTTGAGCGAGATTCTTGGGTCTCCTTGGCCATTTTGTATCGATACCCCCGGAAGCGTTTAGGACTTTGAGCATAGGATGCATTCTTTTCGAGGTTGGTAGTTGAAGATACCATTTTGAGGGACATCTTTTGAGCGAGACTTTTAGTTATACCTGTATCTTTAAAGGTAACATAATACAATGCGTTGATGTTAAGAGTTTTGTTTATTTCGCTTTTCTTGAAACGTGCTTTTGTTGGTGCTTTGGATCGGTGATCATTATAGAGGGCATTGCTGACGATCTAGACTGAGAATTTCACGATGAGAAAGGATATCGACTAGTTTTGTAAATGTTGTCCATGATTGATTCTGCTGAGGTACTAAGAATGCGAACGTGGAACATGTACATAGAAAAGGTAATCGGAATGTGATACTTTGATAGAGTCCTTGGGAGGATATGTATGCAATTCTATCGGCCCCAAGCCATGTCAACGTTCAAACCCTCCCTAAGAGTGTTACCGCAACCATTGTTCGACCCTCTTACCAAATAACCAAGACTTAGTAGCTGAGTGACTATCAAATTCCATCATTTCGCAATCATAGTAAAATTTTCAGAAATGTCTTTCCTTCGCCTATTCTATTATTAGCCTCATTTCCTCACCTATTCTCCACAGCAAAGGAATTATAACTCACTGGTAGTGTCACGGTAAGCCTCAATGATCTGAAAGCCAAGTTCTTCATATAGCTTTACGGAATGACGCATGCTAGCTACTGTAGTCACAAAAACACAATCAAATGCCATATCCCTTGCGGTCTGAATGACACAAGAGACGAGGTGAGAGGCAATGCCGTAATCGTGTTTGGAAATAGTAAAGGCGTATCGTATTTCGCACATTGGTGTACGAGAGGGCATATCTGCAAGTTCCCCAAATGACATACAGCCTACCAATGTACCTAAGGGTTGAGTCTGTGGACCGGAAGCCGATTCCGTGGCTGGGACGGTCGTGGAGGAACTTGGAGTGGCATAGGCGAGTATGGTGTGACCGAGTGGTGGGAAACACAAATCCAGTATTATTGTAGGGTAAAAATTGCTCAAAAATTCGTGGGCTTGCTCAAACTGGTGTGCTTCTGTGGCTAAGATGGTCGTGATGTGTGGTTTTTTATCGTTGCTGTTTGGCGGGGACGCCATTGTTAATCTCGACTAGATAGCTTGTTCGTAGGGATGATCATGAAGGCATTCGTCTACACTGATTTATATACCTCCCTCGGTTGAAGACTTTCCAACACAGAAGTTGCAACCGCAAAGTTTATGACCAAGATGGGAAGAGCGAATTTGACTTGTTTACACAACAGATTTGGAAAGCCTTGCAACATGGTCTTGTTTTACTTCACGGAAGTCTTTGCTTGGTCTAGAGAATAAACTTTTATTTTGATCTAGGAATGCATTGCTATGATATACGTGCGGGCGTGCATGGCGAATTCGAGTATGAGTTGACAAGTTTGAAAATCGGGATTCATCACTCATACCGACCACTAACCAAATTTCCAAACTTAGACTTAGATTCTTAATACATGAAGCATCCTCGAGGGAATCGCAAGCAATTAGGAAAAAGACTGACAATACTGATATCAAAACAACGAGAGGTTAACATCTGACATGAAATCGACAACGAAGGGCGAACATTCAAGCTAGCACCGAACAATAAACGACCATCAGACTAGTAGTCCAATATGAGACTGCTCAGCATAGCACTGTTGAACGGAAGAAATCGAGCAAGATATCATGAAGTTTGCCAAAAGCTTGGAGTGGACCTTCTCACGTGCACGAAATCGGCGAACGTCATGTGATCCATGCAAAGGTTACCCTTCCCGCCAAAATTTGTACGTTTGTATGCTCCGAGGCAACTTCACTTGAATCAATTTCTTCCAGAGCTTGTCATCTACATGACACAAGTCACTGGCGACCTACGATCCTCGTCGTTGTCATTATATTCACCTTCTAGAATTCTTCTAGGTCGCTTAGTTCTCAAAATAGCAAACGCCCCTTCACCGTTTCAGCTTCACCGTCACGAACCTTCAGCCCTTTGGGTCTGATCTCAAAATAACCCGATATCCATTTTAGATAATAGCATCATCCCAGTTCTTTAAGAGTATTCATTTGTCAATATTTCTGGGTCCTTGATTCACAATACCTCGGCGACCCGAATCACGATCACAATTCGGGACATCGGACAAGCCTGTACCTGTTCTAAATAACCGTCGGCAATTCAGCTCGGATCTAAGGTTTTATAGCTTTGGGAGTTGCATGTGCGAAGCTTGATACTTTGGAGGCATTATCGCCGGTTCTAAGGAGGAAAGATGGATCAGGACCAGACGAAAAGAAGAAGGATTGGGAGTGCGGCATTTGCACTTGTCGGATCAGGAACGGGCTGTTTGTCATATGGAACCGGGAGATACTTTGCGGTTCTCCAAGCTCTCAAGAAGGGTATGTTCAGGCCTAATATGGGTGGTGTTATGCTGGTCACTTTGACGAGTGGATTTGTTGCGGCTGGTGGTGGAGATGGAGCGAAGGAGACATGTGAGCTAAAGAGAAAACTTTGTCTTACCTGTGTTCAAGGGACTAACGAACTAACGGAGTAACGGGATAACGGTGCAGTCGTGCAACTGTACATTTGAGAACTACTTCTGCAATGCAGCTGCAGAGTCTGCATGCATAACAGAAGACGAACGAGGCAACAGCAACCGGATCCCATTTCGAGGAAGATCGTCTTCTGCTTTGCGAACGAAGCAGACTAGGATATTATGGACCAATGAAAGCTTCCAAACGTTCTATCGAGTCTTCTCTCTGTGTATGATATGCAACCTGCATCAAAAGAAGACGACCCCCTCGACTCCCTCTCCACTTCTGTACCATCTAGCGCGGCTCGGGCCGCAAGGTGATTGAAGCGGGGTGACTACAAGCAGGCATTTACATCGAGGATTCTTTTGAACTGTTACAAGCTAATGTCCACTCATTTTGGTCATCAGCGTCTCCTTAACTTGGGTCGTTTGGGCTTTTTTGATATTGCTTAGATTTCGTTCGACATTCACTTCGGACCCTCCGGATCAAAGCTAGCAGATGCACGATTAGGTCCCATTAGGTCAAACTTCAAAAGTCGAATGAATTCCTACTTTTCGAGTCAGAGTTATTTCGAGAGAACCCCACGAGAATCCCTGTATAAAAAACAGATTACAAGGATGGCCCACCAATTTCCGAATTTCGGTAACCTCCCATGCGTCCTGCACTACGTTTCACACGGCAGAGAAATCATGCATCATCTTACTTCTCAAAGTCTCAAAGATAGCATCAAAATTGAATCTGTCCACAATTTCCACGCAGCTACGTTTTCTTTACTTGTGACTTCAATCATTCTGTCTTGAAGATCCCTTTCACAGCCGTGGCCGCATCACAACAGTGACGACACAAAGATTTCTCCGTGCATTTTCTCTGATCCACGAAATACAACCCTGGCTTCTCAATCCGCTTCCAATTCCAAAAGTTATTTCCTGTAACATACTAGCTCCATCCGGAAATTCATGTCACCATGTCAAGCCCCGTTTTGAAATTGAATAACGGAGCCCAGATACCAGCTTTAGGGTTTGGTACTTTTCAGAATGAAGGATCCCCAGGGAAGTGCCATGATGCCGTACTTTGGGCTCTACAATCAGGTTATCGTCATCTAGATTGTGCTTGGTAGTAAGTTCAACCCCTATGTCTCATATTTCATCCGTTCATCCCAACTGTCTTCTCGACGTCTCCTGGGCTAATCCCTCCCATCTATCCACTACTTTCCAAGCCCATGCCTTCGGGAAAATTATGGGAAATAATTTCTTCGTATTCTCGGTTTAGAGTTCCGAACCCTGAAACTAACGCACCGCAGTTACAAAAATGAAGAAGAGGTTGGGACCGGCTTGCGAGAATTTTTATCCAGTAATCCCAGTGTCAAACGTTCCGATATCTTCATCACCACGAAAGTGTGGCCTCATCTATGCGGCTCTCCCGAAGATGTTGAGTGGAGTCTGAATTACAGTTTAGAGAAATTAGGCCTCGAATATGTGGATTCTCTTTTGATGCATTGGCCCTTCGCCGCAGAGAGGACCGACGATTATGAGGTCAAGCTCGGAGATGATGGAAAGGTATGATCCACTAATCGACATCAAATTTCAATTGTGGCATAATCCTAACAACCCTAAGTAGTACATCATCAAGAAGGAACTCACTGCCAACTTGGAACCTATCTGGCGTAAATTCGAAGCTCTGAACAAAGCTGGCAAGGCAAAAGCTATCGGAGTATCCAATTTTACTATCTCAAACCTGGAAGCTCTTCTCAGTTATGCGGAAATTCCTCCAGCCATCAATCAAGTTGAGATCCATCCCGTCTGGCCAAATACCAAGTTGATTAATTATTGTTTTTCGAAAAACATCCTTCCCGTGGCATATTCGCCACTGGGATCTCAAAGTCAGGTTCCAACTACGGGGAAAACAGTTATCCAAAATCCTGACCTCATCTCAATCGCCGAAAAGAAAGGTGTTAGTATAGGACAGATATTGATTGCTTGGGGTATCAAGCGTGGATACGTAGTCCTTCCCATGAGTTCGAATGAAGGGAGAATCAAAACCAATGGGACATTGGTGGATTTGACCGAAGAGGAATTCGAAAGTATGAACAAAGTCGCTGGAAGTAAGGAAACAAGGTTCGTGGATTTGAAAGATATGTTTGGATGGAATGTATTCGGGGAGGAGTAAGGGAAACTCGCAACGGCAAGTGGTTGTGTCGTGTCGTCCACTCATATCGTTCGATTCCACGTAACGTAAAGTATCACATGAGTATAATACATATATTCATAAGCGTGAAGCAGGTACTGCAATAAGCTGATCTGACCTCTCGTGATCTTCACCACTGCGTATCATTTGTCTACCTACTGAATATGTGTCTCTGATATCATATGCACTCACACAGCCACCACTCGCAAAGAAGTATCACATCCCTTCCTTCATATCATATAACATTATTCGAATTGAGGAAATTGCTCACATTTGAATCTTACAATATCTCATTTCGCCGCTGAGCCGCATAATGTCTGCATCTACTACATCTATTCTACCTGTACATCTGCCTTACCAACCCAACCCTACGTGCATCCCAAGAACCATTCTCCTGGACTGACTGCAACCAAACCAAAAGTCGGTGAAGATCATATCTATCATACCCTGCGCGAATCTCCTTGTGATTTATGATTTATCGAAAATATATTTGTGTATGCTGTAACGTGATGGATGGTGGATGCATTCGATGCTACGTCCGAGGTCTAGTATGACGAATTGATTACAGTATGGCATCGCTTGGTGCCAACGATATCAAGAATGCTAGCCCTCAAGACTCGGGGTAAGACTCCACTATACTGTACTGGTGCAAGTGATCGTATATATATGTACTCGAATATGCACAGTCAATTCGTCTATATTTATACCCTGACCGATCTGATCATCTCCTCATGTACATTTTCATTGTACATGCATACATTTACGAGTTATCCGTAAGGTTAGGTACTACGTAGACCACGTTCATGATCAAAGAGAAAGATACAGTACCAAGACCATACTGCAGATTTTAGACCGGACGGTACTAGTATAGTAGGAAACTCCGCCTCCCTCGCGCGAAGGAACATCGGTGCATCACATCATCTAATCTGGATAGAAGCCTGGTTTTTTGAATAGCGTGGAGGAATTTATTTGACATGGTAAAGCGGCATAGTATTATAGTATAGCATGTGATTGAATATCCTAGAACCGGTATTAGAGGTCGTACTTGGCATCTAGATTTAGAGGAGTAGCAGGGCGATATATCACATTCATCATATTCATCATCAAATCAATCATATGGTACTCGAGTACAGTATCTTTAATCTCCCGCTAATGCAATGCACAAAGTCAGACCCTATTCATGACAGAAAGCGGTCTTAACTCCGTCGCCGAGTTAGTTTTCCTTGAAATGGACGATGTTGATGTTAGTCGTTTTTCCAGTATGGTATCTAGCATCAGCTAGCAGAGATTATACAGTACTCGTACAGTCTGTAGTCCTACCCTCCTGGCCCCCAACTCCTCTTTGTTTCTCTCGATATCTGCTTCCGTATCCTCCGTATCCCTTTTAATTCTCTCCGTCTCTTTCCCACGAAATATAATGTCGTCTATTGATGTGTATTCAAGATTCTAGACCCCCATATATCCATCCATCACGAATCTCAAATGCAAGAACCCCTCATTATGAGACCCTACTTACCCAATAAATGAACCAGTCCCTTCATTCCTCATCTGCATATAGATTATCTATACATAATATGTGTATGGATACACCGCAGCATAAATACCTCATTCTCCAACCCATCCATCCCATCCATCCCATACAAGTGAGTATCTATGTTCAATGATATCCAAACATCATTCATACATATTCATATACATATTCAAACCCCTATCTTAACCCACCCCACCCTACCCTACTCTCCCTTGCCCCAATATCTCCCCCATCAAATCAGCCCCCTACCACAACCCCACCAACAACGGTACACCATCTAACTGGTCTTCAGTGCCCTAGAATCTGTACCCCTCCAACCCTCCACCCACTTTCGCTTTTCTTCCCCAAATTTTATATTATATTATGTCGTAGAATGTAGAACGTAAAACGTAGAACCCACCCTTTCTTTTACTTCCTCACCTCAAGCCACTTCTATCCAGTAAGCCGAACATACATATACATATATATACACATACACATACCCATCGCGTATAATCGTGTACCACCATTCATCCCGTACGTAAAAAAGAATGAACACCCACTATACCTGCTTTCCTATCTACTACCTACTATCTTCTTACTCAAGCATCGTTTCTGGAACTTTCAAGAATTTCTGTTATATAATATGATTGATAATGATTTCTGATAATCCCCCTCTCGCCTCCCCGCCCACCCCCTCCCCCAAAAAACAGATGAATATGAAACGTCAAATCAGGAATTAGTTAGCGCGCCAATGCGAATATTTGAATACCGGTATGGTATAACTTTTAGATCCAAACGTAAATCTTTCATGAACAAATAAATCATAGTACTAGAGTAGATAAGATGGATAACCTAAAAGTACTGTAACATAACACAACATTAGGTCAAAAACAACCCCCAAGCCAGATCGCCTGCACAGTGCAACCCTGGTAATCGTAACAGTACGTAAAAAAATCCCAACGCATCGATCGTCCGAAGAATCCAACGCATCATGCAAAAAGCTCCCAAACGCCTAACCCCCCGAACCCCTGGAGCTGAAAAACAAAATTAAGTTGCAAAGAAAATCAAAACGATTGGTATTGGTATCCCCGCTTGCTTGCAATCAATCAATCAATCTTGGTATAACGAAGAAAAAAAACCGGAAAAGGTAAAAGAAAAATCTGGAAAGCTTTTCGTCTCATCTCATCTCATCCCATCCCATTTTCATCCCTTAATCCGAGCTCACGCTCGAGCCCGATGATTCGGATGTTTCGGAGGATTTATCGTCGTGGAGGTGTGCTTCCCACTCAGCGACCGACATGGGTTTTTCCGTCATGGCTGCCAAGCGGAACAGGTGACGCGCTTGTATGCGGGAATCGTAGTCGACGGTTGCGGTGTCTATTTATAATTTAGTTAGACATAAGTGCATGTGATAAGATAACATAATCATCAGAATGAAAAAAAAAACTTACGAAGAGTGCTTCTCCCATCAAACATCACCACCGAGTGTTTTTCCCACCCTACTCTTGCCTGGAAATCATGTCCCATGCAAATATGATCGATCAAGAATTTCGTCAGCATGTCTTTCTCACCATCCTTGAGCCCGATGATATCGGTCAAGAATTCGGAGTTGAGGTAGAGGGCTTTTTCGCCCGAGACGGGATGTACGCGAACGATTGGGTGTAGGGAATCGATCGGGTCGGTTCGGACGGTCCCTCGTGCGGCGCGGGCATAGCCGATCATCTTTTGGGAGGAGTGATTTGCCTTGAGGTCTTGGATCATGGCGCGGAAGGTAGGTGAGAGACGTTTGTAGGCTTCCACTGTATCGGTAAAGACGGTATCACCGCCAACGTCGGGGCAGGCTAATACTAGTTGGGTGTTAGAATTGTCGGGGTTTGTGGCTAGGAATAGAAACTTACTGCCAAGCATAATGTATCCAGGAGGCTGTTTTTCGTAGCTGACATCATGATGCCAGAGTGTGGATGTCAATTTGCGCTTAAAGAAACTCGCGATTTCCTCTTCGTTGTGATCGCGATGAATGACATGGAAGGGAGGATGTCCTTTGACGGAACCAGATACAGGCTGAATGCTCAACGGTCCGAAATATGACATGAAATCTTGTTGGAATTGGGGGCCGGCGTGGAGAAAGTCGGTTTGTTCTCGGAGAACAACAATTTTTCGTTCGGTTATCAAAAGAGCAAGCTCGTCTCTACCGGCATCGGAGAGCTCCTCCATCTTTACGCCACTCAGAATGGTTCCCATTTTTGGCGTGATGTGCTTGGCTTTCACACCACTCTTGAAAAGGTTTGGCTTGGACTTATTAGCTCGAAGAGCTGGATCATGATACTCGAAAGGCTGAACTTCGTCGAACCAGACATCGTCTTCCCACTTCGTATTTGTTAGTGGCTGGCTGATGATACGAATTGAGCCTAAACACTTACCGATGGAAGGTAACTTGGAAATTCTGTTCGACGTTTTGAGTTTTGATCGTATTCATCGGATACCTGGCTGTATGGAAGGTTAATGTCGTAGCTGATCTCTGGGACAGCTACTTCATCCTCTTCTGTAAGTCGACTAGGTGCCATGATGAGTGTCTTAAATTGGAATGTTGTGATTAATGATAAAGGAGATGAATCTGATGAGTATGTCGAACTGAGGACGAAGAAGTAATATAAATATGTAAGAAGGGAAGTAGAGTCTCAAGGGTCTTTGTTAAATGAAAGAACTTATTAGTTGGGATATCCTCGGTCGAAGAGCCATTAAATATATTTGCAAATGAAGGGTTGGGTAATAGAAGGACTTTAGAAGCGATGCCAATTGACAGCCGTTTTCGAAATGCGGAGCTCAACGGTCGTCGTGTAGCTTAGCTTATTATGTGCTCTCCGTCAGATTGGAGATTGCCAGTACTGTAATGCAGTAACTGCATTACAGTAATAGCACTTTAGCAAGCGGTGAAGACCCACGATGATGTGACATGGTGCCAGTTTGCTGATCGGTCAAGAGTAAGACGAACATGGGATAACGACGAAGAGAGAAGCCCAACAGCTTAACAAGGCCTTGTGGGGTCAGTCACTACAGGGGTTATGTGTGTGTGGAATTTCCAGAATATGGTAACCAGTAAGAGATAAAGTTTCCGTCGTAACAAATTGAAATTATGTTCAATGGATTGACGAAGCATGTATGACCCCTTAAACGCGAAGGCCTGTGACACAAAATTGGAATCGTAGTGCGACTAGGAATAGCTAAGCGTGGTATTAATGCGAAGAAATCGCAACATCCTTGCTCAAGCCAAGTGAATAAGTGCAGGACGGGAAGTACAAGACGAACGACTAGAGGATAACTTGTACAGCGAAGCCGTTGATCTTGAAAAAGCTTCAATTAGACACCACAATTTCTTACCTAGGTATCTGCAAGCATGGGGTCAAAACTTCGCACACACACTAAGTATTCCTAGGGACCTACCTCTTTGCGTAAAGTTTGATATGGAATAACTTCTTCTCGTTGGGCATCAGAAAGCAGAAGTGGAGCTTGATGCGAGAAGGAACATTCGCTGAAATGTTCTAGCGACGACTCGTGGAACATGGAACATGGGACTTGTAACTTCCAAGGCTATGCTGAATGTATGAAATGTGTGAAAATATTCGGGGGATCCGGTACTAAATTTCGGACTACAAGTCTCTTTAATTTACGATGATATATCCGAAGTGAGCCTTTCCTTTGCCCATGTTGAACTTACAAGCTTAGACCCCGAAGTGCTGAAAATTGGAAATTGGAAACCCGAAAAATATGATGTGCATGGAAGTCGGAAAGTGTGTTTTTATCAGAGTTCCACCAGGATTATATTCAGTCCCACTTGTTCCATAGTTCCCATGAATGTTCCACGCTTTGATGAATATTGACCCTGTTCATTTCGAATCACAAAAAGATGGATCCAATTTTGATTCCACAACATCGCATCGATTTTTTTCTATCTTCCATGCCAAGGTCTGTTAAACACTGAAAGGGCCATTTGCCCATTACTGGTATTTTGTTCTTCAACACACTCATAATTTGTTGATTGTAGGTCGTGGAATCATTGATCATTATCCCGTCTTCGTCCAATAAGAAGTCTTGGTCCTCGCCTCTAGCCTACAAGTTGGGTAGTTGTCCGCAACATTTTTCTGCGGGATCGTCGGCCACTATCGTTTCTATGTCACCGTTTCAATCAGCAGACCGAGAGTTGACATGAACCCGCAGCATCAATTTTTGTTTTTGAAGTGTACCTACACAAGCCCCGTCCAGTGGTTCTCGATTCTTCCGCAGAGAGTTTTCTTGCTATTGTAATTGCACAGCATTCAGCGAACGTGAAAGAGTATTGGCTAATAAATCAGACCCAGCGTGATAATTCATGCAATGCCCTGAATAGCCTGGGATGAAAATAATTAGCTCCAAGGATGATTGACGATTCAAACTATCCGCAGCCCAGGAAGTGACTTTTCGCAAAATAAATCCGGACCAGGCATATATCATACTACACTTGTGCGGACATGACATTGCATTGAAAGTCTAAATGTAAAAGAGATGATTGTAGTCTCAGGATGGCCAATAATGGTGCAAGAGGGACCACGGTCTACTCCGCAAGAACCATTGTCGGAATGGGAGTGCACACGGATATATGATTCAGTGACAATCTAAAGCTAATAAAGCTGGCTGCATGCAAGCTTCACGGCCTATATCGAAAGCGTTACCGACGCACGGGCGCCGGAGGTCTCGTCAATTGTGAACAATCAAGATGGGGACTTGCTGGTTTCTGCAGAATTGGTATTATGCGCCAGGTTTGTGCGGTGCCTTTCAAAATGCCCAAGGTGGGGGACGTCGGAGCACTGTCGAATTCAGATGATTTTCTGATCATGTTCACACATTCCACGGAGCTATTTTGATACTCCGCGATGGTATCGACCCATTCGAGAACTAACATGAGCTGGCAGACGACGTAGTCCACACTGTGGCGTAGAGAAGGATTCTTTTGTTGGTGCTATAAGCCTACCCGTCTTCGCGGGGTCGACTCGAACGTGGTGTGGGCTGAGATGCTATATCCATGCATGCGATGAAGTCATTATTTGATAATCAAGCACTTCATATACCAACACAAAAGACCTTGTAGAAAGGCCATGCTGTACGAGGTGTTGAACAATAACCGCTGTGATATTGGGTTGAGAACGATGTTACGGACTCTCGCTCAATATGAGCGGACCCGATGAAGGAATAAACCGTTATTGACCTGGTTGACTGGTATTGGCCCATCAAGCCTGCTTTGAACGATTCGTTCAATGACAACAAAGCACAGGAACAATGTAGAGCCCGTTGTGGAAGGTCTAACACTTGTAAGAAATGCCCAATAAAGTTGGCTTTTCGGTATCCCACATGCTGCTGGCAGAAATTCCATCGTACGATCAGACGATCAGATATATGCCTTTCGGACAACTGTTATCAGCAGCTTGTTCATGATTGAATCGATTGTAGTCTTCCGAGGTGGTGTTTGACATGCAGAACATCCCAGTCACTACGCAGCAGGGCCGCATTGCAACTAATTTCTGTCCGCCCGATAATAACCCACGGGATATGGTTCGCAACATTTATCCCCGTTTATCCGCTGCAATGCAGGCAGCCGAGATCAGACCAGGTGGGGTATGGTATGCTTTGCTCTTTTCACGTTTTTGATCTTATCCCATGTGAATACCTTGGGAAAATCAAGATTCGGGAACAAAAGGGCTTTGCTTTGCTTAGCCGAAACGAATTGACCATTCCTCACGGATGCACTCGCGAAACCTAGCGAACTTCGTGGGTAATCGGACTGTTCGTTGACTCCAGGCGATGCTTTCACGAATCGACTCTTCGAGAACTTTGTGAGTACGAATATTGTCCACACAGACTAGAGCTAGCAAGATTCCGAGGGCCGAAGGCAGGCAGGTAACAGGCTGAAGATAGCACGAACACGGCATTAAGCCAAGTCATGTATTAACCATCGCAAGCATTGCCAGTTGGGTCTATATATGATAGACGAAATTGCTCGGAGATGCCGTTAAACCACCAATTTCAAACCCTTAGTCAAGACTTTTGGCCGGCTTTCGAATGAAGGATCCCAACTTTGCAATTTGTGGTAATCAAGTGCTAGTCGTTTAAAAACAGCGATACGCGCGCCGTGTCCCAACGATCCAACTGTAGCTGTTGATGTAAAGTACAGAGCTATGTAGCGGCGTGCGGATTATCATCCGTCGACCAGGTTGTGAGGATTCTTGTTTGTTTGGTTTTATAACTTCATCATCTGTTTAACAAGGACACGCGTCAGGGATAATAAGCTCAGCACCGCATCCGGATGCTGATATATCAGTTGTTGAGACGAGAGTTTGCAGGTGCTGAAACAAAATCCGGGAATAGAGGTGACACCGATCTGGTTTGGGGACGTTCTGCTCAGGGCGAATACGATGACAGTAAACGTGTGTAGCATCTTAAATTTGAAGCGTAGGTACGGCTAAATGGAATTTCGTGCCGTGAAGTTGGTTCCTTCCCCTTCGATCTGCCCGATAGATAGTTAGCGCGACGAAAGTCACTAACAAGAAGATCCTTTTATCAAAATTTCGACATTGCAAAATCCTCTCAATCTGCTCAGATCAAAATTCAACCCTTGCAGTTCGAAATCCGACTGAATCTTCAATGGTTTCGAGACGCTTGATAACTTCCATCGATGCTTTGCCAACTAGTCCAGTTTTCCTGCGCTTCGATCTATCTCATCGTCGTGTGCGGTTGAATTACCTGCCCTCCTCGGCCTTGAACGGTGGGAGGTGCAGAGTGTCACTATCTGTCGCAACGAGACTATGGATATAAATTCAGCGTCGTAATTCTGCTACCTCGAACTGAACGTTCGCTCTGCTTGTCCTCAAATACCGGTACGTTATCGAGGTATATAGATCCTACTTATTGGAGGCACATATTGGCTCGGCAATGTTGAGTATCATAGTGAGACTGGTGTGGAGAAATTGCGACGATGCTCGCTACCAGTAAATGACATTCGATGCTTCTGGAACTTTAGAAAGCGAGGCTGAGGGATTGGCAGGACGTTGGTCACCCAATTCTCAGGTCAGATTTCGATCAAGTCATCGTAGACTTGCGTGTGGAAGGTGCTGTCGTATTCGAATTCCTTTCTCTCGTGCTTATTTGCGAGTATATTGAATACAAAGCCTTCATCTTCTCTCATCACTTGTGTGTCGAAAAAAGCCCTCCATGAATTTATCGATCAGAGATTCTCGACACATGTCGACAGGAAGATAGATGGGAGCGTACTAGAAGGCCAATAAAGAGGTAGAGGAAAGGCAATTGCAAAAGCAAAAGGAGAAATTTGGGAGTTTCGCCACCGACATCAAGTCAGAAGACAGGGAGTGCCACACCCGGGCAAGGAGTTAAATCCTATTGAGGTAGTAAGACCCCAAGCATCATATCTTTTTGGGATTCTGATACAGGTAAAAACAACTCAAATAATATCCTTGTTCTGACTTCGCGATAAGTCTCATTATTGTATCGTGTGCGAAATGATGGAACTCCAACAACGCTTGTGAATGAAAACAACATGTGTATAGACTTTTTGTTCGGAGGAAAAAATGTGCAGCAGACAACAAATAGGTGGGATCACTTAAATATCTATATTCCCAATGTTGTTCAACATCAAAGCCCCTTCTATGGAAGAATCCACGCTAGTGAGGTGGAGTAGTATTTTCTCAACAACCGCAGCTTGCGCAGTTGGCGACGAATATCACGTGAAACACACCGAAGCGACTTTAAAGCTTATACTCCGTTCTGTAGCGCAAATTATCTCAACGAACTACACTTCTGATCTTCAGCAAAAGAAAGTTCTTTTCAAGGAGGGGCAGTTAATGCTGGGATCAGGATTCTAGAATCTGCATCAAGATATTGAGAAACAAGTTTCAATACCATTAAACTTTTTCTTGCTCTAGAACCCCATCCATAATTACAAGTCATTAAGCACTGGTGGTACAGGGCGCTGTGAGCCTGTGATAGAACAGAGAGTCCCCTATCATTTCTTTGACGAATGACCTATTTGAGGCTATATGTTGTACAAGACCGGAATGCGCGTTCCACGAATTCACCCAAATCCAATCAGATGCATGAAGTCTCATGCAGCTATCCGGCGGAAAATTCCTAGGATAGAATGGGCAACTCAAGGCAAGCGATAGATCACCAAAAGACTTCAAGGTCAATGTACATTCTTCAGAGGGCCTAATATCACCAAGCTACCAACAATTGCAGTGGCTACCTATCTCAAGCATGCCATAGCACAGCACAAGATACGATCATTGATACTCTAAAATCTTCTGGTCCCATCTGTATGCGGTCTGCGTCTGCGTGCTAAAGCCACCAAGGGTTACCCTGTATGTATTATTGGCTACCTGCATATATGATGCTACCCAACAGTGGTTACCCGTATAAAATGGAGCCTGGGGTGTACAGGTGGCAGATTGCAACAACCAGCGCTTCGGTGCTTACTGCAAATCAAAATCACAGTATCACAGATCCTCTTGCCGCGATTATCTTCCAACGTTCTATCATTTCTACTCGAGTATCTTGACAGCTCATCCAAAATAATATTGCACGCCAAGTCATGATTCTCATCTTTTACAATATAGCAATCTTTTCTGAGTAGATAGATACTGCATATCTCATAGCCTAGTATGATTCTTCATCTTTCTCTTCTACTTTTAGTAAACCCCCCTTTTCTAGTATCTCTCTTCTCAGAAATCAGAATTCTCTTGATTTATATACACCACTTCCTTTCCTTTTGATTCCATCAATATATTTATCACCCTTAACATACAAAAGCATAAAGACAAGGAAAAGTTTTCAAAATCAATATGATATGATGTCCTATTTTTATACTTCTATCTGAATCTATATCCATTTATAAACACAGTGTCAAAATCACATAGATTAGAAAAATTGAAACTATATATTAACACTTTTTTGCAGATGATATGATATGTAATATGTATACAAAGCCTATGTCTCACACCACTCATCTCGCACAACAGTGATTTGATTTCCCATGACCTTCCAAACCCCTATGCTTTATCTCATCCGAGTTCTAACCTTGATCCCTTTACTCTCCACTTTCATCTATTCTTCCTTTTCCTTCCCTTCCCTCCTCATTATCCTCCAAACTGTTTATACTACTAGGCATCCTCGATGATTTCCAGGAAGGTCAAGGGATGTGGGGTGTAGGGTGGGGCACAGTGCGGAGGTCTGGGGAGAGGTTATTGCGCTTGCCTATGGAGATGGGGAAGGAAATGAGGGGGTATCTATCTACAGTACCAATAAACCAACCCAGTCTCTCACCGTCATCAATCACTACCAGTATTGTCCGTATTGTCAACATTTAACCAGTTTAATTTGTTAGATTCAGACTGGTAGTCGATTTGGTTTACTTTATATAATTCCAATCGTTCGTTAAACTATGACCTCCAAATTTCCAATTTAGTCAGTTCAACTGATTCAATTGATAGATTAGTTTTCAAACTGGCACTTTAGTTTATATAATCCAAGTTGCCTGTTAAATTATGATCTTCTAAACTGCCAGTTTCCCGACTGGTTTGAAGTACTGACTACGCTGATCACTATAATCCCTTCACATACCCACCACTCCTCCCATCCCTCACCTCATACACACCAATCCATATCAAAGTCCCCACAAACCCTTTCTCATATTCATCAGAATCTCTACCTTAGACTCCTCCTCCTCCTCCAATTCCGCCTTCAAGCACCACAATATATTTCCCAACTAGACATTAAATTGAATGATTAATTACTACCTATCGGTATACTATTATACTATTGTACTACTACATCATCCCACCATGCCATCATAAACTGAGTAAATCCCTTAAACTATTCAGTTTAGAGACCCATTCAAGTAATTTCAGAACTCTATATACCGCCCAAGCCCCCGGTCCTCCTCCTAAATCTTGCATCTCTCTACCCTCTCCGCATTCATATCTCCTCATCCATCTCCTCATTCTATTCCAACAAGTATAGTAATATAATACCACAGTACTCCTAATTTCTAATTTCCCAACTATACTCGAGTACAATACATACTCACTGCTGAGTCTTAGAATTTCAACATCAATATCTACCTACACCTTCCTTACCCATCAACGTTTACCTTGAACATTAGCTCATCAATATATGAGTTCTCACCTTCACGGTTGGCTCATCGATATCTACATCCATCTACTCGTAATCTTACATCAACTCTCATCATCATCTAATCCACAATCAACATTCCATCACCCCCCCTCCAACATCAGAAACTCCTCCCTATCTCCTCTCATCTCCTCCCATCTCCTCCCATCTCCTCCCTATCTACTCCCTACAGTATCTCCTCCGAGTCCCCACTTACTATCCCCTCATCCATCTCTGGCCTCCCTATCTCCTCCTCCACTATCTACCCAACATACCTCAACACGCCCCAACAATCCCCGACATTTTCGTTATTCATTATCTTCTATTCACTACTCAATTCAAACATCAGTATAAGTATCAGTATCAGCATACAATATCCCAATATCCCAAGATCCCAAATAAATACAACTACTTGTAAACACACGAGTAAACACAAGCAATAACCGTGCAATATCATACAATATCACATAACATCAAGCAATAATTATCAAGAAAATGAGTAATGTAATGTAATCTATGTGTTCATACATGTTCATATCCATCCATTCCATCCATTCCATATTGTCATGCGTAGCACCACGTAGCCAGTAGCCAGTGGCTAGATAGATATCTCCTACCTCCTAGTACACGTTTCGCTTTACCGACGGACTAGTCTACCTACCAAATTATATGCATATCCATCACACACCCACACCACCACACCAGACCATACCACACCTTTCCATCCATTCAATCATTAAATTGCTTGTTCTAAAAGAGAAACGCCTGTGCCATGCATACTGTAAGTTGTAGGTTCATTATCAGTCATCGCTTCGCATTTATCGTTTGCATCATTAGTATTTACGCCACCTCCCCACCCTTTCCCACCCCTATCTCCCTATCTCCCCTTTCTCCTAACCCCCGATCCCACACTACGAAAGATCAAATCCCGCTCCAGCATTAACCGCATACAGCAGCTTTTCCCTCAACCTCTCTCTGCTCTGATACCTCGGCAGCTTCAGCAGATTAACACACGTACTAGCACTCGGTAATCTCTCTTCATCTCCACTACTATCTCTAATACTGAACGGCGGATTTAACTGTGCAAACCCTAGTAACGGTGCTCTAGGGGTACTCGTAACATATTTGAGTACTTTTCTCTTATCTTCATCTGGGAATTCTTCCATGACTTCCCAAAACATGACTATGGTTGGGTGTTCGAGTCCATCGTCGCCGATTTGATATACACCGCCGTATTGCGTATTATCGCGCAGATCATCGATGTCTATCTCAGATGTTTCGCCCGCAATGAGTGTTTGAAGTTCAGCTTGATTAAACATACTCAGCCAAGAGGGATTGATGATTTGGCCAAGACCGCGTAGGAAAGCCTGAGTAACCTCGTAAGGTTGGATTTGGAGACGGTGGCGAACGACGTATGCGATGTATAGGAGACGATTCTCATTTGTGACAGTGATATTGGAGCCATTAGGCATGAGATCTCGGGTGATGATTTTGGGACGGCCGCCTGGTATACTGTTAGGGATTGTGTCGATTATGGTGAAGTCGAGCGAGAAGTCTTCGACATTTCCAGCATAGTTTTTGAGTTTTAAGAGTCCTTGATACAATCCTTCGTCGAGATCTCGTAGATCGTTGAGATTAGCACGACTTGCTGCTTCTGGTCCAGAATATGCAGCAGACCATTTGAGAAGGAAAAACCCAGCAAAATTGATGTCGATAAGAATTCCTTCGTACAAACACTTTCCTACAATACGACCTAAGAAGTGCATACGATTGCGCAACTGTACACTATATGCCTTCCAGTCAGGGTTGGTTTCGTCTATTTCATTTGATCTCAAGAATTCGTGGTCTTGTTGCACTGCTGTTGGGTTGGGGTAGAGTAGATTTTGATCATTCGTCACAAACAGAGATGGACCACTACCAGAATCTAGGGGGGCGCGAAATGCTTCGTTGGTAACACTGGTGAGAAACTCTTTCGTCACTCCACCGCCATCAATCCCAGCCTCAACGGCACCGAAGCTATCAATAAAGGTGATTTGAATTGGCTCCTTGAGACCGTCTGCAAGTGGATAGAAGGCCCGAAATGCATCTTCAAATACGTTTTCTCGACGAATCTGTGCATGATGCTTGCCAAGAGCTTCTCGTGCAGCATGTCGATTATTTGCCAAATCTTCAACACGCATACGCCAAGAATCTGGATCGACAACTCCTGATCGTCTCTTGAGTTGATCCAATAGGACAAATTGACGAAATATCTCAACACGAGTTTCGAAAGGAATGATAAACGGCATATTTTGCAACACTTCGATTCGTGGCCCAACAGCAGCCATAAGTTTTCTCTTATTAATTTTTTGCTGTTGCTTTCTTATCATCTCCTGCTGTCTCATTTGATACGGCCGAGCTGTACGAACAAAATTGAGTGTCTGAACTGGCTCGTCTGCGTCGTCCTCCTCAAACTCGACTTCAGCGCCTTCACCGTCCCCAACCTCTTGCCGTCTTTCTGCCTCCCTGATAACGTCAACAATAAAGCCTTTCATGTCAAAACGTGTCGTCATGAGCCAGTGATCCTTGGGCAGAAATTGTCGTCTCGAATCTCGTTCATAAATCATTCGCATGACCCCGATGACTATTGTTCGCAAATAGTAAAAAGTCATGCCCGAAATCCCTGCGAATGGCCAGCTTGAGTTGCTTGTTGTTAGTTCCTCGTCAGAAACATCTATTTTGTCTTTTCCGGATTGATTATTGACGCCGAAATAGGTGCCGAGACCACCTTCCATTAGAGGCTTATCATCACCAGAAAGTTCTGCAGCATTGTAATAAGTAGTGAACGAGAGGTTCTTCAGGAAAAGTGTGAGTTTCTCGACAGCTTCTAATGGAAGTGCACTTCCTCGAATCTTAGAAACAGTTCCACTTGCTTCACTTGAGTCTGTGCTGCTGCCTAGAAAATCCTCATCATCTATGAATTTCAGAATGAACGTGTATAGCTCCAAGAACAGAAGAATGGTTCTCCATTCTTGATCTCTTACTTGAACTTCTTGAGACGGTTCATTACTGTGCTGCTTTTGATATCGAAGAATTTCCAATGCAGCTTTCGAATCAGCCATGATTGCTTTGAAGGTGCTAGTTGAACTCATTGCCTGCCAGAAGAACTTAAGAGCTAGGACCTCATTCCCATTCGAAGTTGTCATAGAGCCGGAACAAAGCCACATTCGAATTTCATCAGCACGATCTGGGAATATTCTCAACAGTGTAAGAGCGTAACTCGCTAGAGAGCTTGCATCTTCTTGTCCTATGGTCGAGCCTTTGACATAATCGCTAGTGGCCAAACTATTAGCGAAGACTGCGAAGGGAAAGTATCCTTGACTTACATGTTAAATCTGGTTAGGAACCCGGCAATAGAATCTTTATTCAGTAGAGACATCAATTGAGTGCTAATGAATATAGGCAAGTTCTGAACAAGCCGAACTCCAGCTACATCATCGCTTTCTTCGCTTTCCTCATTTTGGGCAGTATTGGTTAATGGTTTGACACCATCCATTCTGCCAATAATATCGACTGAGCACGCCGATAGTTGGAGAGACAACGCTCTCAATAGCTCAGGTTCTTGTTCACGATGCTCTCGCAGATGGTATATCGCAATGAAGTGGGCAAGTAGCCATAGTTTTGCTTCTGTATTTGACTGTGACGTGGGAATGCTGGAATAGTCACGAACTATAGCTGCAGCTAGACGACTGATACTCAACTTAGATGCGAGGCCATCTAAACCTCCTAGCCTAGCAAACAAATCTGGTGTGGTAAGAAATCGAGATGCCATGGCGGAATACGTATCGAGTGACAGTCGAACTAGTTTGATTAGTATCCGGATAAGTCAGGCTCGTATATAGGCAACGAGAAACTTACTGGATTGTTCTGTTGCTACCGAGGGGGGCTCTTCGAGAGGAAAGACTACTGCTGAGATAAGCTTTGCACGCCATTCATCGGAAAGCCTGCTCGCAACTACGGCAGCTGAAAGAAAGTTATAATAAGGAACTGAAATATGTGGGAGTATATCTCTTCTGTGGACTACTATCTTGGACAAAAGCTGGAATAGGGTTGTGTTGTAGCTGGGTAAGGAACTATTGAATGTGTCAGAAGCTGGTCAAATATAAGTAAGTGCGGTTATACGTACTGCTTGAGAGCACTGAGTGTGATCTTTGCTAGTCTGAACAAATAAGGTTGATATTCATCTTGGGATATGAGTTGAGCATCATAATTATGAACGAACTTCCAGCCAAGTGCCGTCAATTGAGCTATATCATCTTCTCGTTCGGTATTGCAAAATGCAATCAACAGCTTCATTTGCTCAACCGGAACGGAGGTATCGGCCCCTTCTTCTTGAGAGGGGTAGATCGACTGGTAGTGTCGTCGTCGTGCATCTGCGAGCTCGGTTCTAGTTTTGTGACCCCTCCATACTCTCTGGATTTGCTTGGAAGCGTTGAGTCGCTCTCTTTCTCTCTGACGGTGCTCCCTCTCTTGTTGCGCATGTGCCACTGTCTTTTGGGCACCGGAAGCTGAAGCTGAAGTATTCCAGGAGCTGGCAGCGAATGGATCTGGATTTTGACCCGAAAGATTGACTTGTCTTGGTCGACGAGAACTGCCACTAAATATTTGAAACATCTCTTTGATTGTGATAATAAGGGGAAAGAATCACTTTTTGATATCTCCTCCTTTGTCTTAGGCCGTCAGTGAGTATATCATGGACGAAACAGCATACCAAAGCTCTATGGACGGATCCAAGAACAGACCGATAGAAGATGGGATGGATATTGTGCCGGAAGGGGTTGTTCGGAGTAGGTTGATGATAGCAATATTACTACTACAATCAAAAATCAGAAGAATCGTAGAATGAAGAGATCATGAAGATTGTATGAATATTGGATTTCGACAGTTGCGATGATTTTATTCCAAACTTCTCTATAAGGTTCTACAGCCTCTCCTCAGATGTCGGATTATGTTGGTAGTAGCCTCATTAGATATCGCCGCTTTTGATAATCCGAATGCCGACACCCACTACTTGCCTTGTAGCCTTATAAACTATGACCATGTTATCAGGTAAGTACATGATGTGATGATTATGTAATCACAAACACAAAATCCTCTTCACTTTCAAGACTTATTGTAGATATATTGAAATCAAGTAATATAACTCTGTGCCTAATCGATTTTACTCTCAGATTCTAGAACAATATTGACTACCGGTATATAGACTACTAGGTAATCTCGAAAGGATACCTAGGTATTGATGAAGCCCATCAATCAAGTCAATAGTCGGCTCTCCATAGATCGGCCGCCTGGTTCGTTTTTGATCTTTCCTCTTTTCTCAAAGATTACGTAAGTCAACCATGAAAAAGAAGCCTCACTCTCTCTCTTCAGTCGTATTGTATTCTTCTTCTTCGGTGATAATTTCTTCAAACAAGTAACTCACTTATTACCCTAATTATTCTAGTCAATTCTCTCTATCTCTCCTCTTCTCTAAACACTAGCAATTATATAATAAGGCGACTAGTATGAAAAGAATTATTAGTAACTGTAGTAGATACTGTAGTCGATTCTCTATTCCTCTACTAAATGTTCAAATGTCGGTGATTATATAAGCCATTCTTCAAACAAGTAACTCACTTATTACCCTAATTATTCTAGTCGGTTCTCCATTCATCCTCTAAATACTAGTAATTATATAATAAGCCAATCATAAATGTCCTTCCTTTCTTTCATTCACTTAATAAGTTAGTTGTGTTATATTACAGCGAGTCATATGAGGTTTTCTTTTACCCACCATCTATCTCTAGATCATAGAGCTAAACTCAATCAAGTTAGTCAAAGCCTACGCACAAGAAATTTCGAAAAAAGATTAAAGTTTTATCTGTCGCGATTGTGATTATAAGAATTCTCCTTCCCTTTCCCTTCTTCAACCACCAAAAAAATACATCCCCCACCGAAAAGAACTTACAATAGCGGTTTAAGTACGAATACTTCGTGCTTTTTTCGTTCTTCTTCGCCCTTTTCAAATCAGAAAACCCCTCTTCTTAAGAGATACAAAAAAAAATTGAAAATCACCCCCCAGAAAACCTCCAGAATTGCGATCGATAACTCATATTATCGACCATCTCTCGAAATACCTTCACCTTCCTTCCGAAATCAGAAACTTTGAACTCACAAAAAATCATATTGTGCCTTTGTCTTGCGACACTGATATCAGTATTTCGATTCAATACTCAGTTCTGTACAGAATTATTCTCACGAATTTCTACCCCTCCTCAAATCCCGACTCTCTTCAAATAGCACATCTCAACGTAAAGGTAAGTTATGCTACTTTGCCAATTTCTTCTCTTTATGCCTTCTCAATACTCCCTTTGTTATCTCTTATTGTTACGAAATGACAATATATGCCATTTTAATTTTGATTCATTTGCTAATTTTCTTGCCTAGTAAAATTTACTCAAAATGTCTGCCGCAACTCAAAACGCTGCTGTCGAACAGCTCGCCTCTGACCTCAACAATGCTTCCTTGAATGGAGATGCAAATGGCGCCACCACCCTCAATACCGATGTTTCAAACATCAACTCCGAAGATCAGGATACCGCAGGTCCTACCCCCACCAATGCCCCCCACCCACAAGCCTCGGCTTCTCTCTACGTCGGTGAACTTGACACATCCGTCACCGAAGCTATGCTCTTTGAGCTTTTCTCTCAAATTGGCTCCGTTGCTTCCATTCGTGTCTGCCGTGATGCCATTTCCCGCCGATCGCTCGGATATGCCTACGTCAACTACAACACCACCATTGATGGTGAGAAGGCTTTGGAGGAACTCAATTACACCTTGATCAAGGGACGCCCATGCAGAATCATGTGGTCCCAACGTGATCCAGCTCTCCGAAAGAATGGTCAAGGAAATGTTTTCATCAAGAACTTGGATGTTGCCATCGATAACAAGGCTCTCCACGACACATTTGCTGCTTTTGGAAACATTTTGAGTTGCAAGGTTGCTCAGGACGAGTCTGGAGCTTCCAAGGGTTATGGATTCGTTCACTACGAAACCGATGATGCTGCCTCTCAAGCTATCAAGCACGTCAACGGTATGCTTTTGAACGAAAAGAAGGTCTTCGTCGGTCACCACATTCCTAAGAAGGACCGTCAAAGCAAGTTCGAGGAGATGAAGGCAAACTTCACCAACATCTATGTCAAGAACATTCCAGTTGAAGCTACCGAAGAGGAGTTCCGTGAGTTGTTCGAGAAGTTCGGTGATGTCACCTCCGCCTCCCTTGCCCGCGATGCTGAATCCGGCAAGAGCCGTGGCTTTGGTTTCGTCAACTTCATCAATCATGAGCATGCCTCTGCTGCTGTTGATGAGCTCAACGGTAAGGACTTCAAGGGTCAAGATTTATATGTTGGCCGTGCCCAGAAGAAGCATGAACGTGAGGAAGAGCTCCGCCGTTCATACGAAGCTGCTCGCATGGAGAAGGCTTCAAAATATCAAGGTGTCAACCTCTACGTGAAGAACTTAGATGATGAGATTGATGATGAGAAGCTCCGAGAGTTGTTTGCACCATTTGGTGCCATTACTTCCGCCAAGGTCATGCGTGATACTCCTGCCGAGACCGCTGAAGCCGAGGAAAAGAAGGAGAAAGATGACGAGAAAAACAAGGAGAACAAGGAGACTAAGGAGAACAAGGAGAGCAAGAAGGAGGTCGAGGCTGAGACTGAAGAGACCGCCGCACCAAAGGCAAAGCGCTCTCTCGGTAAGAGCAAGGGCTTCGGTTTTGTCTGCTTCAATAACCCAGATGAGGCCACCAAGGCTGTTTCTGATATGAACCAGCGCATGGTCAGCAACAAGCCACTCTACGTCGCTCTTGCTCAACGCAAGGATGTCCGAAAGAGTCAATTGGAGGCCAGCATTCAAGCTCGTAACCAAATCCGCATGCAACAAGCCGCCGCTCAAGCCGGTATGCCACAACAATACATGCAAGCTCCAATGTTCTTCCCTCCTGGAGCTCAACAACCAGGTTTCCTTCCCCAAGGTGGACGTGGTATGCAGTTCCCACCTCAAGCCGGCATGCCAATTCCAAGCGCTCAAGCTGGCCGCCCTGGTCAGTTTCAAGCCGGATTTCCTCCACAGCAAGCCGGCCGTGGTGCACCAGCTGGTCAACAAATGCCACCTAACATGTATGGCATGGGTCCAGGTCAATTCCCTGCTGGCGGTCAATATCCTCAGCAGAATACCCCACAATTCTTAGCTGCTGCCATGCAAGCTGCTCAAGCTGCACAACTCTCTGCCGGCCGTGGTGGACCAAATGCACGTGGACCAATGCAAGGTATGCCACCAAACATGGCTATGCCTATGGGCCAACAAGGAATCCCACAATTCCAACAAGGTGCTAGACAAGGCGGTATGCCTGGTCGTGGTGCCCAAGCTGGACGTCCTGGTCAATTCGCTGGTGGCTTCCCTCCACAAGCAGGTCGTGGCATGCCACAGCAAGTTCCAGGTATGCCACAAATGCCTCAGATGCCGCAAGAAAGTGGTGTCCCAGGTACTTTGTTGCAAGCCCAAGTTCAATCTGTTGCTCCTCAACAACAAAAGCAACTTCTAGGGGAGGCTTTGTTCCCTAAGATTCAAGTCTTGCAACCTGAATTGGCTGGTAAGATTACCGGAATGTTATTGGAGATGGAAAACCAGGAGTTGATCAACCTGTAAGTAATCGTAGCTTTCCCAATCCAAGAAGTCTTACTAATGACTATACAGTATCGAAGATGATGCTTCTCTCCGCGCCAAGGTTGATGAGGCACTCACTGTTTACGATGAGTACGTCAAGAACAGAGGTGAAGGTGAAGGTGAAGGCGAAGCTGGTGAGACCAAGGAGGGTGAAGAGAAGGCTGAAGAGAAGGCTTAATTGCCCACTCTCTTTCTCCATTAATGACTCTTTTTCTGCGCTTCACTTTGGCGTCAAGTCAAATCCTTCTGCTACGGTACGGTCCTGGAAAAGTTATTTATGCTATGGTGGCAACATTTCGGTCCTACTTTCTATCGCATTCTTCGAACACGAAACGATATTTTCCTACTGGTCAATGAATACTCATCTTCTATTCTACATTTTATGGAAGAGGAAATATTTCAACCAAACACATGTACTCATAGATTACTCTTGTGCTCAACGACCCTTGCACTACTGGATGGAGGTACATTTTTCTAATTCTCTTTGAAAACTACCTACACTTTAATTTTTACAATATTCTTGCAAGGTGTGGCTAGTCGACAATGGAGGAAACGAACAACAAGCTCCCGATTTCTTTCTGCTTTTTTATGACTTTTTTGGTCCCTCCTCTCTCGATTGAACCGATGACGACGATCTTCATGGGTCCTTTTTCCCCCCTTTTTTCTTTATTGATGAATGGATGATGAAATGAAATGAGGAATGTTGGCATGGCAATTCAGCTTTTGTGTGAGGATGGATTGGGAAAGTGACAGCGTGAACAGAATTAGATTAGGGGTTCTATCATAGATAGGTGGTGAGGGGGAGTAAATAAGAAAGTAAAAAAACATTGCAAATTACTTTGGAGGTTTTTGGGTTGTGTGACTATGATTGTGATCAGTATGATGGAAATTGTGATGTTGATGATGGT